CCCAGAGAACCTTCTTGATGAGTTCGAGCGTGCTGCGGAACAGGTCCGCGCACAGCTCTTCGAAATGGGCACGAGTGAGGGAAGTGTAGAAGTCGATACCCTCGAAGAGGGAGTCGATTTCAATGGAAGTCTGTGTAGCCGACGACAAAGTACGCTTAGCACGCTCGCAAGCAGCCCGTAGACGACGGAGAACATGAGGGTTGGAGGAAAGATCTGCATCGATGTCATTAAGCACCGGAGTAAATAACTAGGTTAGAAAATAGACTCACCCTTCTTGTGCTTGCGCTTGAATTCTTGCGCGAAGTGGTTGACGAGACGGTTGTCGAAATCCTCACCACCCAAGTGAGTGTCACCAGCAGTGGCCTTCACCTTGAAGTTACCCTCCAATGGGTGGTGCGAGTGGAAGTGCAGTAGTCCAGAGGCCCTGTATAATGTGAGTACTGAGAAGCATGAGGAAAAAAAATGACATACAGTATTTCTTCTCCAGGGGAGTTGTTGTTGCGTTGTTGGCAGCATTCACCTCCAGCGTTGCGCACGACAGTGACGAAGAAGGTTCAGAGCGGAGGAAAGCTCTGTCACGTGACTGGAACACAGCCGCACCTGTTTATGGCAGCTGTGTAGGATGAGTTCGAGGGAGAGAAGGAGAAGGTAGAGATAAGGGAGTGTGAGTGCAATACATTAATGTAAAGTCCAGTAAAGTGTGATTTTGAGTCAGTAAAGTGAGGAAAGTGCGGGACAGTGAGAAATACACGGTAAATTTTGTAAATTTTGTAAATTCCGAACTTCTGGGCAGGCTCCCTCCCTGCGGATGTGCCCGGTGCCACGTACTTGTAAATTTACATGCAAGCTCCCTCAAATCTATCATTTTCGTTCACATATGCTTGCCTATGTTTTACGAGTGTATTTTCTCGTGTTTCCGCTCTAGTTTTACTTAGCATTTCTCATAGACTGTAGATAGTACTAGTACTGCCACCAGGCGGCAATTCTCGAGTTCATCTTGGGCTAGAATAAGGCGTCACGTGACTTTTTAGGATTCCTTTTTTTTTATAGAACGAATCTCAGACGAACCCCCTTTACAGAATTTACGTTAGCTAATCGTGAATTTTTCCAGATATCCTGACATATTAAGTCTGTTTACAGCTGATTCCATAACTATGCGGAATCGCAAATCAAAACTTGTGCATCGGAAACGCCCGGATAAGGACCCCGTAAGCACCTGAGGTAGTAGCGCTATGGTGCGGTTATGGTTCGAACAGGTTCACGATAGTTCACATAACTTGCTCGACCCTCGAACTATGAACCTGTCCAACGGTGCGGTTCAGGCAGTTCAGAACTGCACCACGGCAACTTTAATGCTACGTATCGTCCGATGTTCGTTCTATCATCGTGTCATTGGAGTCCTATATATTTGAGATTTACTGGCGTGCAGACGATGATCGCAAACCACTTTGGTCTCTCTAGTATCCTAGTCACACATGGTCTCCCGTACTTAGTAGCAAGTCATTGACTGCAGTACACTCCGGGCCTTGCAAGCTTCTAAGGGACCCAATCATCAATGCGAACGAGCCTCAAATTGTGCCAGGGATTAGAGTGGTGTGTACTATTCTTCAAAGCACAGCAATGCTGGTGAGGCGTGTCTTTGAAAAACAGGCAACGGAACGACTAAAGGTGACCGACTGGTCAATCCGGGTTACCCTAGACCTTGTTCTCGATCACGTTGCCTCCATAACCCATCATAGCACCCTGTTCGGCTAATCTACGTTCCCTGAAGACCTGTGGATAACCAATCAGCAAACGGTCGCGCATAGTGTACTGGGGACCCACCCTGCGATAACGAACACGCTCGAGAGTAACCAAGGCTACGATAATGATAGTGATACCCGTGATACTCCCAAACACTCCAAGTCCCACCGGCAACACCTGTAGTGACGTCCCAGGCAGGACGAACGCAGCTTGAACGGTAGGGGTCGCTGAAATAGCAGCGTCCTAGGAACGAAATGCGTCAATCTCGATAAGTCCACCCGGGACGGCCTGCATGAAATAGTCGACTCACGGCTGACGAAGGCGCAACACTGAGTGTAGAAGATGGAGTGACAATAGTGCTAGATAACACACTCCCACCCATCGACATGGTGCAATTCTGGACTTCCTGGACTTGGCTGCCAACCGGGGTGAATGTGAGGACACAAGTCTCATTCATTGGACCATTTGCACTGCGAAAGTCAGCTCCACAACTACTGTGAGATAACTGACATTGGCTCACGTTTGGATGGTGGTCGTCGTAGTGACGGAGGGGATAGAAGCAGCAAGGACAGAAGATGCTGCTTGGCGACGGGCGATAGCGGCGTTTTCACCAGATGGAAGTGCATTCGCTAAGCCTAGCAAACACAAGGCGAGGTAGAAGAAAAGCGCAAGCTTTGGGAACATTATTGCTGAAGGGCTTGGTGTTTCAAATTAAATGAATGAAGAGTCCTGCTCTTGGTTTCTCGGCTAATCCAGCGAGATGATGACGTTGAAGGCAGAAGAAAGTGCGCGAAGGAGAATATGCCACCAGGGCCTAAGGCAAAGACAATGATCGTTGCCCTTGAAATTCAAGGATGCTTCCTCTAATAACTGGTCAGGCTAAAAAGGAAATTCCTTCTGGTCACACATCAACACGTCGCTAAGTTGCAGTGCCCGTTTCATTGACAACAGCATAGGCTAGCATCATAATATATATGTCTCCCAGCCGTCTATACTAATCAGCGTTGCATTCCACCTTCCACAGCCTTGTACGCCTTCCCCTCGCGGTATCTTCTCTTCTCCAAGTCCAGGTTCATCAAAACGCCAATCACCTGTGAGATGAATTGGGTGGCCCATTGCTCGAAAGCAAGTGAAACAAGCACATTGGCGAGCGCAAATACCGCCAGCCAGGCTCTGCCAGCGAACGGGAGTGGCATCAGCTCGAGGATCAGCCTAATGGGCTTCGGAGGCTGTAACAGCACCAGCAAATTCAGGAGCGTCAAACCAGTGACTGATGCCATCAACCACCCTACACAATGGCATAAAAGATTAGAAATGCGCAGTAACCATCACGGCGGAGCACAGACCGTTTGTCCACATTGACTTGCGGTAAGGAGGACCAATGCTGAACACGGCTGCGACAAGAATATACTGGAAACAAGATACTAAAAAGAGTGTCGAGTTCTCAAAGTTGGTGGCTTTGAGATGGGCGCCATGGCCATAAGGGTCTGCATCAGGTGGAAGGTACCTTGTTGCGGACAAGCCTGTAAGTTGCCTTCGGCAGCGCAATTAAATGCGTTACTAACCAATCCTGTCGCCTGACCCAGAAGAACGTCCATGATTGAACACTGCTTGTGATTATTATCTGTCCAAACAGACTGGCTAGGACCTTCTTTGATACCAGGCTAGCTGTGGGACGCTTGGGATATATCCGCGGATACGGGAGAGTCCTTCCCACTGCGTCCAATTAGGACTGCCTCAAGTAAAAATACATCTGACTCACTTGAAACGGCAATCGGAATGATAATAAACAGGTCGATATACAGGAACTGAAGGAACGCATTCAGTAGTAGTACATTTTTTGTCAAGAACATACCTGGAAATCTCCTAAGGACGACGCGAAAGAATACAGCAGAGTGACCGTCGTGAACTGGATCATCGAGTACAGCGCCCTTGAAATATATCAGTAGGTCCGCAATAGCGGAGAGATGACACTATTACATGTATTTGAAACACGAAAAGCTGGTGACCAACGCAGCCCTTCCCTCTTTGATGACCTCGATGACACAACTGATATCGGGCGTCCTGCTGGTGAAGGGGGCCGCAACAGACGCCTCCGCCTCGGACAACGAAATACCAACGTCTGCGGCCTTGAGTGCTGCACAATCATTCGCGCCGTCTCCACACATCAGCACGGTGTAACCCAGGGTCTGCAGCCTTTCGACAACCTCATTTTTCTCATCGGGCGACATTCGAGCAAAGATCTGGGTCTTGACAAGCATCTGAAGGCAAAAATAAGCTCATACGCTGTGACCCTTGACCCAACGACCTCACCCGCTGCACAGTCTCAAGAGGACCATGATTGACCATCCATCTGAATACGTCACCTGTCACAACCAACGCACAATCCTGGTACTCAACCTCATGTTCTGCTACAGTAAGGTGTGGAGGTGGAGGTAATGGTTTGAGGCTGTAGTCGTCCAGTTTCCAAGAGAGGTCATCCATGCAGGACCACTCCAGTTTCGACATGGGCGTAGTAGCATTTCCTGAGATTAAAAGGAGTCTCACAAAGAGTAGAAAGATGATAACATTAGCTACTCACCGTGGATGAATGCAGGAGCGAAGACATGTGCAGCTTGGCTTACCAAACTGCACTCTCGTGCGACGCTAACAGCAGTCAACGGGTTGTCTCCGGTAATCATCCGACATGCCAGATGAGCTGCCCGGAGTGTCTGGATAGCAGAAGTCGTCCCCGGCTTCAACTTATTCTCAAAGATAATTAGTCCGAGGAAACGAAGATTTGACTCCGCTTGCTCCCTATGAAAATTATGAGCAACCACGGAACCAAAGAAAAACTGTACCCGACCGCTTCATCTTTTGAGCCTTGAGCCATGATAAACCTTCGATACTTTTGCCCGCCATCGCAATAACACGGTACCCACGCCTTGTATAGTATGAGAGCAGGTCGTCATAATCCTGTGGAACTACAGAATAATCAGTTTCTAAAATCTCAAGGAAGATTAGAAGCTAACAAGAATCCTTCTCGCAAATATCCACCATGACCTCTGGAGCCCCTTTAACGTAAATCTCCATACTAGTACTCCTGAGCCGCTTGACCACAACACTCATCCGCCGCAGACTTGAGACGAACTCGAAGGTGCGGATCACACCGAGTTCAAGGAAATGAGCATGCTGAGATCCAACAGTTAGAATGCTGTGCACCGTGTCATGTCAGCGTACCTTCGCCCCCGTCTTAAGAGCATCTTCCAAGCGGAACTGAGCACTCCCAGGCGGTCGCACAACGGTCTGTACAAGCGCAGCTGGCCGTTCGCTGCCACTTCTTCCTTTGATAATGCCAGTTCCTGCGACCAGTCCCTCCTCAAGAGTCCACTTGGTGAACTCGAACATCTTGACGTCCAGTGGATCGCCAATAATGTTTCCATCTACCATCTTCAAAGAATGGCATGTCGCAAGTGCGTGGAGGAAGCTCGTGCGGTCGTGGATGGAAGGTAGATCGTGAACGTTGTCGATGAGCTCACCAAAACGGTGTACGTTGCGGTCGAGGGAGCGCACGCCAAGGATGTCCAATCCATCCTCCGTGAGTGTGCCCGTTTTGTCAAAGCAACATACGTTGACTTTTCCACCAATATTGACACGCGTAGGCGATATGCAAAAGATTCCAAGTTTGCGAAGACGTCCGATGGCAAAATTCGTCCCAATCGAGAGGGTCGCCGGAAGAGCGGGTGGAACCACAATCGTTATCAGGTCGAGAGCACGAACCAAGATAACTGGCCATTTAATCTGCGTTCATGTGAGCAGGATTTGCATGGGTACACCGCAGTACGTACTCCAAGTCGGACAAATTGCACAGCGCTGACACAAAAGCCAAGAGTGGCGATACAAGCCAGAACACCAATGAAGCGAATCGAATCACGGTAAAACTTGAATCCAATCGGTTTCGGGAACAACATGGACCTAACGAGTGCGCCCTTGGTGGTATTAAACCCTGTCGTTCATGAATGCATAATCCCTACCCACTGCAGAAGACCTACCTGTTCTAACGACCAACCCGAGGGCAGGTTGTCCTGTGGTCCCATCATTTGCCAGAGCACCACGGATTCGAACCACTCTGGTCCCTGCATGCATAAAGCTCTTGGCGAGCTCACCCTGGGCGTCCTTGAGATCCCGCCAACGAGCAATATCATCGTCATTGGCTGGATTCTTCGAAACGGGCACACTCTCGCCAGTCAGCATACTTTCGTTCACAATTGCGTCGCCAGAGAGAAGGAGCATGTCTGCGGGGAAAAGAGATGCCCGTAATTCAGTGAGGTTTACTATGTCTCCTGGTACGAGGTCAGTAGAATCACGCTCAACCCCTGCATGATCGTGAACTAGAGCACAGGACGCAGAAAATGCTGCATACAGCCACCGTCTGTATAAATCATGACGTCACAGGAGAAGCGAGACATCTCCCGCATGCGCTTGATAGTCTAGGAGAACGTGAGCGCCTTTCCTGACATTCTCAGCCTTGTGTTTTCTCACCTTCTTAGTATCGATGAGGGTTGTCACCACACTCAGCGTAGAAATCAGCGCAATGCAGAACGCATAGTAATAGTAGTCGTCCAATGACCAAAGGATGATGCTGGCCACTTGAAAGACGTAGAATGGGTGGATAATCTAACATACGGTGAGGGGGGCTTTGGTCGATTGATCTTGAACGTACCTCATCAACCAGGAGCGATATCGTCGATTTGCCCTCGATGTCGACAATATTCGGTCCGAATAGGATTAGCCGTTGATGCCTGGCAAACTGCGACAGCCCATTCTGGATGGACTGCAGACCCGTCCATGTTGGATCACGCCAGTCCCTGCTTGACGCTCAGCAACAAGGAAAGCGCAACGTAATCATCTCACCTTATCATGCCGAATAATCCAGTCTGGACGTCAAGTGCAAAGCGCGAGTATCTATAATCGACGACATGGAGGTCCCCGAGTATTTCTTGTCCCTCGCCGTTATCGCCATTTGTTTTCGGTCGTGACGACAGCAGTGGTCGTCCATCTACCTCTGCAGGAGAGACGGGAAAAACCGTTGATCGCACGTATGGATATGCTAGCCGTTTGACAGGGAACAGCGTAATGTCTCTGTGTGCAGACTGAAGGCAAATAGCTTAGAAATACTACAAGAGGTTTATGACATTGCGCACCTCGACGACAACGCAACCATGCTTGATATCTCTGAAAGCCTTCTCTTGTACAACGCACCGCAGCCATATACGCGGGAACCAGTGACCCAAGAGACCCACAAGACCCAACGTAGCAACACAGCACACTCGCCAGAGCCACTGCCGCCAAATGATAACTTCATAGCCCACGAAACGGAAGGTATTGTCCTCTTCTGCTACGTATATGGTTTGCCTACTTGGCGGTCCAGGGGGCGGAGGGTTTAGCGGCTCTTGAGGTATGTCTATGTCTATGCGAACCTCGTCGCCGAAAATTGGATCAGGGGAGAAAATGGGGAGATGTGAACCTGCACTTGGAGATGGTGGGTATGAACCATAATCTATTTCGCTGTGGAAAGGGTTTGACGCGTTGGACTCTGTCTCGTCATCTTCCTCTCCGGACGAGTATCCCCACCGCTCGTTCACTTCCTCTCCACCTGCAAGGGCATATTCTGACCCTGCGTCTGAGGGCCTCCGTCGTGATTTTCGAGTCGAGGACGCGGATGAACGTCGCGAAAGCGAAGGTCTGCGCTCCCCTACACCACGGCTGAACAAGTTAGCAATGTTCTCGAATACCGAGGACCGGTTGTGAGTAGGTGATAAAGATCCCCTGCGTCTACGCCCTCTGTGGCTTGGACCTTCATCGTCCTCTTCTGCCTCGTCTTCGCTCTCGGTCCTCGTCGCCTCCGTTGCCTGCGAAACCTCACCGTCTGCGCTCATTCTCCGACTAGTACGTCCTACAGAGTCCTCGCTCTTCCTGCTGCTCCTGGACCACTCCCTGCTTCTTCGTCTCCCTGACATTCCATGCTCGGTATACGACATCCTCGACATGCTGGTGGGTATAGATTCCTGTCCTGGTCCATCAAACATGGCGCCTTGACCATTGTCCCCACCGTATGATGAATCGCGCCGTGCACGGGCGACGGCATCGTTAATGTCGATGGCCGACGCGCCCTCTGTATAGTCGTATGGCTGGCTAGGGCCGGCTGAGGCCATCACAGCAAAGGGCACCGGTCAAAATCTTGGTCGGACGTTCGTCCAATGTCGTTCAGTTCGAATAAAGAAGGAACGACTATATCTTCGTTCTATTCGGACTGCCTACGATCAGCTGTTCGGTTTGCGCCCTGAGAAGCCTTGCATGGAAGTTATGGTTTTGGTCCGGAAAGTTCCGCAACTCACGACACGAACAACAAACTAGATAAGTAGACGTAGAGTACGTGTACAGGCTACACAAGTCCATCAGAAAAGTAAGGCTGGTTTAGCCTAGATAATGCCATATCAACCAGAAACAGAAGAACGTGAACACTCCGCCGCCAAAGAAGATGTACATATCCTGTGTGCTACAAGACCTCAGCGTCTTGGTCGAGAACTGAGAAAGCTCTCCTTACCTTCTTCTCTCGATCCACCCTATAACATCCCGGCTCAGGCCCATTGTATTTGCGGCATCCAGGAGCCGTTTCTGCGTCCCCTTTAGAACATTCCGTTGATCCACGAGGTTATCCAGCACTTCTCGCCCTTGGGCAAGGAACTCATCCAACCTTGTCTCTGTATTCTGGATAAACGAGTGCTCATGTAATGCGTGACTTTCACGAAGTGTTGAGCCTGGTAGTGGCGTTGGCGTACGGAAAGGAGATTCAGAGTGTTGTGACGGGGATGCTCCGCCATTCAAGGCAGCAGCAGTCGGCGTGAAGCGCCGTCTTGTGTCTGACGAAGGAGATAGCATACTTGACGAGCCACCTAGAAGTTCGTTTCGCTGTGCCGCAGCTCTCTGCACTTGCATGTGAGACCTCCATTCCGAACACAATACTGGTGGACATGCCTCGGTTTTAAGTAGTTCGAACTGACTCTTCAGTTCAGCATAGTCGGAGCGGAACTTCTGCACCCGCCTGCACGATGACAGAGACAAGTTAATCCGATACAAACTATTGACGCGTGGCCTATGTTACGCACATTTGCCCTTTCTCCTGCTTCGCCTTTATTATTTCCCTCTTAGCCATCGAATCATAATCCTCGATGGTTCGGTGCATCGCAGCGAGTGAGGCAGATATCTGTCCTAACGAGGCGGGTCCGTGAGTTCTTGCGCATCATACAAACCCCTTCCCCTCGAAAGTTAGAAGGGAATTTAACAGACCTAAGAGAGATGCTGAGTTGTCTCCATTGCGCAGCCGCTCGAGATCTGCAGTAAGCGAATTTGTTTGCCGGACACCATGCGTATAGAGGGAATTCATAGTGCAGCCAGCTGCTCCTCTGGAGCCCTCGAATGTATGTCTTGCTAAAGCCTTGCGGGACAAGAGTATCGCGTTTGGCAAACGTGTCGGTTACATCATATATGTCCGGCCGGAACCGCCGAGATACCGGAGGTTTCGGCATTCAAATTAGTAACTACTCCGAAGAAACCTGTTGATAATGAAAGGAATCTACTACAAGCTGCGCAGAATGAGAAAATACATGATTGACAAGGGAATAACCTGAAATTATCTGCGTTTTCCCTTCCTCGAAGATTTTCCTCCGGCCCGTTCTGCCTTCTCTGTGCGTCGTGCCCGCTGCTTGGAGCGCTCCGCCAGACGTGCCGCCTTCGTCTGGTATTTGACACTCTTCGTCTTCTCGTTTTTCTTTGCCTTGCGTTTTGACTTCAAAGGATCATTATGGGGCTTTTCTTTCCCTTTTGTCTTCACGACCGTGACGGAGGGGGTGTCCAACCGATCAGTTGGTACGGAGCCGGTTATGGGTGGATCATGTAAGAAGGCGGCAGGATCAAAATCTTCGACCACTGTAACAGTGGCAAGTTGTTCTTCGCCTTCATACTCTCCGTTTACCTCCCGTTCCCTGTCATTCCCCGAGAAGTTCAGCCCCTCGTCCTCGTCATCTGAATCATCTATCGAACGTCAGTGATCTGCAGCACAACGCACACGGGGATTGATCACTTATGATGGCACCATATGCCTTCTCAACCTCCGCAGCATTCTGTGCGGCTCGCTCCGCTAAGGCTCGCCGATGCTAGTTAAAACCATTAGATTTCTGGAAATGGCCAAACGACAGGCAAGACATAGACACACCTCGCGTCGCGTGTCTAGTCTTTCCTGCTTTTCCCTGAGCTTCGCCTTCTTGATAGCCTCCTCTTTCTTTGCCACCTTCCGCTTGTGAAATCCGGTGAGGAACTCTCTAGCGAGGAGCAGTGTATGTGAAGTCTTGCATTCGCGGATCTGTACCATGCGTACCTGCGTGCATCTTCGTCGAATAGGACTTCCTTGATCTGATTTCTTTTTTCGCGTTTTTTTGCTGCAACAACTCTATGTGACTGGGTTAGAATAGCGATATTGGAGTCCATGGAGGATGTGCTTTGGTCAAGAATAGTTGCCGGCGGTCCGGGAAATGAACGGAGATGCTAACGTAATCCGGAGGTAGTGGAATACAGTACTTGGCATTTATTGACAAGCTGTTGGCATCGTATTCTTCTTTCGTCTGGAAATGGGATTATAAGATGCTAGCTGCTCTCAGGCGCACATTTTTCCGCTCCTTTCTCCCCCGCCCATCTTTCATACTCGCATAGTATCGACCTATCACTTTCTTCATCATCCCCTTCGTCGTCGAGCCTGATCAATGCCTGCTATCGCTTTAGCAGACACCTCACAGCCAGTAGACCCCGGTCAGGGTTCGGCACACGCGACGAATCGCGATCCTATCAATTATTACTTGCGCCCGCCGGCTCCAAGAGGACAAAGACCACCGAACGACGTTCACGCTCTTTACGATAGCAATAGTACCAACCTTTTCATTCCCCCATACTCCCAGCCTGCATACTTTGAGCGAGTTCATCCGCTCGCCAGCCAGCAGATCTCAGTACACACACAAAGTACACACCCACCACCTTCCATGTTCAGTTATTTTGCAGTGCCCCCCCTGGGCTCCGCTGGGTCCTGGCAAACACATGTGACAACGGTTCAGCATAACTCTTATCCGCCCCCATCTCTCCCGCCCTCCCAACTCACTCATAAAGTGTGGATACTGGACTGTAAATCTTGTGGCACATTTCTCACCAATCGCGGTATGAAGGCGAGTTAATTTTAGACCTGAATGAATTTTCGATTTTTTGTCATGTGAGAGGCAGTTAATAACCCAATAATCTGTTTTCTAGGCTGTTTTGCTGCTAAGACCTAATGTCTCTCTTTTTTCGACCGATGCACTTCCAATAAATTGTTCTGCATACACAACAAATCCGGACGCTCTTCGCCCACCGCCATGCCGTCCGTCAGCCGTTGCTTCCCCCCCTCGGACGTGCGAATGCCTGACTCAGACTCTCTGCTGTCATACTTGTGGTACAGCCGTCGGCTATATGATCGTGATTCCAGTAAGATTCCTGGTGTGAGAACTGTGTGAAGTGTTGATTGTGTTGACATATTTTATCAGTGTTCTCGGTGTACGTCGTCAATCACCGCGAATAATCGCGCAACCAATGGTCATCGCTTCGTCTTCCATTCTAGCGAAATAACTGCATCAGAGCGATATCATATTCTTGACGAACCAGGGGTTATCCCAGTAGAATTCACAGCACCTATTTCTCCTCCTCCTTTGACGTCCGCTTATTCTGCGCTGTCTCCCGTTGATGGTCCCGCTGGTTATCGGCGGACTGTACACCCGTTCCCTTCCCAGACTACCCCTTCGCCTACCTTGTCTCATTCGTCTTCCGAATCTATTCCCACACTTATCTCAGAGTACGGGGACCTGACCTCAACGCCACACCCATCCTCGCCTGATCCATACTTCTTCACAACATCAGCTTCTCCTCGCCGCTCACCACGTCCTCTCCCTCAATCTCCGTTCCCTCATACATCAGCCTCACAACCGATGCAGTCTTCATCACAACAAGGCACCCGGGAGTCCGCGCCCGAGTCAAGTGGAGTGCCTGTTGAATTCCAAGACCCACCTGTTCGGAGGCTGAAGGCGGGGGATGGGCTCTATTGGCATCACCTCGCAAAGAATGGCGAGATTCCGGGGGTACAAGAAGATCCACGCGCCAGGATATCGAAGAAGAAGAGTGGACCTAGATTCTCGGACCGCTGAGAAAGTTCAGGTTACTGGGACAACACTCGTCTCAGCGGCACGGTGGCCGAAGCACTGTCGATTTACGACTCGTCATGACCCTGTTGTTTCACGTCCATAAAGACAGACTTATAACGGTATCTATTTCCTGATCGATATGTTTCATTATTCATTGTGCAACTACGGCGTCTCTCACAGAATACCACGATACCCTCATCTTGTCCCAATGTAACCGTCACTCACGGACTAGCGCAAATAGGTCAATCACATCGTTACATACTATCTATGCCTGATCCATTTCTTCTCATCGATACTCACGCAGAAGGGTTGTTCTGTAGATTTTTGTGTATGGCAAGGATAAGCATAGCTTCTGCAGTCATGAGCCCACTCGAACTAAACTTAAGCTTACAGGTTTGTCATGTCTGTCCATAATATGGAACACGGGTAAACCTCGGAGCCTGGATTGTGTGGTACTGCTGTCTCGTGGACTCTTATGACGGTCCGCTAACTCAACCTTGGCTCGTGACTGCTCTAGTACTTAAGGTTGCAGAGAAGATCATGTAGCTCTGCGCATTTCCTTTGCTATGTCTTCTTACCTGAAAGTTTCTGGAACAAATCTCGTCGACGGGGGCGGCAAAGAAGTCGTCCTCAGAGGGGCAGGTCTCGGAGGGTGGATGAAGTGAGTTGTTCTGATTTCCGAGTGCAATAACACGTATCTTATCAATCTCCTGATAGCATGGAGAACTTCATTTCTGGATACCCTGGCTGCGAATTCCAGATCCGTGCTGCTCTCGCTGAAGTCGTGGGACCCATTAAATCAGAATTTTTCTTCAACAAGGTGAATTGATCTTCGTCTGAATGATTGCTCCTGGTTCTCATGGGGAGGCCAAGTTTCTGGAGTACTTCTTCCAGGAGGAGGATGCCAAGTTTTTCAAGAGTCTTGGACTCAACTGCATTCGGCTACCTTTCAACTACAGGCACTTCGAAGGTACATAAGTGCCTTGAGTTCCGCAGTTCGTCGGACTTATGGTGCTTATTAGATGATATGAATCCCCGTGTTCTCAAAGAAGAGGGTTTCAAGCACCTTGACCGTGTAATTGACCTCTGTGCCCAGCAAGGCATTTACACCATTCTTGATCTCCATGCTGCTCCAGGCGGTCAGAACACTGACTGGCACTGTGATGCTGGCACGCACGTCGCAAATTTCTGGGTGCACAAAGATTTCCAGGATCGTACAATCTGGCTCTGGAAAGAACTTGCTAAGCACTATGTTAACAACAAGTGGATTGCTGGCTATAATCCACTTAACGAACCCACTGACCCCACGCATACCACTGTGATCAAATTCTACGATCAAATATACGACGCCATCCGCTCGGTCGACACAGAACATGCCATTTTCTTCGACGGGAACACATTCGCAAGTGACTTTTCACATTTCGGTGATATGCACAAGAAGTGGCAGAATACTGCGTACTCGATCCATGGTATACTTTGAATCACCAATTCCGTGGATTTATCTTATGCAAACTGCAGACTATAGCGTATACGGCTTCCCTGCCAGCCCAGAGGACTATGTCAGCTCCGACGAGCAACGACGGAGAATGAAAAGGAGCTACGAGAAGAAGAGGGAATGGATGGACCAACGCGGCCTCTGCGTCTGGAACGGCGAATGGGGCCCGGTCTACGCCAGGAAGCAGTACGATGGCCTTGCTACAGACGCAATCAATGAAAGACGGTACAAGGTTCTCAAAGACCAGTTGGCCATCTACAACGAGGTACATTGGCACTGAATACACACTCACTGTTAGCTGATATAACACTAGGATCGTCTGAGCTGGTCGATCTGGTTATACAAGGATATTGGATTCCAGGGCATGGTCTACGTTTCACAAGAAACGCCGTACATGGCACTGCTGAAGGACTTCTTAGCGAAGAAGCATCGGCTTGCTGTGGACGCTTGGGGTGCTGACACCTCTCATGTCCAGCACATATACCAACCTCTTATCGATCATGTCACGAAAGAGATACCGGAGGAGAACCAGGACCTATATCCGTTCCCAGTCTGGAAACTATCCCATCGTGTCGGTCGCTTGTCCCGCAGCATACTGGTGGCCGAGTATCTTGTAAAGGAATGGGCAGAACACTTCCGTGGAAAGAGCGAAGTTGAGCTCGATGAGATTGCGAAGAGCTTCAAGTTTAAAAACTGTCTGCACCGTGATGGATTGAATAAGATCTTGATGGACAGTGCACATCTGGTTGCGGAGCAGTAGTATGAACTGGTGACTAGTTGTACGAATAAAAGCACTTACTCAAATGGAGATCTGTACGTTAGGCGCACAAGTCTATGAAATAAAACAATACGACACAAGTAAGACGTCAACAGATTTTGTAGGCCTGAAAATGTGCGCCTACTTGTTTTTAGAATTGAAATATTGACATGGCAATCACCAACGGGCCCGGGTCGAAATCCGTTAGGCCTGTACACCATTTATAAGTTACAGCATCTTGGTTTACTTCATCCTCGCAACAACATCGACCCCACTTGGGCGTCATCATGTGGTGCAGTATTGCGAGCGCTCGATGGATTCAACGGGGTAAACGTAGGCTCGATCGCCTTGCTGTGCCAGTGAGAAAATACGCACCATATGTTACGACGCGGCCTCACAATATCAAGAGCGAGCCAATAAGGTGAAATTCGGGTGTTGACACGTTGATCGGGTGGTGCGTCAAAGCAATCGAAAATGAAAGATTCGCGAACTCAGCGTGGTTACAGCGAGATTGGTGACATTGAGACTTTATCATGTACTTCGTGCTGCACACCGTCAGGGGAACTTCTCGAAGAGGAAGCCATAACAATACTGGTGGAGAGATTACAAGTATCATATTGAGAGACAGGCGACAGCACAGACAAGAGTAAATGTGAACAAAACGAAACAATTTAGATAACGATTTTATATAAGAATAACCCGAAGACAATGTGATGGACCAATACATAAGGACGAACACTAACTCACATGATAGGAGATAGTCGTACCAGTAGAGATCGTTGAGTCCATGCAGTCAATGATCGATGGCATCTACTCGGTTTGCCAGCCACTGCTCCGCGAGGCTCTGGAAGCCACCTTTGGCACGCAAGAAGTCAAGCACGCTATGACCGACGATGCTGCTACACTGTTCTGCTCGCCCAAAACCTGATAGGCAGGTCTTTCTATATTCATCCTCTGAGACATTGATAATAGAGGAGATCGGTGGAATGGATAGCGACTCAATTGTGACTCCGGAGTAACCCCGCAGGAGCACAGGCAACGCAATGAGGGTCGACAAATCGGCAGTAAGCGTCTCGATCTCCTCCAGAACCTGCTCACGCGACTTGCCGATCCTGAACAACGGGTTTTCTATACTTTCAAGCAGTGAGACCAAAGCATTTAAGTCAGAAAACGCTTCATCCACAGCCTCGCGAGCCACACGTGTCGCATCGCGCCCCGCAGGAGGACGTGGAAGGAGAACCATGAGGTCGTGGAGCGCACGTGCATCAGCGGCCGCTGATGAAGTAACCTGGATGCTGGGAGGAGACGATGGGCGTGAGGGTGGCCGTGAAGGTGGCAACTTAAGAGTAAACCGTGTAGGAGTCTGAGTTGCGGGGGGAGCATTACCAGAAGTGGCGCGCTGCCTCTTGGTTGCGGATGTGAGCTGCGGTGAACCCAGCGGGGACGTAGATGGCGAAACCGTCACTTGGGGCCGATTCGCGAAAGCCACGAGGGCTCTCCAAATGACGGAGATCAAGAAGGTTGCCAAGGTCGTTTGGGAAGAAAGGGCTGTGGTGTACCGTACCAATGCACGGGTGTATACAGGCATAAGTGATTGTAATGATATGATGGATGGATGAAGAATGACTTTGGTACCTGTCTTAGGCGCAGTGACAGCAACAGGCTTTTCCAGAGACTCCAGGAGAGGCATCAGTTCAGACTTGATGCCAGCAATGAGTGGGTTCACAACACGACCTATGAGGGAAACAAGACCTTCGCGAATCGCCTTCAAACCGTCTCCTCTCGCATCATTGTCCAAGCCCAAACCTATTTCATCGAAGCTGTCGAGGAGCTCTCCTGCAAAGCCTGCAGCTGCGAGTGCATGGAGCTGGGTTGCAGTAGGATTGGGAGCCTGTACAGTGGGAGGAGGTGAGGAAAGGAATGCAGGCGAAGAAAGGAGGGGGAGAATGAGTGCTGAGAGGTTGCTGAGTAGGACAGATAATGGCCTGTGAAGTGAACGAAGGATAGCCTTGTGCAAATGGAGATTGTTTCGGCATGCCTTGAGCTCCCTGGTTACAGCAGTTAGAATGGTGTCATGGATAGAAGAAAACGACCGACGAGGAAATTAAAAGTCCGAGCACTTGCCCACGACCAGGAGGAATTGGACGTCTACCTCCAACTAACTCGCCAACAGACGCTGGACCGGCAGGTTGCGCTAGTGCCTTTGAGACCGCCTCACTAAGCTTAAGACTGAGTGCCTCAAGGTAAGACCCGTCTTGCACAAGCAGAGTTGGAGGGGGAGAGGAGACAGACATCAAAGAGGACGGTCGTTTGAAGCCACTGAAAGAGAGCTTGTTGAGAGGTCGGGACGTCCTCTCCAGGACCGTACCGGATTCAGGACGGGAAGGGGGATTCGGTGATGCGGGGCGACTGTTAGGGCGGAAGAGATTTGGGTGCTTGAATGAGATCATTGCCGGACGATGGGGTATGTAGAGAATGAGATGTAACGTGAACTGTTCTTTCTTCGTTCTATGTGCGGAAGTTGTTGCGATTCCAGAGGAGGCAGTCTGGTTGCAAGAATCAACGTGAAATTATCCCATCAGCCGGTAGGAATGAAGATAGATATCTTAAAGTCAAAAAAAAAATCTTGACAAGCCCTAAGGAGGACGGTCTGTGTTGACAAGGGAAACTGCAAGAGGTCCGAAGAGGATGGTGTGAGTCAGGCGTGGTGTGCTGCGAGCCATGGACATTAGAAGGTCAGCGATCAACACGCAAGAACATGGAGAACGCACTTCAGTGGTGGATACAAAACCATAGATTGGTACCAAAAGCGCTCCCAAGTGATTCTTGGTCTACGAGCCGGAAGGGAGGTTTCCTGGTCAATTTTTTTGAAGAAGGTCCGGGTTATATCACAAGCCGCAATTTTCCCACGACTCGATACTGGAGGCTGACATATCAGATAAACCATTTGTTTGCACACTCGCACGGCTGCCAAAAAGCAGCTTCTTCCGAGCAGCATAAACTTGGCAGGACCTAGTTCCAGGTGCGGAATTACCATTGCTGGATGTCAACACGTGTCTGAAATGACTCCATTCGACGATCTACTAAGCTTGCCTTAAATTCAAGACCTCGAAAGTTTTATTTCTCACCGGTGGACAATGATATCCGATAAGCCGATACCAAACATGTTCGATCTGATCGCAAATGCCGCATGACAAACAGCAGGGTATGTCATATGTCCTCCAAGAGTCTCTTGATAGTGGTCCGTAGCTCAATATCATCGCACCGGAGACGCCACAGACAGCTTTCTTCTTCACTCTCCCGGAGACGAAGGGCGGCGTATCGTGTGGGCTCCACCAAGGATGAATCAGATGGTACAACAACCAAGACTTTGAGCTCCCCTGACGGGCCGAAGCAAATATAGATCTCAGTATGGTTCCGTCTCGCAGTTGAGGGTAGACATACCTTCAAATGGCGGCTGGTCAACTGCGATGACTCTCATGGAGTGCTGTAAACTCTGTAGAAGCCTCACGATGTTGTCCATCGACGACTCGCACCAGCCTCGGAAATTGGAGGTTTCCATGGCGTCCCAGACTTCTTCGAAGTCGGGCTCAGGAGTCAGAACTGTCACAGGAACCTCGCTGAAGGTAGCATCGAGCGATATGAGATCAACACGAGATGCCTGATGGCAAGGTGATATCAGCATGGGAAGTACGTTCAAATGGCTCAAAAGACGTACTAAATCTTCGCTTGGTGGTGCGTTGGGATTCTGAACGTGGTCAGGCTGATCCCAGTCAGATATATGAGGATGTGTGTACTCAGTAATCCTCACCTCAGACAGATCTTGTATTGGACCCTGCGCAGCAACAATAGTCAATTCTCCTGGGGTGATGGTCCTCGAGAGCTCAGCCAATGAAATTTCACTCGCACGCGAGGAACTTCGTGTCCTACTTCCCATTCTTTCGTTTCTGTGCGGACTTAATATGTGCCTTAGACTGGGCACAGCCTGGGGAGCAGCATATGCTTCGTAACGTAACTTGCCAGGAGATAAGTTAGCTCGTGAAGGCGAACCTGGCGAAGGTCCCGATATCGCCGAAGGAGACTTGAAATGAACAGGCGTTGAGGCGCCGGTGGCATCTGATTGATACATGATTAGAGCTCCCAGAAAGTCTGGGAGCTAATTTGCGGTTGGTCCTCAGTAGAAAGAAGGAATGGTCGCTGACTTACCGAAGACGAAGGCGCTTGAGCGATGACACTAGTGAGCACATTCCTTTGACCACAGTAAGTCAAGAAAAGGTTACACCGCTGATGGGGGGGTCATTTTAAACACTCGTCTGGACGGCGACGGGACTCACATTCCGAATGCGCTTCCCGGAGAACTGGGATATTTCGGCGACAAGCTTCGAGATAGTTTGGGGAATCTCGTTACACTCTGCAGACATTCGAAGCATGGATAGTAGGCATGCATCCTGTACTGTAACTGCTGCTTCCTGAGCGTCTACTTCACTGGTTCAAAGCACATCTTCCACACACCACCATATGAGACAAGTCTGCTAGCCATGCCTTGGAGTAGTGCCAAGGGTGATGTTGCTATCTTCCCGCAGTATTCACAAACCAAGGCAGAAATAATCACCATTAGAGTCGGCCCAATCCGAACATCTAACTCTGTGGCAGAGACCGCCAATGCGGTAACGCACGAAATACGAGATGTAACGTCAACTGGGGCAGTCAGCGGTGAACCAGTAGCGCAATGATTGCACGTACATTCTCGGATGTGGGTAAGGATCATTTCAACTCCCACTTCTAGGACAGACATGTCCTCCGTACGACCTTGAGTGTCGCCCTCTGCAACGGCAAACAGGTCCTTGAGGTAGATAGCATACTGTTCCCCGTCATTTTCATACTGAAGTTCGCCAACATCAAGTAGACGGGACACATATTCGCTCTTGGCAGATAGAGTTAACCCAATAGGAAGGTTGTGTAGCAACTGCGTGCTATACGCCTCAACCAGGGAAGGATCGACCGCCTGTAGGACCCTCAGGGTCTAACTATATTAGTTCCGCAGCACCACTACACACGACTATCGGCGCTCACTGTCTTTCGAACAAGCCTGTCATGTGAATCAAGGAGTTTTATCACCTCTTGAACCTCCCACTCATCCAAAATTGCTGTTGTTCCTGGCAGAGTCCCTGCCCAAAGAGTGGGGCTCAGGCAGTCTAAGCACGAAATAAACAGGTACTGATTGTTAGGATCCTTTGACGTCAACAGGCGTCGAATGCAGGCCACCGGCGACAGAGACCGCTGCATTTGGCACTCTTGGATAGCCTCTGCTGAGACGGACGACAAGACAAGAAAAGCCTCCCGCAGCAGCACTATTTCTTAGATTTCAGCAAATGTCCTCCAGTGCAAGTACTCAAATTACCTCGCACTGGGGGATCAGATGTGTGCTTGATAATGTCAAGCGCAATACCAATGTTCGGCACCGATAGCCTGCTATCCATCAGACGACAAGTTGTAAATGAGTGATTGATACATACTTGGCTTTTCGAAGGGCTCGAAGAACCAATAAAGCGAGGGATTGAGACTGATGGCCGAGTCTTTGCCATACAATTGGCAGGAGAGCGTTGACTTCATCATTGATGGATTCAGTTCGATTGAGCTATATGCACAAATGTCATTTTCATCTGTACCCCGTCAAAATACACGCACTTTTATGGCTGCTGCCATCGCGCAAGAGTCCACAGAAGGCAACGTACGTTGGATGCGAAGGACCACTGCATCCTCTAGTGGTGTCAAGCGCGAAGGATCATTGCGTAGCAGTGAGTGATACGCCAGATAAGCTCTACGACGAACTGATATCCTGACTGCAGAGTCAGCGTACACCGGCGATGCCATATGTCTTGAACTGACGACTTGTGCATGAATAGGGCCTGCAAATGCGATTGTACTGCGGGTACTACATCATCATTTGGCGCTTGAATTAAGACACTGAGAGCGAGGCAAATACGCGGTGTGGATGAGCTTTCCAGATCCTTGAACGAAGTCAGTCTGGTATTTTCGTAATCGCGAGTGCATTGACCTTGCGAATAGTATTGACTAGCATGAGCTGCAACTCGTGATTCGGTGGCATAACTTCAGTGCAAAAGACGAAGGCTGTGCGCTGATTATTGAGGGCAATTCAGGATCCAAGAATAATGAACACCGCACCGAGTTGCTTGTCACGCAATGTCTGCCCCATCTCTGCCAAATTGACAGCGTGTGGCAAAGCAAAAGCGAGCTCGCCAGGATTAACGCGTGTTAAGTTCATGGAACAGTAGAGAAGCATAATCAGCTTCTCCCTGCATTCTTTCTGCACGTCACGTTTACTCAAATGCAGTTCGAATATGCCGCTGCTTACGCACGAGCGATACACCTCCAATCGTCAAGTGATGTCTAATGCCATCGATTTCGCTCAGCAGGATCTGGTCTGCTGCTTGCGGAGACTGTGCAGACTCCACTTTGCGCACCAAAGAGTAGTGAGCACGACTCAGAGCTCCGGAATTGATGAACGGCACGTCCATGTGAGCAAGATGGATGCGGAGGTTAAGCGTGTAGCGCTTACCACAATCGCGACATACTAGGCATGAGCACGTGAACTAGTAAACGTAAACAAACATCAATATGGCCTCCTCCTCACCACAATCATTGGCAGCGACTGCACATTCATTCAACAAGATCCTCAATCAACCCAGGTCATCAAAATCAAAACGATCTGGTGATGTGGAAGAAGGAACGAAGAAACTGCGGCGGATGATCCTGGTCGAGGGCATACCTTCAGCGGTTGTATGTCTTACAAGGTCCTCGAACTTGAGCTATGCCAAATAATCTTGTTATAGGACCCTACTCTCCGTCCTCGGATATGGAAAATTCTGTTGCGTGTCGATGATGTCTCAGCAGGCACATTTTTAGAATACGTTGCTCGTGGCCCTTGTGAGGTTCGGGAGAAAATAAGGAACGATACATTTAGGTACGTCACAAGCGCCCGACACCAATCGTTGTGCCAATGGAACCTGCAGGACCCTGGCAACAGATCGAGGTTTCAAGGAACGAGTACGGGAAGATATGCTTGTCCGTCTGTTGGACGCTTTTGTATGGCGTAATCATGGTGAGTTCAACCGCCTCGTGGCGATACAATGGAGGAGTGATTGGCCCTTGTAGACCGGCAAGAAACTCAGCAACTGGGCTTTACGTACGTCCAAGGAATGAATGTACTGGCTGCGCCATTTCTGTACACCATGCCTTCAGAACTGGAAGCTTTCTTCTGCTTCGCCAAGTTCATCGAGGAGTGCTGCCCACTATACGTTCAACCCACACTAGAAGGAGTGCACCGTGGTCTTAAGGTAGCATTCTTATGATTTCTCCCGCGTTTTGCTAAAATTCCTATAGCTACTCGACAGATGTTTAAAGATCGTAGACCCCGAGCTGTTTGGATATTTGCGAATGAAAAACCTTTCGGCTGAAATCTATGCATTTCCATGTGCGTTTCTTCCCATAAGCATCATTTGATATGTTGACGGTCATAACTTTATAGCTGTTCTGACACTTTGTGCATGCACACCACCTCTTGACCAGGTGCTCCAACTATGGGACTTCCTTCTTGCATTTGGCGTCCATCTCAACGTCCTGTGTGTCATTGCCCAACTGCTTCTCATGCGAGATGAAGTAATGGCATCATCAAGGTTACATCAACAGTTTTGTATCTGTGACCATTATACTTATCTTCATTCTAGCCCCATGCGCTTACTGCGAACGTTCCCGCCCCTAGAAGCAGTTCCAGTCATAGGCATCGCTGTAACCCTTGTTCGCGATCTCCCTGCAGATCTGTATGACGAACTCGTTCGACACCCGTACGAAATCAATCACATGTAGCTTATACCTTCCCACAGAGCGCCGTCCTCAAAGCCCGCGCAGGTTCTTTCATCCATACCTGTATTGTATTGTAGCATACTATTTCGATATCTGTGTTGTATGTAAGTCCCTAGTTGTTCACCAGTCAGCCTCAAATGATATTCATGAAGGCGTGCTATCTATCGAATACTTACTGACAAAAATGATTGTGTTGGTGAAAAAAATGTTAGTTGAGTGATGAGATCATCAGGCCCGAGCTTCTCTCTTACTAGTTGCTACCTGAGAGATCCTGTCCCAAGTGCCCATCATGAGAAATCTATCTTTGAATCTTGGAGTCCACCTCCTCACCGTATATACAACCAATAGCACCGACTTCCATTAATCCTATAGTGCTCATCTTTTGCATGATCCAGAGCAAGCTTGACCGCCTGCCAAGTAGCGCAGCAAATCGTATGCATGGGCGGCTCGAAACAGTTTAATGTCTTGTCGCTGTTCGATGCATCGGTAGAGACGAAACGTTGAAATTCTGAACCAACTTCCTATGTTATTCAAACTTCTGTTATAGGCCTAAGCAACAGCTCCTTCGCGTAGAAGGCTTGTAGTAGACATCTTCAGCCTTCAATAATCTCCCAGCCCTCCTCGACAATGATAGGAGTGGTCGGGTGATTTCCGTCGTCCTCTGTTGTGCTTTCCGTCGCGTCTGCCTCAGATTTCGCCAATGTGCCTATGATCCTGATCCGCTTCATACCGCCGTCAGGGTAGATTGATATCTTGACATGCGTGTACCGCTCGCGGGGATCGCTCAACTGGAAGAAATGCAAGCGGTGGGGGCCCAGTTTGACAGGGGATAAAATAATCTTCCAGCCATCGCTGTTTGCACCCGGCACGTTTTCTTGACTGCATATGCCCCAAATATCACAACTCTCCGGGAAGTTGCCTTTGAAATGGATGGTATCGATGACCGCCGTTGACAAGTATCCTGGGGCACCGCTGAAAGAGAGTGAATGAAATTTCACAGTCTGCAAGCGGATAACAACATACAGTTTAATAGTGACCCAGTCCTGGTGATTCTTTGCATAGCTTCTTTTGGTTTCCCATCCATCCCCCATATCTTTCCCTGTGTTCTGTAAGAAAACCGGTCACTCGTTCGAAGATCCAGTGTTAACTGACCTCGCCCCGGAAGAAGAAGATTCGAGCTTGACCCAAAGTGGTCGTCAGATGTAGCGACGACCTTACCGCCTGCAAATATATGGGCAAGGTCGAAGGGTTCCACAGGACTTGCAGGAAAGACGGGCATTATACGTCCATAGACGCGGAAGCGGGCCTGCAAAGTATGAAGCACCTAAAGTACTCTTGCAGGTGCGCACTTACGATCCCCCCGTCTGGATATATTCTAAGTCTGACATAAGTAGCCTGTCCCGTCGCAGGTATCTTGTAGATATGTCGGCGTGATGGTCCCAGCCGTACTCTCGGTAGGATTTCTTTCCACTGGGATATCGATCAGCTTCGTCTCTGATGACGCCATGCGCACCACACGTACCGCCGCTCCTTCAATTGGAAATTCATACGCAGCATCGACTGAAGCCTCTGGTGCCTCGTTGCCTAGATAGCGATGCCGTTAAGCTATGATTTTCTATAGAGCGACAACCAGGGCATTGCGCATACCATTGAAGTGAGTTGTATCGATGTCGAAGCCAATGATAATCCCTGTCGTTCCTAGTTTGATGGTACACCTATGCAAAAGGTCCTCTTTCAAGATACGTCGGTCCCACAAAATGCACCCACCAGTCGTATGTTGGGTTGTGTCGACGCGTTTCCCATCCGCTATATAGCTCCCCATTCGGTCCATATTGCTTAGCAAGGCTTACGGGCGGCTGTAAACTTCCGTATCGAATCAAGGCACAAAGTGACTGAGTTAAGCACTGACCTCGACTAGCAGGAGTTGGTATGCCTCAGCAAAGAATTCATCAGAAACGTGCACTACCTGTCCTCCTATAGATACACTCGATAATTCTGCCGAAAGCCAGTTCAGTTGAAGCAGGAACTACTATGTTTGACCGCTAACCTGTGGTCGACCCAAACACCTTGGAGAAATCCTCCAGCGGGACTACCTCGTAAGCCATGGCACATTGCATTTCATGATAAGCCCACGCAGTGAATGAGATATGTTTATAATTAGAATACCCGCTACCGCATGTCATGACTCGAGTTCACGAATATCACAACTTGCAGCAACGGACTCGAAACGGCAGTGACCTAGGATAGCTACACCATACCAAGTTCTAACTGCTGTTCCAAGCATTTAATGTTCAGCATCGTTCCAAACATCACCTTGACTGGAGCGAAGTTTCGATGTATGCGTGAAATGATAATCTTGGTCTCCCTCACCCTCCTCACCCGCTTCCTCTTCTTCTTTCTCTTCCAGAAGATCAGTGCAATCAAGATAACCCCCGCAGCACTCAGAACAATAGCTCGGCGCTGGGCTCGGCGCTAGGGACTGCGAACTGGCCGATGCGGGCGTAGGGTTTTGATCTACCGGCTGTCCATGAATAGGAGACAGTATCTGATTTGGTGGTGTCCGACGAGGTTCTTGGGCATGCAAGGGTGAAAGTGTAATCGGCTGCGAGGGTGCTTGACAAGGAGGAGACTGGGGGCGAAGGCCGCCAGGACCTGCGAGTGGCTGTGAACATGAGGATATTGGTTGTTGTCGACCATGGAAGGAGGTGTCATCTGGAGCAGCTGGCGGCCGAGGTGCGGTGATCTCCTGGAAGCGCGCAATCGATGCAGAGGCATTTACTAGGTTGCGAAGTAGCTCGGATGATACTTGTACCTGGACGAAGAATGTACGTTCGGCTGTGTGTCACCCGAAAACATAAGTGCGACGTACAACTTCATGCGGTGAGGCAAAAGGTATGGCAGCTCGAGCTAGCTCTAGCTCTTGTCGTAGGCGTGCATTTTCCTCTTCAGCCCTTGAACACCGTTGCTCGAGTTCGGAAATATATCGTGCCTTGCGTGCCCGGTAATCACGCTGCTGGGTAAGCTGTCGCGTAGGAGCAACGGTCAAATCTCTCTTGCGTCCTCTGACCATGTGTACATGGTATGTGGTGAATACGTTGAATGACGAGATTGTTTCAAAGGTGACACTAATGTGAGCAGTTCAATAAGCTATGAGACGCTGAGTGTTTGTTGTAGAACATCGATTCAAACTCATGAGACAAGCTTAAGGTTGTTGCTTACCAATGGCATCACCCACAAATTTGCGATCGGGAAACCAGCAAGTAATACACTTATGTTGTTGAACAGAAGGGACAGTAAATACATACTGCACCAGTTTGGACATGATATGACGCCCTCGTAGCCAGGGTTCTGCTCACTCAATTAGTAAATCGCAGGCACAATCTCGACGATCAAAGTTTCTAGTCCTACGAATATCGATGTATCAATCTACAAGTGAATACGAGAATCCCCAGACCCTGCGCGTCAGGAGGTGAAGGAGAGCACTTGGCCCCGGCGTTTCAACCAGACATCCCACGCCATTTCGTTTTCGCTCAAGTCCGACTTCATCTGGGCCTCCTGCTGACAACGCCGGGTCTTCTAATTCTACTCTCGCAGGCAGCGCGGTCGACTCGAGGACCCCGTTTCCGAGCTGGAGCAGGTCTAGCTGAACCTGGACCTCTGCGCGATTGAGACCTGGTGCATACGCAGTATTCTCGTCTCTTCGGTCGGTGACGAACATGCCACGAGTGATTTCTCCTGTCCTTTATAGAAAACGATGTCAGGAGAGTAATAATTCATCGAGAACATACAGGATCGCACCGTTCAATATCGAAGGTTCTCTCGGCTACAGCCCATCCAGGTGACATTCCAGGAAAATCGCACACTGGATTGATCTCAGGTGGGTTCTCGATTGCGCACCAAATGGCAACAATGTCGTGCAACTCTAGAGCATCCTTTCCGAAGTCGACCATGATTTCCCTCGTGCGTTCGAAGACAGAGCTGGTGAAGTGGACAATGGGTGATTTACCATTTGGGTTCGATGGTTTGGCTGTAGACTCAAACGCAGGGTCTACCTTCCGGCAATAATAAGGAAAGGGGAGTTCGTGAATAGTAGTGATATCCAAGGGAACGAGGACTAGTCTTTCGAGCGGGAAACCACTGGTGGGATCTGTCGGTACTAGAAGTTCTTTCGCTGCGTACGGATCGGCATAGACATTAACTGCATATGCGAACAAGGTCGGTGAGATTTCAACACGAACACGTATTTAAATTGCTCACATTCAGCGACCGAAGTAGTGTTACCAGGAACATCCACAGCTCCGGCCATGGCAATGACCCGACCGATTTTATCCACAACTGTTTGACGATGTTCACGCATAAGCTGTGCCAAGTTGGTCATAGGCCCTAGGGTAACATATGTGATGCTTCTGTCGGGGTATGACTCTAGTAAACATAGAGCAACCTCGACGCCCGATTCTTTCACCGGTTCAAAGTTGTGGCTGAAAGACGAACTTCCGAAGTCGACATTCAAATCAGGATGGCGCTCAGTTATATTTGATAAACCATCACTAGAGTAATGTTGAGAAACCATCTCCACAGGTGAAGGGGAACTCACCGGCCATGGAAGTATTGGGCATAGTGTCGTCCACCTCCTAAAGGTCCTTCCGGCCCGACTGCAAGGAGGGGAGGGACTGTAGGCGAGAAATTGGGAAACATTGCTTCATCTTCAGGGTATTGCGTAATGTGGCGGCCTATCGCTTGGTAAAGCTTGTAGATATTGGCGCTGTGGAGTCACGCTCAGTTTTTTTTAGACTCAAAGTGAGCTGCGCCTCAACTAAGCTGCGTGAACATCGGTATTCCCTGTGATCAAATATCGATAAGAATCCCGTCTCAGCCTACTCTTACGTGTTTACGGACCGAATGAAATGATGTATGCAAGAATTTCAAGTTCGGGGGATGCAATAGCAAGCAGGCTGTCGACACTGGATTTAGAACAATGTTCCTTTGATTTCGCGAAGCGAACACATACATAGCTAGAGTGTCGTCCACGCCAGGGTCAGTATCGACTACAAGGCATGGTCAGGCAAGAGGGGGCACAACGTGTTCGACCGACGACTCACTAATGACTGGTGTCCTCGTCTTCCCTCCCATGTTGCCAGTACTGTCGAACGAAACTATAGAAGGCTGTTATCGATTATATCAGAAATCACTCTTTATCTTTCGATCATTGATGCCATCAACACTTGAAAGTGACCGAAAGGTAAATACATACGGCTGCCGCGGTCTGTCGCATAGCCGAACACATTTGACATAAAACGCATAACAACTGTTGAATGCTGCGTTTAATCGGGGACGTTTGCTTTCCGGACTCAACAACAAGAAGTGCTTGCCCAGCAATAACTCAGTCTCCATTCGGAGATCAAAGGAAGGAACAGAGTGGTTTGTATAACATTGAAATTGCTACAGCAGCTCAATTGTACACGTAGCAAGTAAAAATTTCCCATGCGGTTTGAGCCTATTAACAAAACAAAGTCAGTTACAGTGAAACGCAAAGAGGGAAGAAGAATCAGAGATCTTGGTGGAAAATTAGTCTCATCGGCACTAGCCTCTGAAGTAGCAAATATTGAAGAATAACATCATAAGCGATGCGCAGTCACGCAGGCTCACCTTGCTCAAAATACCCTTGGCCAAGTCTCGGTCAGACCGGTCAGCGGTTGCGCTCCACGTTGTAAAGAAACTTTGGGAACTGTCTTCATAAAGCGGCATATGCCGGAGAACTATGCAGCTGAAGTCACAGTGGCTGTCACGTCACACGTCAGTATAGACGCAACTTATCCGCGTCCCTCTCGACATCCAGCGACTTACGACCAATGGCTGAATCCTTGCGTTTCCTTGGCTCCTTACCCGGCCACAAGGGATGGGTTACTGCCATTGCTACATCCTCGGAGAACCCAGACATGATTTTGACGGCTTCCCGAGGTATTAGTGACATTTTTGCCTAACTTTCATTAGTTGACCCTAGAATCAGACAAGACGATCATCGTCTGGCAGCTCACTCGCGATGAGGACACGTATGGCTACCCTAAACGGATACTCCATGGCCACAACCACTTCGTCTCAGACATTGTCATCTCTTCCGATGGACAATTTGCCCTTTCCTCCTCTTGGGACCACACCCTGCGTCTCTGGGACCTTAACACTGGCCAGACCACCCGCAGATTTGTGGGCCACACTTCCGATGTCCTGTCCGTCAGCTTCAGCGCAGACAACAGACAGATTGTTTCTGGTTCGCGTGATAGAACAATCAAACTGTGGAACACCCTTGGAGAGTGCAAATATGATATCAAGGATGATGGTCACACTGAGTGGTACGCTGTAATCATATATTGGAGGAAGATAATATCATGACAATATGGTTTTAGGGTGTCGTGCGTGCGCTTCAGCCCCAACGTTATGAACCCTGTTATTGTTTCGTGCGGATGGGACAAGGTCGTGAAGGTGAGTTTTCGCCAGGATTCATTTCACTGGCCGTCCTAGGTCTGGTGATGTTTATATCTTTCTTTGCTGCTTCAGAGGGTGACCACCCGATGAAGCAATTTTCCCCCACGATCTCTGAAGCGCTCGTACCGATGTCCTAGTACACTTGCTAATAGCATTTCGATAGGTCTGGGAACTGTCCAAGTTCAAATTGAAGACCAACCACTATGGCCACACTGGCTACATCAACACCATCTCTGTCTCTCCTGACGGTTCCCTTGCCGCATCAGGTGGCAAGGACGGCATTACCATGCTTTGGGACCTAAACGAGGGCAAGCACCTTTACTCGCTTGAGGCTGGTGATATTGTCAATGCTCTTGTTTTCTCGCCCAACCGCTACTGGCTATGCGCTGCCACAGCCAGCTGCGTTAAAATCTTTGACCTCGAGAGCAAGTACGTACTTGCAAAATCTTGTCACGATGTCTAGCTGATCTATGTGATCTCTAGGTCAATCGTCGACGAGCTCAAGCCTAGCTTCACTGACGTTGGCCCCAACTCACGGGAACCCGAGTGTGTGTCAATCGCATGGTCAGCAGACGGGCAGACGTTGTTCGGTGGTTTCACTGACAACCTCGTCCGTGTCTGGACTGTCACTTCTTAAAATCCCTTGAGGAAGTTGCGTGGTGGGGGACGCCTTGAGGTTTACCCAATGTATCCTTGTTACTGTAGCTGGCTGCTGGCATCTGAAAAAACATTGCATCTCTCAGTTCCTGCTATGTAGAATCCATGACTTAATGAACGGTTACAAAACTTTACAAAACTTCTGGAGCCTCATAGAAGGAACGACTGCTTGGTCTGCCTAAGGGAGACTGGGGGCCTCAGCTTCCTGCATGTTTCGTTGACGTTCCGCGTAATCCCAGCGATCCAGGCCTCCAAAGTCGATCTTCATCGCGCCCGAAGACAGGTTTACTTGCAGTTCGCAGATATGAGATACCCTAGCTCTCCAGCTATCGGCGCTGCAATGACAATCAGCACTGGTGACGAAGTAGATTCGTTGGCCTCACGTTGCTGTCCCGTACACGTCCGAGCTGGTCTGACTGACAACCCGCACGCATTGATCACTGTTAGACCTCGCATCGTATATCCACAGGTTTTCCCCCACATACACCTCCTGCCAGCCACCTGAGTCGACTAATCTGTTTGGAGGCCTGATGCGTTTGGCATCTGGCGGAGGAATGGGGGCTTGTCGGACATCCACGTCATTGAATAAGCGAAGCGCGGTGAGATTTGAGATGTTGGTTAGCAAGGCACGTTCCTGGGGTAGAGATGGATTGACGATGTGAAAAATTGCACTTAGCAAGCTCTCATCATCAGATTCATCACTGGCATCTTCTTCTGTTGTCGTTGCAGCGGTACCATGACCTGCTCTGTTGGGCTCAGGTTGATCGTCCATCGTCGTGTCATCTTCTTCAGAAGGACTAGCTGCAAATTCCCTTTCTCCTTCTTCCAATCGACTGCAGAAAGCCAACCAAGCAGCCTCATTGGAAAAGTCTGTTCGCAAAAGGATACCCAGTTCTTGTCTGTGAGTGGACGCTTCGTCAAAAGGATCATTATCCGTATGGAACTCCGCATTGCCAGTGTCAGTCGTCTAAGATATGTTTGAATGCCAGGAATCTTATCGGATGAACACTATCATGATTTGCTCAGTGCTTACAGATGGCAACGTTTTCTCGGCTGAGACCCAGAACTTCTGTGCAACCAAAAGCTTCCACCGTCTGCGCCCTTGGTTTGGCGATTGCGTCTTGATTGACGCGTAGTGAATCTGTGATTACGATGAACTCAGTTTGGGTCATTGAGAGAAAGTGACTGAACCCACGAGCAACCATTGTGGGAAAGGACTTGAAGACATTCTATCATATGTCTGCGGATGCTCGGTGTCCGTGACTGTCGAGGGTCGCCTGACCGTTTTGCCAGGTCACCAACTTCAAATTGCAAACCTCTAGCCTATAATTAGTATGTCATAAGGCGTCATGACCTCAAGGAACATATTCGATTCTCCGTTTATCACGACACGTGGTTGTCGGAAAAAGAGCGGAAAATGTACCTATTGTACCCTATTGTACCCCAGCAGAAACCTTGCAAGCGAGGTAATTTTCGTGTCCCAAAACATATCGGTTCGGGGTTGGTGGAGGGAGGGTTGGGTTGCAAGTGGTTATGGGGACTGCGCAGCTTATACCCGACTGATGCGGGGGTGCATAGTATTTGCGGGAGCCCCAGATAGAACCCCACTCCGAGACTCGCATGGATTCAAATCATCTCTAATTCAATCACCTGCGCATTTAATATAAGCGTCGGAGCGTTCTCAGGCGAACAGATGCGCTTCCTTCCTTTTCTTTTATGGCGCCTCCTGCAGGAACTACTGGTAAGCAGGGTCTTGTCCAATGTCTGGACCTGGATAATCGAACAGAACGCAGGAGCCCAACTCGGACGAAAGCAATGGGCCTTTGCATTCGCTCTGGTGACATCGCTATTCTTTACTTGTGAGTCACAGATCTCCTTCGATTGGAACCAGACTAACGAAGTCGCACTGCAGGGGGTTTTGCCTATGGCGTATGAACTTCCTTCATATGCAAATGTATTCCTCTGGCTGATTGAAACCTTCGACAACAGCTTCTTGATGTGCTCAACGCGCACTTTCAGACCGTATTCGGTATCACCAAGTTACAGAGCACGCTCCTACAACTGGCATACTTCGTAAGTGTTTGATTCTTGGTAATGGCGCGATCAATGTCCTGACCGCGAATTAGGGTGCCTATTTCGTGTGGGCACCATTCGCGGGCGCATTTGTAAGTCACTTAATCGGTGTTTCCTCCAGGACAATACTAATCAAAGCAGATGCGACGGGTAGGATACAAGGTGACTTCTTATCTGGAGTTTCAATCGAGATACCAACATATTCCGCTTACAGAAAGGCATCCACATTGGCCTTGGCCTATACTCGATTGGTATTGGTGTCCTTTTTAGTCAAATACACAGACTGACCATTTCTCAGGTGCCATATTCTTCTGGCCATCCGCGAAATTTGAGAAGTATGGAGGGTTCGTCGGGAGCACATTCGTAATTGGTAATTTGACCGCAAAAGCTATATTACTATCGTCCTGATATTTATCGTCTCCAGGTTGCGGTCTCTCAACACTTGAGGTCGCTGCCAACTCCTATATATCTGTGCTTGGCACGCCTCAATATGCTGCGGCCCGTTTGAACTTCAGTCAAGGGTTTCAAGGCGTGGCATCCTTTGCTGGACCTTTGATCGCTTCACGCTGGTTTTTCACTGGTGCTAATGCGACCAGCCTGGGCACTGTGCAATGGTTTGTCCGATAGCTTCTACTCTGTAGAGTTGTACTGAGATTTCATCAGGGTTTATCTTGCAGTTGCTGGCCTCGGCATAGCACTTAATATACTATTTTTGTAAGGGCCATACCTGTATGACAGAACACTAATCCTTACCTTCGACAGCTTTTGTGACCTGCCCGAAATTACAGAAGACGCTTTAGCTGAAGAAATAAACGAGGTAGGCATCACCGATGGCCAAGGACCTTTCTGGAAGCAATATCGCTGTGTCTTCGGGTTTGTTGCCCAGACTGCATATGTGTGCGTTAATCTAATTCTCTCGAGCCTGTGCGGTGAGTCTGACAGATAGACCAGCGGCGCACAAGTTACCGTCGCCTCTTTCGCTGTCAACTTCCTTGTTGACCAAGGAGTTGGTATCGACCAGTCAAAGGCTAGTCAGCTTTTCTCGTTCTGCCAGATCACCTTCACTGTGGGGCGGTGAGTCGTCACGCAATTTCTACTTTTATTGCCATTCTCAATTATTGATTCACAGGTTTGTTGGTGTAGCGATACTCAACTTTATTGACCCCGCCTTATTGCTATCACTCTACGGCTTTTTTTGTTCACTGTTCTGCCTCCTGGTTTCCCAGTTACCTGGGTATGGTGGTATCGGATGTCTGTTCTGTCTCTTTTTCTTCGAGTCCATCTGCTATCCCGTACGTTCTTACAGTGATTGAGCTATCGCCCGTTACTCATGCACTTTCAGTGTATATTCACCCTAGGTACCAAGAACCTCGGAGTGCACACCAAGCGGGGCTCCGGTCTTATTGTTATGGTGAGTTCTTTCGTCTGATGGCTATTTTCGATCGTATTCTCACTAAACTCAGGGTGTTGGGGGAGGGGCTTGGTACCCACCTGCACAAGGTGCCCTTGCCGACAAAACATACACCCGCCACTCGTATCTTGTCCCGATGTCGGGGTACATCGCCATGACCATTTATGCTGTGTAAGATCCGGTATTCTTACAGGCTTACATTGTTCTCATCTCTATTCAGCGGCCTTGTTGTTGACCAAGCGAGAAAGAACGGATTCTCGACCCGCAACCGCGATCAGCTCACCGCCAACTTGAACCATCATGCCACCCCTGCTAATTTCTCTGTAACCGACTCGCTTCCCGGTGATGCGAAAGGGCGCCCCAGCAGCGAAAAGAAGGCTTCCAGTGACGAACTAGCCGCTGCGGTAGCATGAGCCAATGTCTCGATTACATTTACAACAGAGGAACAGTAGTATAGCATGACCTCCCCGATTAGTATGTGCACGAATCCTTATGTACTGAGAGAACTTGGAAAGAGAGGGTAAGAGTCTAAGGCGGAGATGTTGTGAAAGGAAGTACATGTACCTTATTAGGTCAGCAATGGTGTTCGTCAAATTCGTTTTGTGCTGCTGGTCTGAACCTTAACATCACGCTATGCTCGTAGCCGACTCCGACGCAGGAGCAGACATGATTGCAATAGCTTCCCGGGAGCCCACGCATGTACCAATCGAGGGACTGAGCAGATCATTAGAGTGGGCGAATGAGAATCAAGGAATGTCAAATGACAGCAAATGTCTAATTTTCGGAAGGCCCTCAGAAGTCCGGGCGTCCCTTCTTCAAGAATTGACTGCACTTGTTTCCGCTTTATCATCATGATCTAGCTGATGTCGACGTGTAACTTCAGAAGCTCATAGGTTTACTGAAAAGCGTGCGCGGGTCTCGTGAAGACCCAAGATACCAAATATTTTCGTTAAGTAGTCTCGATTGATATTCTAAGTGCAGTCTGCAGCCGCAGCCATAGAATGCAGACTGCCGGTCGAAAATGACGTGCACATTGCGCTCCAAGGTATGTTTCCCATACATTGGGGCTTAGAACATTCTGAACCATGCCAGGGCTATTACGCATGTATTGCGCATATTACTCTTGAAGAGTCAGCGTACAGCACCAGGGTGTTTTCCAGCAAACACAGTCGGTCCGGGCCATAAATAGGATCCCAAGAGCCTCCGGGGTCAAAAAAACACAACACGCTTATCTTTGTTACCGCAAGAATAATTGGTGGAGGTGAGCTATCACGGAGGAATGGGTTGGTATGTGGTTATAGGACCTGCGCCACACTCGCACCTTATCCCCAATAGATATGGAGAACATATTTCCCGGGGTTCTATGCGTCACGACTAGAGCACTCTAGAACATCACTCCAAATTACTTATCTAGTCACCTCCGATGGCCTGGCAATACAAATGTCATAGCAGTTTCAGGCATACAGACGTGTGCGGCTTGCCCTTCCTTTCTTGTTTCTCGTGCCCTTAAAACATGATACCTCCTGTGAGACAGACGGGTAAGCAGGTCCTTATCCGGTGTCTGGACGTGAATAATTGGATGGGACGCAGGAGCTCAACTCGGACGAAAGCAATGGGCCTATGCGTTCGCTCTTGTGACGTCCCTATGCTTCACGTGTGTGTCACAGATCTTCTTCTCGCAGGAACCAAACTGACGAAGTCAAACTGTAGGGGGTTTTGCGTACGGTGTATGAGCTCGACAAATTTATTATTCTGGATGACTGCAACTTTCAATAACAGCTCCTTTCTGTGCTCAACGCACATTTCCAGACCGTATTCGGTATCACCAAGCTTCAGAGTACGTTTTTACAGCTGGCATACTTCGTAAGCCTCTGATCCTTGGGGATTGTACGATCTTCTCACCGCTGTTTAGGGTGCCTATTTCGTGTGGGCACCATTCGCTAGTGTAATTGTCGGTAATATCCGTGGTTTCTAAAGAGTGATACTGATTCAAGCAGATGAGATGGGTAGGATACAAGGTGACTTCTAATCCGGAGATTAGTACAAACCAAATAATAAAGTGATTTTAATTTACAGAAAGGCATCTATATTGGCCTTGCCTTGTACTCAATTGGTATCGATGCTCTCATCAGTCAAATATACCGACCGACCTTTCTCAGGTGCCATATTCTGCTGGCCATCAGCGAAATTCGAGACGTATGGAGGGTTCGTCGGGAGCATATTCGTAACCGGTAATTCAACTGCGGGAGTATGAATGTAGTACTGATATTTATTGTCTCCAGGGTGCGGTCTCTCAACGCTTGAGGTCGCTGCCAACTCCTACGTAACTGTACTTGGCACGCCTCAGTATGCTGCGGCCCGTTTGAACTTCAGTCATGGATTCCAAGCCATCGCAACCTTTGCTGGACCTTTGATTGCTTCACGCTGGTTTTTCACTGGTGCTAATGCGACCAGCCTTGGAACCGTGCAATGGTTTGTCCGTCAGCATTTATGCTAGAGTCACACTAAAATCTCTTCAGGGTCTATCTCGCGGTTGCTGGCCTCGGCGTAGCACTTCTTATTCTATTCTTGTAAGGGCAATCTCTGGACTGAAGATTAGTCTTAACCTTTAACAGCTTCTGTGACCTACCTGAAATCACAGAAGATATGTTGGACGAAGAGATAGACGAAGTGGGCATCGTATACGGCCCAGGACCTTTGTGGAAGCAGTATCACTGTGTCTTCGCATTTGTTGCTCAGACTGCCTACTAGTGCGTTCATCGAGTTCTCTCGAGTGCGGTGAGTCTGACATACAACATAGCGGCGCACAAGTTTCTGTCGCTTCTTTCGCCGTCAACTTTCTCGTAGACCAAGGACTTGGCATCCACCAGTCAAAGGCTAGTCAACTTCTCTCGTTCTGCCAGATCACCTTTACAATAGCACGGTGAGTCGTAGCGTAATTTCCAATTTCATCGCCATTCCAAATGGATTGGTTTTCTAGGTTTATTGGTGTAGCGATACTCAACTTTATCGACCCCGCCTTATTACTCGCCTTCTACGGTTTTTGTTGTTCGCTGTTCTGCCTGCTGGTGTCCCAGCTTCCAGGATACGGTGCTGTCGGGTGTCTCTTCTGTCTATTTTTCTTCGAGTCCATTTGCTATCCCGTACGTTCTTACAGTGATTGAGTTATTACTCATTCCTCTCATGTACTTTCAGTGTATATTCTCACTAGGTACGAAGAACCTTGGAGTGCAAACCAAGTGGGGCACCAGTCTTATTGTTATGGCAAGTCCTCTTATCTGTCGGCTGTTCTTAATCCCAGTTTTCTCACTAAACTCAGGGGGTTGGGGGAGGGGCTTGGTACCCACCTGCACAAGGTGCCCTCGCCGACAAAGCATACACCCGCCGCTCGTATCTTGTCCCTATGTCAGGTTTCATTGCCATGACCATTTATGCCGTGTAAGATGCAGCGTTTCCTGGACTCACTTTGTCCTCACCTCTGTTCAGCGGCATTGTCATCCACCAGGCGAGGAAGAGCGGATTCACGTTCCGCAACCGTAATGAGCTCTCCGCCGAGCGTGCTGCTGCCACAGCTGGTTTATCTCTAACCGACCCCCTACTCGGTGACACTAAAGGACGCTCGAACAGTGAAAAGAAGATTTCCAGTGACGAATTGATTGCGGTCGCATGAGAAAAGTGGGAGGTCAAGATGATGATAGAGGAAGAATGTAATATAACCTCCTCAATTATAAGACATTCACTACCGTTCTTATTGAGATGATTATTTGCAATACCGCTGTAATTCTGAGTGAGTATCTAACGTTACGTGAGTCTGTATGATATGGGTCACACAGCCGATGTTCTCGAGCCTGCTACGCGATCCACAATCTGCCTGAAATTAGCTGCAAACTAGCCATGTTAAAAGAGAACTCTTACAGGTCGAATGTATGGCAGCGACAATAGGTTGCCAATGAAGGGTAATTGACGGAGGAATGTCACAACCACGGGGAAGAAGTCGCTAAACCTGGCTATCAGGTTCAATTATTCGTTTGAAAAAAAAAGTACCACGTACCCAAACAGGTTCAAGAAGCCAAATATCTCGACGATCATTCCAATGAATGCATACTTCATGAACACGAGCACAATACCACCAATAAAGCATGCGGTCCCTCGGAGTTTCTGCTTCCTCGCGAAGAAGTCAAATGTCTTTCGAGGGCCAATAATCAAGGTGAGACCAGACAAGAAGAGCATCTGTGCAAGAGCTTGGTATGAGGAAGGAAATGGAAGATGGGAACTTGGTTTACACACATTTCCTAGCGCTAGCAAAGCAGCGTCGAAGAACAGCATGACACCTAGGAACATGAATAATGTCCCGAAGGTCGTGAGGGCCACACCAATTTCTGAGATACACAATTCAGCAATCAAAGCAAACAGTGTATGGCTCGGGTAGACGCACTCTGCGCGTCGGACAACCACATGTCTGTGTAGTTCAAGCGTGTCTTATGAAGCAACTACTGTGGTATTTGAGAAATGTAAGCCAGTTATCGCTGAAGAGAACGGGAGGATGAGGATCACAGACTGAGGTCGTGGCCCAAGTACACTGGATACTTAGGGTTCGTGAACGCGCAAGTCGCGTGACTGACACGTCACACTCTTCATTTACCTCTCCGAGTCAGAGCCTCAAAACTGTATAATAGGCTCTACCAAATTAAGAGTACCAATGCCATCCTCGAGGGAAAGGGCTACTGAGCTCAAGCGTGTCTTATGATACAAGTACTCAGATTCAAGGCTATCGCAATGACGGGAGATCATCTGGACAATAAACGTCGATATGTCCCTATGGATAAATTCCGAAGACTTGTGAGACGCCCAAGTAGCGTTCGAATAGACTAGGACAGTGAATGGTATTGGACAGTCCATAATGGTACAAAATCGACACAAATTGATATGTTGGATCCAACGATGAAACGATCGGTAATAATGGTATGTATAGATCTGTAATATGAGTCAGTATATTTAAACGAGGATGAACGAGGATACGTCACGGACATTCCACAGACCAGTTAGTTAAATTCAAAATCTCCGGTATGAACGCCTCATGCACTCTCTCCACGTCGTTGTTGCTCCTTGGCAGCGATAACTCTATCGTACGACTCCCTCAACGGACTTTGGTGCGCAAGGATGGACAGGTGTGCACTAAGGTAAGGTGGTGGGAGTAACGGGTGCACAGTTTCAAGGTTGGCGTAAAGACTAGCTGCAGGAAAATGCGAGGCATATTGTGGCGTTGACGGACGGGTGGTAGGAAGTTGTGCAAGTGATGATAACGCTTGTACAGAGCTCGATGAGTTGGATGAAATGGACGAAAGGGTGCGGGTGCGGTCGTGTACGGCCTTGAAATGGGGTTGTTGGATATGTGCTTGAGTTGGAACAGTGGCCACCGAACGTACGGATGACACTGATGTTCTGCGGTTAGGTGGTGGAGCATACGTAGTCTTGATACTGGACGGCGAAGTGGATATTGTACCCTCCGCATCATAAGGTTGGGGGGTGGATATGTGCGCTGAAGCAGCTTCAGATGTGATGGTGAGTGGGGCGAGAGGCACCATCCGTGGTGTCACTGGAGCGGCATAGCCATATGATTGACCTCGAATGAGTGGATGGGGGCGTAATGGTGCATCATTTCTGCTCGCCGCCGAATGAGTAGATGGCGGACGCGTCACTGACTGACGCTTGTGTGGATGCGAGCGATGGACAGGCGATGTGTTCTCTGAGCGAGTCTCCATGATACGGGGCTCAGGATGAGGGCGCTGAGAGAGATTAGATTGCTCCATTTGATGCCTAGATGTAGCTAGTGCTGGAGTTGGTGATGCACGTGCAGCTGACACAGCTACAGCTGATGACGCTCGAGCCAGTGCCTCGGAGGGGCGGATGGTAGGCACTCGGGACATAGAGAGCGGTTGGGCTCTTGGAGTTTCCGGTCGGTATATGGGTTCATCAATTGGCTGGGCCGCGGGAAGTAAAGTTCTATGCGACTCGACCGGTGTCCGAGACCTGCCACTATCAGAGCTCATACTGCTCGGAGTCGCTGCCCCGCTCTCGCTGGAAATCCACTCATCATCTTCATCTGCACTTTGGCTAGCAATAGTAAATCCTGCTTTAGGTTTGCCGGTTGTCTGCCGCTGGTTTGAGGGAGGCACATGTCGCTGCGCTTGCACTGGCAACTGTTCCCTTGAGGCAAGACGTGCCGAGCTATTCACTCGAGGAGGATATGGCGAAGTATTTCTTGAATGTGACTGAAACGAAAGAGTGCATCCGAAGCGCACAGCTCAGCCAAAAATTTTGAGGGGGTCATCATTGATTGACGCACGTCATGAACTAAACCGTTTTTCTTTGTTTTTTCGGCTTGCTTCGCTGGAGCGGGATCCTTCTGCGTGAAATGAAGGTTCAGTGCTGCTTTAGAGGAGCCTCCTGACGATGAACGGGAGTGTGTACGAGGGAGGCCCGTTGCGCCAGCGCGATGAGCTTTGGGAGGCATGTAGGAAATTGAGTAGGATTGGGTCTCCGCTGCTCGATTACTGCAATTTGCAGTCCCGACTTAGTCCTGACAACAAATTTAACTAACAACCATCTTACTCGGATCATGGATGCCTACAGCGGCTTATAAGGGGATAACGAACGTCTTTCAAGAGTTTGAGGCTTGCGCAAGACATGTATCGCAGCTTCGTTCGTTCAGTGCAGAGCTCTGAGTGTATCCCACGCGACTTTTATGCCATATGTCCCCTTTTCATGACGCCACATTTACACACACAGGAGCTGTTCGACACTTCTCTCGCCTGCCGCATACAATATTTAGTAAGTATTCTATATGTAATCCTGATTGGCATGGCTGAGGGCAGGGTGCCACAAGCACGGCTAACATTGGATAAGTACCTAACCGATCTGCATGTATCCATTCATTTCTTCAAAAGGAATGCACTGGGAAAGCGTCAGTCCTCATGTAGCCTTAGTCTCCAGTAGCTAACCTAATCTAAAATATGACAGTCGATATCTTTGTGTGCAGTATGCCTCGTGCGTTTTCTGTCAACCGTTGATCTGATATCAACTATACATAAAAAGATCCCCCAGATCATGACTGTCAATTATATGGCGACACCCTAGGTACGTGGCGTAATGGACTTAGCCAAAACAGAATACCCCTTATCCTTGATTCGAAGGACGATTTCTCGTCAGATGTCCCGGTTGCGATTCAAGTAATGATGGGGGCGACAAGGTGGACGAGACTGGTCAGGCAGAAATGCCTTGCGGTTTTCATAGATTACGGAATGAGTTGTAACTCCAGCGTTTCTGAATGCTTCAAAAGAGGACCTTGTCGCTTCCGAGTTGCCTAGTTATCGAACCACGATGTTGATGAACTTGTCATTGTTTTCTTGCAGTGCCTTTGGCATCGCGACCGCTCTTCTTTTGGTCCTTATTATTGCGAGACGCAGAGTACATCACTCTGGCTTGCCTTACCCCCTTGGTCCGAAACCTCACTCTGGCTTGCCTTACCCTCCTGGTCCAAAGCCTCTCCCCGTGATTGGTAATGCCTTGCAGATGAGTATCACCGCACCTTGGTTGGCATATACAGCATGGAAGAAGATATACGGTGGGTCTACATATACTGGTGGTCAGAGACTTGACAAAACATCATTCAGGCGACCTGATTCGCGTCCGTGTGATGGGAATAGAACTTATTGTCATCAACTCAGAGAAAACTGCACGCGCAATGGTGGATCAACGGTCTGCTGTTTACTCGGATAGACCTGTGCTTCCGACGAATAAATTGTACGTACCTTTTCAATATTTGATTTGAGCTGTACTTATGCCTTGTCACAGCTATGGCATCGAGTGGAACACAGTCATGTTGCGTTATGGATCAGAACTGAGATCCCATAGAAAGATGTTCCATCATGCTTTACAAGCAGATTCATCACGTCGCCAGCGTGAAATTTACTTGTGCAGAGCTCGGACCCTTCTTGCGAATTTGCTGAATGACTCTCGAGGCTTCGAGGAATATATTAAGAGGTTAGTAGTCATGCATGGCGTCTTATCAGTAGGTTGATACTAGAGCAGCTTTATCGCAGCAATCATCATGGGAGTTACATATGGATGCGAAGTGAAGTCAGAGAATGATCCGTATGTCTCTACCGTGTCGCAATTAGTCGCAATCCTTGCGAAGGAGCAAACTCCTGAGAGAGCAGCCATTCTCTTAGCATTTCCTTTTCGTAAGTTGACATCGATTCCGTCAAGTGTAGCTGATGTTTCTGCAGTTGCACATATCCCTGCATGGTTTCCCGGTGCAAAGTTCAAGCGTGATGCGTTGTACTCAAGAAAGTTGGCCGAAAAGGTGCTTGATGCGCCTTTTGAGTTTACGAAATTACAGATTGTGACTAATCTCCCAAGTCATTGGAGGTAATATTGCAGCTCACTTGACTTTAGGCAGCGGGAACCGCTTCTTCATGTATGGTTTCGGATTGCTTGATGCAAATAGACGAGAAGGGCGACCGTACAGCACAGGAGTTCACGATCAAGGCGGCCGCGGCGACGGCTTTCATCGGTGAGGGTCATCCAACTGTTTCTTCCGCTGGCTTTAATATTTCACTTGTCACACCTACAGCTGGATTCGAAACGGTATACTTCTATCAAAATTTTTGTTAGATTCTAAGACATAAGAAACAATACAGACCTCGTCAATGTTGCACGGATTCATTCTCGCCATGGTTCTCTATCCAGAAGTTCAGGCCAAAGCGCAGGCCGAAATCGACTCCGTCGTAGGTTCGGCAAGGCTGCCGACCTTCGAAGATAAACCTTCATTGCCCTACGTCGAAGCTATCCTCAGAGAGATGTTTAGATGGAACCCTGTGGTACCACTAGGTACGTATCATCGCACCAAAAATTGTTGAATTATTGACCCTGGTCATACAGCGATCCCGCATGCTACGTCAAGCGAGGATGTGTTTCAAGGCTACTTCATACCAAAGGGTTTGTAATTACAATTCGTCGCATTCAATGACAGATCTCACTGGCTCTGGCAGGAACATGGGTGCTCATCAATGTCTGGTACGCAATAGCTTATCCTTTCCGTTCTAAATGTAACCCTAACCCCTCCTTGCAGGGCGATGTCTCGAGACGAGGAGAAATATCCAGATCCAGATGAATTCAGACCCGAGAGGCACTTTGACTCAGACGGGTCGCTGATTTCGGACTCGATCCCGACCAGCCCTCTGTTCGGCTTTGGTCGACGGATTTGTAAGGCATCTTCCAACAAAAGCTAAGGAATAAAATTATTGACTTAGGACAGGTCCAGGACGGTTTGCTGCAGAGTCGATGGTGTGGACTGCCATAGTCTCTATCCTCGCCACTTTTCGTATAGAGAAGGCGAAAGACGTCGATGGTCGCGAGATTGACGTGAAGAATCAGTTTACAACCGGGCTTGCGATGTTCGTCAATGACGTCGGCTTTCCATTTTTCGATCTCAACCATTTTGCAGACACCCTGTCCCGTTCCGTTGCGCATTTGCGTGTCGTTCTGCGCAAAAGGAGAAGATGGTCAAAGAAGACATTTGACCAACCCCTGACCGGAGGAAATTACGATGTTGTATGTGACACTATTGTGACAGTATATGGTAAGATAGCACTTGTAATGCATGATGAATGGAAACCCCCGCGCGTACGTCTAAACCCGACACCATACAGTTTAAGAAGTAGTGCGGTCGTGCATCCCAACAAAGTCTAAAGCATTGATCGGGTCTTTCCCGACACATCCTGTGGTTTGTTTGAATGAGATGCACGCCCTCCCCACGAGGCTGGAATACTTATCAGAAGCAACCCTCGGTCGGAACTGACCGCGCTATATAATTACTCAAACGTAAACCAGGAAAATACGTCATCCAGGTACTTCAACGTTATTGCCTACAATCGTTCCACATCAATGTTTGGACCCGTCGAAAAACTATCGTTTTACGATCCCTGACATTCCCTGTTTGGTATAGTCTCAGGTGAACTGAATTGATTTCTAACACTTAAACTGCGCGAAATTTCAGCCGCTTTTGCTGATGCACCACACTTCTCGCATGTCTGTACTAGTAATCGGCTGAGATCGCGACATGCCAATTTTAACCGAGATAACAAAGCTGAGTCCAAGTGGTACTTTCGTACCGGGAATGCGGGTAAAAAGAAACTTGGCCTACATATGACATGACATTGACAATCAGTGTATATATATAGCATGTCCAGCTAGAACGACGAAGCCATCTTTTTGCCGCAACTTACGTGGCAATAATCATATTGGGTGTGTCGGAGCTAAGCTTAAAGGATTGTGGCTATTAGTGTTAAACAAGGTAGTGCAAGCGAGATAGGGCTTACCGGTACAAAACTCGCAAGGAGAAGAAGACTCGGGCTCCCCAGTCATATCGCCCGAGCTTGAAGTGCTGCTGACAGCCATGGTATCCAGTGCACAGTGAAACGACTTCTCGATGTCTCTATCCTGGTCGTAATCGTATGCTCGCTTACCAGTTAAGGCTCGCTCTGGTATTCTGCAAGTAAAATAATATCCTGTAGAAACAATCACTAAAATAATGAATCACAGACTAAGAAATTCAAACCGACAAGGACTTTCGCGGTCAAACTGCACTGTTTGCATAGAAAAAATACGAGCTCCTCTGAATCTCACCTTCCCGAGATGTGCACCTGGAGATGACATAGACCACTGTTTCTGCAGAGGGTTTGTAATACCTTTCTGCCTCCGTGGTGACCGTGAAGAACGGATTGGGTGTGCACAATGGCCAAAGTTGGCATCCGACACGGTCTTGCCATTATTAAGTAGCGGGCGGGCCGCCAAATGTCGGGCCAAGGCGATCTTCAAGGATACCTCCTCGACGGTGTCGGTCCTCGCGGTGGATTGAGGTACGCTGTCACTTTCCGAGTTGCGCAATGCGGAGGCGACCCTCTCGCGCTGTGCGACATTATTGTGACATATATGTCATTGTACATCGTCGTATACGTGTGACTGCATGTAGCCTGTTACAGGAAATATCGTTAGTCATTCGAGAACCTGACTAGGAGAATACCTACGGCTTGCCTCATGGAGGGGCTGGTCACCAGTCTAATACCTACCATAGTTAGTACGAACGGTTCTCAGTACTTTTGCAGTACTTCATGTTAACAAGTTCATGCCGGCAACTTGAACGAGTCTCGGAGTGTTGCATAATAATGCATGCCCTAGAATTGGAAGTCCGCAATTATGTCGATCCTAAGTTCCTTCCTTTCATCTATCCTGTGACTCACTGGCATTATGGTACGGTTCGTTTGAACTTTGAGAGAATAGGGAGGTAGTCTCAGGTAGAGATATTACGTAATTCCGATGTTCCGACGAAGATTGCTTGAAGGTTGATCCAATACTTTCACTGTCATCAACATAACATAACTTCGAACATACCCAGCTCCACTATTTTCCACACTCCGCCATGGAAGGCGTTAGTTGATCCCACATGCGTTAGGCTGGACGCGAAGGTGGCCCGATAGAAGTGCTGCCCTGTAGTACATCCTTACTGCTCCTGGATAACACCTTTCCATGGTCACACTCGTTCGTCGGACTGTCGTTGTTGACCTAGTTTACCGTGACACCATCTGGACACGAAATGGGGATCTCCAGGAGATAAGCTCAGGGAGGAGGTCCTCAGGTCCGGGCACCTGAACCACTTAACAGACGCCTTTCACACACTAGGACACCATCAGGCTGCCCGATCATCAATCTACTCCACGACACGATCAGTGCACAAGCCGAGCTCGATCGTGTACTTGACAGTCTTGAGTCTGCAGATTGGCACATACATAGCGCTGTTCGGTGCTAAGCCCAAGCAATGAAGGTGCTTCTTTGATATGGTTCCTAGTGGCCTGATAACATGAGGTCTCGCACCACAAAAGATCGTCTAAGATCGGTGGTGGATGGCTCCACTTATCAAACTCGGTAAAAGAAATGCAACTTCTTTTGGGTCACTATCAGATATGACATGCCTCTTTGATAACCGGGGGTTGAACGTTTGAACCGGCGCCTCCTTTGCCGTAAGTGCAGTTTAGATCACAGCAGTCCCCAGCTCACGTGTCTGAGGTAATGGTCAATTGTGGTGGACGCCAACTATGGATTTACCACCAATTAGCAGGAAACACGAGATCGCGAAAAATACACCGAGCCGAAATCGACCCAGAGCAATCTCGACTCATAACATGAACACCTTAGCACCATCGCTAGTAGGTTCTATGGGGCACGGACTATGTCCGCTGTAAACATGAAGGTGGTCTCATGCAAGGCCTGGCTGTATACAATGCGAATTGAAGTGCAGGGCTGTATGAAAACGATAGTGCGACGCAAAGAGCTCAATGGATCGAAAGAAGACTGGCCTCCACTAGCCCTTCCATCAGACGTTGGTCCGGCAGGTTACAATTGCAGCCCCCTCATGGTGCTACCCACGATCCTGTCACCAACGAGTATCGTCCGTGAGGACAGTGAGCAGGGTGAACGTTGCAAGGTTCAAAGACACCGTTATTCGATGGGCGCAACGGCGGTATCCGCATGTTTTCAAACCATAATCTTATCGACGCAACGCGCAGAATGATACCGATGCTTAGCAACGGTGGCACTTGCTCAGTCATGCACACCACACTGCGATGTATGGGGTAAGCAGAAGCTGTCTACCGTGTCGGCTGACGACGGTGACGCCACAGTTTATCAAAGGCTTATGGAAATGAAACCAAATCATTCCTTGCAATTGCAATGACGTCGGGAATGCCATTTAGGGTTTAACGACGAGAAGTGATCTAGTGGTCCTCAGTCCTAGGAGCCTAGTGAATATTTTAGGCTTGTCAGCACAACCCAAAGCTGCCAGCTAACCTCAACTCACCTGTGCAGACTAGGCAGACCATGTATGAGACTGTCGTTCCTTCTTATTATGGGCTAACCTGCCAGTGCCGTAGATCGCTCCATTGATAACATCAACACCCTTATCTCACTAAACGAAGGAGAAATCGATAAAATGGACTGGCTGTCACGTCACCAGCAAGGGACAAGAGGGGATAAGGTCGTCCCTATGGCTGCATTTAGCGTTTACAATGAAGCAGAGGCACGATTCACTGACAGGGCCTAATCGCAAGGAGGTTGAAGCCATCACGCAAGGGGCGCCGTGTACACTCGTTCCTGTGCATCGCGAGCCCCACAACTCGATTTAAACACAAGGACATACACGATATTCCCAGCAGGTGAAGAGTTGTCATCTCCGGGAAGATAGCCTGCTGCGTACAAAGTCTCAAGCCGCACAACTTGAATAATCACCAGCGTGACTGTCGACAGAGGGGAATGATCTGTATACATGAATCATGTCATAAGCTGGAAGAATTGTATAGGTGTACTACTTACAATACGCCACAGTCTCATTCTCCGCCTCAGCCTTGCCTGCCAGCAACTCGGAGTACCTGCAGGGTCCATACCTCTCAGATGGCACACCGTGTGCTTCAACTTGAAGGATCCCTGTCAACGCAATGGCCTGCCGCAGCCTCATGAATGTGGCAGCACATCGGATTCAGACCTGACATTTTTGGCGTGGGTTCAAATCAACCAACACAACGCTGCACACCAGCATACACGTCATCCATCTAGGCATTGAACTAGCTGACTTGGAACCTTCGAGGACGGCGTAAGCTGGTATTTTAGGACGGGTGGCTTTCGCCCTGAAAAAGGGAATGAAGAAGCGGTATACAAAGAGATATCACATAATCGGCAAACTTCCATTGGTTGTCTGTAAGTCAATCATCACTAGTCTGTCCCACTCACAACTATATGTTTGACGGATATGTCCTTGTGTAACGTGTTTGCCTACCCTCCTTTCCATGGCCATGGGATCCAAATGTCAACTTCTTCGTCACTTCCTTTATCCATATGATACCAATCGACGATGTAGTACAGTTCGCAGCAGGCCGTCAGGACTCAGCAATTGCTGCCCCACAATATAGGTACTATCTCCAACTTGAACCTTCAACATATGACCTGCGATCCAGGGAACTTGTATCAACGTCCCGTGTTCCTACAAAGTTCTTCCTAACTTCCATGACTCAGTGCCAATAACGTCTCAAAAGTTTTTTTTCCAGGGTTCAGAACCCTGGAATACGACCCCATGATGTCTTTGCTCATAGATATGTCACCAGCCTATCACACAAGGCTTCATCTATCCCGTCACTTCCTCTTCCGGGATGGCATGAAGCGTCAGTGGCAAAACTGTCGCGCACGGTCAATCAACGTAGCTGTATGTAGCAGCTGGCAATCGAGCACAGGGTAATTGCCTGCACAAAACAGGTTTACACCACGCTGAATCCCTTCTAAATGAAGCTCACGTATCTGCATGCAGCTTCGGCATTCCATCAAGTGCTTAGATGTCACATGTACAACTTTGCTTCTGTAGTTGCGCTAAGACCAGTCGCAGGGGATCCTACACTATCCCAGCGAAGATGAATGGTTGATTGTAGGCGGGCTTCTCTCTCAAGGTTAAGGTTGTTGCGTCATCGGCGGGACATGCTTCTCTTGTTGATAACGAGGTAACTTGCTCCAGTGTCGATCCGTTTGAATTTCATGCGTGGACGTAAGAAAAATCCATCCACGAAAATTACAGTCACTAACACCTTGAAAGATACAGGCTCGAGGGATATTCGAGCTCGTGTGTGTCTGTCAGTAATACTCAGAGAACGCACATCTGACTGCCATCTATTTTAATAAAGGCGAACCATATCTTCGGGTGTTCTTGCGCCTTTGTGTCCCTCCTGAAATTTAACCAAATCTAAATGATCCAAGAGAATATGAACAGTCCTGCCGTATCCTGTGAGGCCACCCAGCTTCCTCTCAGCTTGAAGATAAGTAGGTCCTGGTGAGTATCAGAATAATTTTATGTGCTTCTAGACCGACATACCTGATTTCGCCATGATCAATTACGAGATCACCTCACACGTCTTCGCGAGGCCACATGTGTGTCGATACAAATGACGGCAGAAGTTCTGATGGAATTAACTGCAGTTTCGTTCACTGGACTATGTGGTAGAAGTCATCAAACTGAATTCTATTCGTTCTTGACCCCCCTATCTTTAAGTTGCGTGTCCTCGAGTCTGGTTTGTCGTCTTAACTTTACTCCCCAGTCTTCCCCATTCTCATGCATTTTTCAGCAGTTATTTGCGGATAACGCGTGGTCTGTGACCAAGGTGGGCGTTCTCAGCGCCTGGAGTATAGGTGTCATGATTGAGATGAGAATATTGCATCTACAGTCTATTGCATACATTGAGTATATTCCTATGCAGCCTCGGGTACTGCGAGGCCACTGCCAGCTGGTGACCTCGCTGGTGACTTCCGCTAGAGCCACTGCATAATCGATGCGGATTATCGCTCGCTCTCGCGGGGGTCACCGCCTGTGTGCATGACCTGCCGGTGCCAAGATGCATTCGAACTAAGAACAGCTCGTCATATCCACGAACTTCCATTACATGTCCCGGGGGCCTTGTGTGATCCGATCGCTAGGATTCAAAGTAAACCACAGCGAATCGTGCATCTCCTACGTAAAGAACAAGGTCTGTAAGGTACCTTGATTATTGTATTATTTTAGTCGAAGCTTCGCAAGCCATCGAGACGACCATGGCGTTGCCTTCGTGCAGAAGTCTGGCCAGTCGATGCGGATTATCGCTTGCTCTCAGCGGGGATACCCACCTGCGTGTCGGCGCCAAGACACATTCACGATTTATCGAACTAAGAATGGCTCTTCATGCATCTTCTGCAAGGTCTGCAAGGTACCTGCTTATCTCTCTGAAGGGGAGGCTACTGAATGTTATGTTATTTTAGGCGAAGCTTTGCAAGCCATTGTCCATCCGGCATTGCCTTCGTGTAGGGGATCTTTCCTAGCCGAGAGCACCCCTCCTTGACGGCTGGCGGGTATGTGCATAGGTACCACGGTGGTGAGTTCCAGGCGCTTTTCAAGGCCAACATTAGAGGAATGTTTAAAGACGAATAGGACTCATTGATTCAGAAACCGCTTCCTGCACGGTTATACAAAAGGTATAATTACAATTTCCTCAAAACATATCTATAGTGTGCTTATATACGACTGGATCTAGGGGAGAAGTGCGTCGTAGCACCACCCGATTGTATCACCTTGCACTAGAACATCCCTACGTGACATTCACTCAAAAGGCAGCAGGCCTAGAGAGTGAAAAAGGAGTCGATTCTACACACCGTCAGACGGAAATAGAATGGGCAACAGCACGTCGATAATCGAATGAGGTGCACGACGGTCATGTTTCATGTTTTACAGTGTCCAAGACCAAGACCAATCGCCCGGCGCACTCGAACTATGTATGAGTCACGAACTGCGTCCTTGGCATACCGACGGAGCTTCCCAGATCTTCTGAAACGTCGTATATTCATATCGCGCTGCGCTGGAGATGCCCTACGCCCCTAGTAGTGGATTGGCTTGGATTGGGACCTGGTTCTCATCCGACCTGACGGCGCACTGCGCTGCGGGATTCGCCGGCCTGTGCCGTCGTGCGGGCGGTGGGGTAATGAAGAATGAATGAACGATCGATCGATGCCTGCGCACGTGTGAATACCGTCGTCGACCCAGGGAAGTTGAAACCCGAGATGCACGTATCAGGATCAGATATGGAGTCACATGCACAGCTGAGTACTCGAGTACACGATCAGTGGATCTTATATTAATTACATTCAGACGATGCAGACTTGAATCAAATAGTGATGCATGATGCACGATCATGAGGCATGGTGATTCACGCGCAATAACGCACATACACCGGTGGGAGGCATCAGGCGTCAAAGGGTCCGGTCTCATATATGGACTGCGCCGTTGGGCGGGCGGCGGGGTAACTTGAAGAATGAAGAGGAATGAACGATCGATGCCTGCGCACGTGTGGATGAATCAGATCTAGAGTCGCATGTAGCGCCCCCAAGTACTCATACGATCAGTGCACTTGATCTCATCAATTTGATTCAGACAATGGTCTATGAAGGAGAGAATGAAATGCAGTGATGCACGATCATGAGGCATTGTTGTGGTTCACGCGTGGCAACGCACATACGACAGACCACGATGGAAGGCATGGATGAATGGATGACGCTGGCACTGGTGACTATGGTCATGCATGCATTGTGAAAGTGGAGCGCTGTTTGATTGCCACGTCATTAGACCGTGTCTAATGAAGTGATAATGATAAGTGCTATGCCGTGCTATGTCGTGCTAGGTACAGCCGCTAGGGCCTAATCTCATTGAATAGCAATAAGATCGACTGATGTTCCGTATTAAGGGGGCGTAGGCGGTTAACGAGTGGCTGAGCCATGGTGGCGCACTAAGAGATGAATAATGCACGGTGATACGCATGTGTACGAGCGATCGATGATGTGGTCCATGTGCATGATTATGGGTCGTGGAAGTGGAGAGCACTTTATTAGATTTGATTGGGCCACGTCATTGAATGCATTGATAGTGAAAGGTACTAGCTATGGTAGGTACTGCCCCTAATCTCTCACTCCGACGGGGGCTTTCATGTCGGCTGTCGGTTAGTGGGCGTTGGGCGAGGTCTGAGGAATGAATGATACGCATGGAATAGGCTCTAGTTCGTGAAGGGCGCTCGGTAGAGCTGAGCAGTGACAGACGACGTGGTGTGACTTGTCGTAATAAACAAAATAACTGACAGGAAGGTCATAGGTGATGACCGACGCCTGGAGATGATGAGAAGAGTGCATGCGGCGCAATTGGATTGCCTCGTGACACGAATCTTAAGTGACATGGAAGCGGAGATAGTGACAGGTGACTCTGGGAAAAGTAAGGATGAGCGGTGTTGACCCTGGTAAGAAGTTGTTTGAAATTGTTTGAGGGATTGAGCCGAGGGGGAACGGGATACGGAGCGAAGTGTATGGGTGTGCCTAGAATGGATTACCGAAACTTCCCATAGAGATTCTCGAGGGCGGACCAAAAGGCTGAACGCTTTGAGGGATCCTAAATAAGTAATATTACGGCATAAATGTGGGGCGGGCACGGAAGCGAGTAAAGGGAGGACAATGGTGAGAGATACGGCGATTGTCAACCGAGACAACGATCACAACGAGGCATATATTTCATAATAATATGGAGGTGCCTTATATTATTTTTTGGTAGGATAGGTCGACGCATGGACCATGGTAGTACATGTGGGTACGGTAGTAATATGAACGTAAAACTAAAGGGACTACTAGTAATAATAATACGTAGTAACGTCTAGAACGATGAGCGGAGAAGTAGTTTATTAGTTTTTATACTGCGGTTTATACCATAAATGGAAAGAAGTCCGATGGTAGCACATGGCACCCGTGGCTGTAGCGCCTTCTACCTTGAGTTCTCCTTCAACCTCCCTCCTCCCTCCTTCCTCCTCCTCCTCCTCGTTCACCCGTTGTCGTAAGTTCATCTTTTTTTCAATTTCACAAATTGCCTCGAGGTGACTCGTGTGTGATTTAAAAGTTTTATTGTTATATGTTTCTCTTGTCTTACGCTCACGCTCCTTATGAACAGATACGCTATCGCACTTTCAGCGAAGACAACTAACTCCCAGATCGTTGCATGCATTAGAACTAATATCAACTCAGAAGTCCAGCAGGTTTCTGAAGACTCTGAGCAGTCAAACGACGACAACGACGACCTCAAGTCTTGTCCGTCAGTTCAAAGCAATCATCTTTCTGTCTCCCGATTACACGACCTCATGTTGCAGTACTCTGCTCAACCAATCCCTCTTCCTCTTCCCTATAAACAGAATCATAATACTTCAAATTCTTGCCATAATGATTACCCTCATGCACATTCTCGTCTTTTCAACAGGCGCTTTACCAAACAACATCCTCCTCAACACCTTCAACAATTATAACCCCCCCAATTTCTATTCCAACTCCTCCAAGCCCTATTTCTATTCCATCCCCTCTCCCTCGTGTAAGCACTCTACCATCCGTATCCTCTCTCATAGAGGATGTCCTTGCTCCAGGCGACATCGTCGGCGAGCACTTGCTCCTACAGGGTGACCCAGTTCGCCCTTGCGTTCTCGCTCCAATAGACTTGAACACAGCCAAGGAATTCCAAGTCGTTCGCAGGCTAGGAACAGGCAGTTACGCCGTCGTCTATGAAGTCAAAGAGATCCTTTCCCGCCCCCCAACAATCCCCGTCAGCGATGATGGTCACGTCGGCATCCTCGACCTCGATCCCACCCCGAGTCTACCAGTCGTCTACGGAAGGAGCTTTGCTCTCAAGGTCCTCTCAAAGGCAAACCTCGACTCTGCAGCCCTCACCGCCCAGCTCACTGAAGTCACAATACACCAGTCCCTCTCCCCTCATCCTAATATCGTCACCCTCCATCGTACCCTCGAGACAGACGCATTCCTCCTGCTCGTGCTCGAGTATGTCCCTGGCGAGGATCTCTTTTATTTCCTTGAGCAGGCACGGGATCACTATGCACCCACTCCCACAGGCAGCGACGAGAGCCTCAACACCACCGGTTTAGAGAGCAAGACACCCCCCACTCCCTCTCTCCTCGCTACCCTACATCCCTCTGCATTGCTAAGCCATACACGGCTCAGACTCATCGCAAGTATGTTCTCCCAAATGTGCGATGCAGTCGCAGCCTGCCATGATCAGCGTGTCTTCCACCGCGATATCAAGCCAGAAAACTTTATCGTAACAGATGGCTTTGCACCTGCCTCTCCGTCCTCCGACCGCATGGAGCGCAAAGTCCTAGTCAAGCTCACAGACTTTGGACTCAGCACCAACGAGCAGGAAAGCGCAGACATGGACTGTGGAAGCGCACCCTACATGAGCTTCGAGTGCCGTAATAACGTCGCACCCACGTACAGCCCCGAGCGGAGTGACGTATGGAGTCTCGGTATCGTCTTGATCAACATGTACGTCCGTTTTTACCGCTGCATTCATATCTGACATCGCCTCAGGTTGTACCACTACAATCCCTGGACCGACACCTCCGACGGCGCTTGTTCTTCATTTTCCCTCTTCCGTACACACGGCGCCCATTTTTTCATGCAGCGCTTCACCGGCATGACTTGGCCCGTCGCCGAGTTTCTCACTCAACGCGTATTTGTCCTTCCCCCATTCGACACTAGCCACATGCCCATCACTGCCAAGCAATTCGGTGCATGGATCAAGGATCTTCCTGCACTGCTCTCGGACCGCGAGAGCTCGCATAGAGGGCACAAGCGTGTCCACAGCACTTCATCGACTCTTGGACACCCGCTGTCATCGTGCCCGCCCTCGCGTCGTCCATCATCCCGCGCTGCGCTGCGCACGCCGCTCGTGTGCAGTCGGTCCTTGAGCAGGGCGCCGAGCGTGGGTGGTGTGTTGGTCGAGGAGCCAGAGGATCTTTCGAGGGAGCATGCATTGTTGCCGCTCGACGACAACGAAGACGAGGATGGACGTTCTCGCTCGAACAAGAAACGTGGGAAGCGCGGGTCGCGGAAGGGAGTGCAGAAGACCACCACGGACGCAACGCTCGAGACGCTCGCTGTTGCATCACAGAGCTTGGCACGGGAGATCAGTCTCGCAAGTCGGGGCGCAAGCCGTTCGTCATCAATCGCCCCTGGGGGTGCGGTCATCGATCTCAGCAGAAATGCAAGCCGTGCATCGAGTCTTGCTCGTCCTTCATCAACATCTACATCCCTCGCACCTGCTCCAGTTCCAGAAGTCGAAATACCTCGTGCGCCTGTGAAGAAGACGAGCAAATGGAAATTGGGTTTCGGAAGCGGAAAGACGGTCGCAGCTACCCCTTCAGAAGAACCTACCCCAGGCACCGCAAGCAACGTTACAAACGTCATCATGGGACTCAGCCAACCCACGCCTACGCACAACCCATACACCAAATCCTCGCCTTACACCTCCCACAGCAGCATCAACACCAGTTCCAACAGCAGCATCAACGCCCCACACACGCCTCTCACACGACAACGTTCCCCAGCGGACGAAGCATCCACATGGGCGCGCGGTCGAAGGCCTGGTGCGAGTACGTTCAGCAGTGCTTTTGCGAGCGGCGTTAATGGAAGCGTGCGTGGACATTCTCCGCCTGGGAGCGTGAGGAGCAGTAATTGGCGGAGCTCGATGAGCAGTGCTAGTACGAGCACGAGTGCTTTTACGAGGTATAGCAATTCGAGCGTGAGGAGTGTTTCGACGACGGCTACGAGTGTTTCTAGTGGGAGTGGGAGTTGGAGGGCTGGTGGGCAGGCTGCGCAGGTTCCTAAGAATGTCAAGAGTGAGTTTCTTTCTTCCTTTTTGGAGGTTGTGACAATGTTGACGGGTGTGATAGTCATGAATGGCGTGCCTTGGGAACTCGACGAGCTTCCGAGACAGTTACATCCTAATCCAGTGGGCGACATCTTCGGGCAGCCTCCTCAACGCAAATCACGGGCACGCAAATCGAAGCTGGACACGATAAGCGAGAGGCCTGCGCCTCTCCGGGACGCAGCCACCAGTACCACAGATCTAAGCGGTGGAGGAGGAGAGGAAGACTCGCCAAAGAAAGTGCAGAAAGGCCAGATCAACGCGCTAGCAAAGATGCTCTCCGCTCTGAGACGCTAGACAAGTGTAGGTTTAAGAAGACGTGTGTGTTTTTGCGCATTGTTTTGTTAGAAGGCTTATGCCGTGTAGGTGCTGTGTCTGTCTGTGTTTGTGAGGGGGGGAGATGTATTGTATGGTACCCACTACTTACGGTGCGATGATCAGTTTTATTGTTGTTGTAATTCGTGTGCTCATTCATGGGATTTGATTTGGTGGGGTAGGCGATTTCGATGCCGTTGTGCATATTGTCCTGCTGCTGCTGTTTTTATCTGCATAATAATCCCTTGGCCTGCGGTCAGCAAAAACACTCGGAAAAATCATAGCATTCAACACCATTCCATCCTCAGGCTTCATTACTTTTATTATACTGCAAGAAAACCCAATCAACTCAACCACACGCTCGTTGCAGGACTGTATCACACATTTGACATACTATAGACCCGAAAAGACGAAAATCCTTCACTCGTTTATAACTTGAAGTAGTACGTGTACTCTATTTCATTTTTCATGAGTCAATGCTTTCTTCTTTTTCTTCGTAACTCCACCTTTTCTTTCTTTCTATGACTAGTACTTGCTCAAGCTTTCATGTCGTTCGTTTTTGTACGTTGGTCGTCGGTCGTGGTTCATTGCAATTCGATGATTTTTTCTGTGCGCCACGTACATATACGAGTACTCTAGACCCGTTTTTACGAAATCCTTTGACCGAGTTGTCGCTCGTTATACTTGGTGCGTATGTATGCTCCCTTTCATTTTCATGAATCACTTTCGGAGTTGGTGTCGCTCCAGGGTGTCACATACATATATGGGAGATAGTCACCCAAGAAAATGATTATATTGTGAACGATCATCCATGCACTTCCATGCACTACCATCAGTTTTCTAGCAGTAACTCTTATCACGGCTCAAGTTAAGCATGGACTGCTGTGACGGTATTCTAGGCCTTCAAAAGTTCCGGAAGATGTTTTTGGGCTCAAGCACTGCCCACAGCAAGCCATAGCACTAGTACTGCCTTCAAGCTTCAAGTTATTCGCTCCTCGTAGTACATCCGACGGTCTTACTCTCCATCTCACCTATCCTCTAAGCTCGCCATCTGATCAAAATGTACTTGAAGTCGCTCAAGGATTCGGGCAAGGTCTTCGCAGTTCGTTTAAGGCGTCCTCACAAAGAACGGGCGCACACGACGCGATGGCTCCATCCCTGCAGACACCCCTAGTCCCGTTCCCGTCCCTTCGTCAACTCTACCTTCGAATTCATCGCCAGGGTACTCCGATTCTGCAGGCGGAGAACCAGGTCTCGAAGGCTCCACCAATTATGACGGTCCTTCCGCCGGATACTCCCGAGGTGTATCCCTTGCGCGCGAAGCTTCCTGATATGGCTCAGCTAGCTTTGCCCTTGGTACAGGCCGTTGTAGGTGCAATCCCACTTGTCGGGCCTTCGATGCAAGCGGCTATTGGTGGACTATTAACAAGCCTTCAAGCTATAGATGTGAGAACTTTCGTGATTGCGATCTTTGATTTTAAAGGCCATCACAGAGACATAACCAGAATAAGGCGGATCTAAATAGCTTAGCATTACGACTCGATCGACTAAGCCGCGATTTGTGTAATGCCCCGCCTGCTCGGGACTCTCTTGAGCAATCCCGAAGGGATTCCTTTGTTAGGTATACACTGTTGATGCTGTGCTTGAATTCTAACATCGAGTCGCACTTAGGATGCTGCAAGATACCTCAGCCCGAAGTGACAGTGTTGCATAAACGTTGTCTCGCATTCACATCCGTCACACAAGCTATCACCTGGATGTTTTATTGACATCGACCGTTATCTGGCGGAGTATCTGGTTGTGTTCCAGTCTCTAAAGATAGTTTGCATTCACTCATACTCCGCTTGTTAGTTGTCGTCCCAAATGCAAAGTCAACATGACATACATGAAGAGTTGATAATCCTACGGAGGCAGCAGGAGGATCAGCAGAAGCTGCTGATGACAATGACCCTGTTGATCCGTGAACAGTCCTCTGTGGGACTGACTGCAATACAGTCAACTGGAACTGTTGCACTTGGTTGTGTGACACTGGTAGATGCAACAGGCCACGAACATCCAATATCGGTGAACTTCTGCACCTCATTTCAGGTCCGTCTCGCCAGCGTAAAAAATCATCTTAGAAAATCTTACTCATTAAATCGTCTTTAGCAACTCAACGAAATGCTCCATGTTCTGTTTAAACGCGACTCGATTGAAGCTCGAATTCAGCGACAATTTATAGAAATAGGACAATATGATTTATGCATTGACAATGGCATGCAAGTAACCCAACTGACAAGCCATGGATGATCGGGAATTGAACCAGGCACGAGGATTGTCATGAGGGTTATCATCGAACAGCAGGAGACATCATCCTCCAGATCTGGAGTTTCCTATACATGTCGTTTTTGTCGCGCCGAGAATCACCTCAGTCTTGGGTCTGTTATGCATTCGCTTGCACGGCAGGCTGGGTGCTCGATTGATTGGTTAGCACATTTGTCTTCTGGATTCTGACTGTCTAACAGCCAGAAGCCGAGTATGCAAACGACGGTTTTATATATCCCGCGTATCTCGCAGGGCGAAACGGAATACTCGATCCTTTAACATTGACTCCGATCACACGACTGAAGCTGAAATGCACCTTATTCGCAACTTTCACGTCCAGCAAACGTCGATGAGCAGTGCTAGTACGAGTACGAGTAATTCGAGCGTGAGGAGTGTATCGACGACGGCTACGGGTGGGAGTCGGAGGGCTGGAGGACAGGTTTCGCAGATGCCTAAGAATGTCAAGAGTGAGTTCCCCCCCTCCTTTTTTTGTGGGTGGAGTTGTTGATGGGTGCGAATGACAGTCATGAGTGGCGTGCCTTGGGAACTCGACGAGCTTCCAAGACAGCGACATCCGAATGCAGTGGGTGATATCTTCGGGTCGCCTCCTCAGCGCAAACCACGCACGCGCAAGTCGAAGTTGGACACGATAGGCAAAACGCCCGAGAAAGTGCAGATGGGCCAGAGCAATGCGCTGGCGAAGATGCTCTCTGCTCTGAGACGCTAAAGTGAAGTGCAGGTTGAAGAAGACGTGTGTGTTTTTGTGCGTTTTTTTGTTAGAAGGCTTATGCCGTGTAGGCGCTGTGTTTGTGGGGGAGATGCATTGTATGGCACCCACTACTACTTACGGTGCGAAGATCAAATTTTTGTGATTCGTGTGCTTATGGGATTTGGTGGGGTAGGCGATTTCGATGCCGTTGTGCATATTGTGCTGTGCTGTTTTTATTTGTGCATAATAATCCTTGGCCTGCGGTCAGCAAATCACTCAGAAAAATCATAGCATTCAACTCCATTCCGTCCTTCATTACTTCTATTATACTGCAAGAAAACCCAACCGCCACGCTCGTTGCAGGACTATATTACACCTTATTTGACATACTATAATAGACCCGTTTTTATATATAGAAAAGACGAAAATCCTTGACCAACCTTGTCGTTCGTTATAACTTGAAGTAGTACGTGTACTCAATTTCATTTTCATGAGTTAATACTTTCTCATTCTTCATAATTTTTCTTTTCTTTTTTTTTCCTTTTATGACTAGTACCTACTCAAGTCTTCATGTCGTTGGTTTTTGTATGTTGGTCGTCGATCGTGGTTCATTGCAATTCGATGATTTTTTTCTGTACGCCACGTACACACCAGGGAAAGCAGAGCGTGAGAGGGGTGCGACTAATCGCCAAACTATGGCGTGATGCCAAGGACGTCGCCGATGCGGGCGTAAAATGCATTGCTACGTAAACAAATTCCAAAAACCTAATCCAACCTCCTATGGTGGCTTCTTCTGAATCAACGAATGCTGCAACGCAGCGAACGCCATGTTCTGTTCGATGGTTGGGAGCGTTGCCGTGTCTCCAATGCTCATGCTGGTTGAAGGCTCACGGTCGCGGTTGCCCAAGAGGCTGAACGACGGGCGATGGCGGACTTGTGCGTCCATAGGAGACGCAGAACGAGAAGAAACACTGGCACTGTCCATGTCGCTATCTTCTACCTCCGAAGACTCTGCGCCTTCTAGCACGAACCCGCCTGAGCTATCTGTTCTGATGAGATTGATGTAATATTCCTGGAGGACTTCGCGTGTGCACTATAATGAAAGCCAAAGCCCAATAAAGGGGGGGAAAAAACAAAAGAAAGAAAGAAGAAAAAAAGAGCGTGAGAGGAAAACGGGAGAGCGTTGAGGATCGTTTGCGAACCATTAAGCGCCAATCTATCGCACGAAGAAACTCGCGTTCGAGGACGTTGAGTTCTGTTACGGGTATACCGCCTACGCGTGCGTAGAGGGCGTTAGTGCAGAAGGAGTCGCAGAGGCCTTTGCTGCAGACTGTGATGGATGCTATGATGAAACGGTGGCAGGTGAGGGAGGAGAGGGTGAAGAGGGGCATGCGGGCGCAGATTTGGTCGACGTAGTGTAGGGTGAGGAGAAGGCATGATTTCTGGGAGGGGGCCTTGGGTGAGATTGGAAGGGATGTGAAGGGAATTATTTGGATACGGACCTCCACTTTTGTCCATTTGATTATACGCCGGAGGTAATCGAGGACGCTGATGTTTGGTACGGCTCTCGAGTGAAATCGGGTGAGGCTCTCGCTGGGAATAATAGATGAGGTTCATGATATGAAACATAGGAGAAAACATACGGTAGGAGTGGTATCTTGTCATTATGAGTGATCAATCGTTCAAGCATATTAGCTTGAGATAGTAATTAGATCTGAGGGAACGGTTTCAAGAAAAGGATATTACCTATGAGAAGAGCAAGATTATCTATTTCGGCGGTTTCAAATGTAGCGGGTAAAGTGACCCTCGTCGATGAGTGCATACCTTGCACCCATTGCCGCTCTTTATTGCGGCAAAATGTTACAATCGAGTCGAGTCCAAGAAATTCTAAGACTGAGACGAAATCAGATCAGTTTGCTTGTACCCACTGTACTCACACGACCAAACAACACTGCATGGCCTAGAAGCTCACACAAAGTCCATAATTAACTTGATCCAACGATAAACTGCTGGAAATCTGATGGTTATTTACAGTCCTTGAATTGTTCACACCGGATATGCGACAGAGTCGGACAGACTAGGTCTATCTCTTCATATCAGTTTCTGACTGGGGCTATCGAACACTCGCTAGTAACAGCCGAAGTGAAAACTTGACGACAAGTATCGACGTATCAGGAGCCGCCTTCATCGTTCGACGCGCCATAACCACTCTTCTAAGCCAACTATATCAGACCCTGTCGTTCCCTATGCAGGTACATCCTGATTCACTGGTTGCATATGAAAGTCGAGGGCATTGTGCTCACCGTCGAGACGTCAAGTATTGACTCAAAGGTAGACCTAGCGCCCGGGGTAGTGGTCACTGGTCGTCCTATGCTTGCGGGCGTTGCCGAATAGAGATACACATTTGTCAACGCCAGCAAGCTTGATCCACTGCTTTCAAAGTACGAGGATGTCAAACCCCGCCTTCTGAGTATGAAGGCAGAGGCCCTTGATATGTCTTATTTCTGATACATCCACCTTACTCAAAGCTCCCCAATTAACGTGGTTGAATCCGGGTGGCAAACTACTTATACTCACGCAGAGATTTACGCAGGCTGAGCAGGCGGTATCTTGCAAGGAAAAGAATGGACATCTTTCACTGCTGGCGTCACTTGCAGAGATTGATGCTGTCGAAACAGCAACGACGGCGAGGACGCAGGAGAAACACATTGTTCGTGAGGATGTGATGTGGGATCAAATAAATCTGAAGGGGACACTAGGAAGACACCTTGCTTTTATACGCTGAATGTTGTTCTCAATGGCGATGCAGGAAGCTCGCAACAAGGACTGATCAGCTTGTTGTTTGATCTCCTTCTGATCTTCTTTACTATCCTGCATATCACATACCTACTTTCTCGTCCCCTACTAACTTTCGTTTGTGGCTGAACGATTTCGTACGATGGAGTATTCATCGTTGCATCTGGTCAGGTTTCTGCTCATTGTGAACTTCTGTACTTTGAGCAGTCCTCTTACCGACAGTGTTCCTTGCTGCGTCGTTTTAACACTCAACGTATCATACAGTGCATGCAAGGGCACTCGTTCGATACTTACTGGGATTTGACCCTCGAAGGGTTAGATTCCGAGGAGCCCAAGTACTGTTCCTGTCGTCGGTTTGATTTTTGCATATCAGTGATTCTCGCACTGTTTGTGATAAGCGGAAGTTGATATCCGATGAGTTAAAAATTGCCCCATCCACAGCGCCTTCACGTTCAATGAATAAATCCGGCTGGAAGTAGCTATTGATTCCGTCTCGCGTTGATTGTCTTGTGGCCGTGGCAACTTTTTAACCATAATCTACAGAAGAGTCGGGGGATTCTTGATGGACTCCAGTTCCGGCTGACACGTTGTTCGCATTCTTACTGAATTTCGACGATGATCTTCCCCCTGATAATGAAGTCTCGGCCACCGCTTCTTCCTACGAAGACAGAATGCTCACCTATTCTTATTGTCAGCCATCTCGCGATGAGCGCTCTGTATCTCTGTCCAAGGATATACCTGTGAAGTGGTATGTCTGTGTCCGACGGGATGAGAAGAGTAGAAGAATATACCCACTTTGTGAACGTAAATCCGTATCGGACCACCTCCGTTGGCGCCAGTTAGCTTATCGATAAAATCGTGGAAGCTTAAGCTTATGACGAGTCAGTGGAGGAAATCATATTGGGCAACGTTCTGACAATACCTTGCGATGAGTTCGGTCTGGTACTGTAAACTACGCGACCGTAACGTAGAGCCCTGAATGCGAAGACGCTTGTAAAGTATCTCGCCAAGGTTGACTGAGGGGACTTCTCTCCCTACCAAACGTTTCAGTGACGAGTTTTCGGGCTTCAAGGCAAAAAAAAATGCCTACCACTCAAAGCAGACAACATTATCATCCGACCATCAATGGCGAGGGATTGAATGTTCTTTGCCCAATGACTTTGTCCAACGACATCTATGACAATATCGACGCCTCTTCCGTTAGTCGTTTTCCTGACCTCCGCGGCAAAGTCTTCGGTTCTGTAATTGACAGTATGTGTCGCCCCATTAGGGATGGACCGGAGCCAATCGAGTTTTTCTGGGGTAGATGCCGTCGCAGTAACGGTTGCCCTGTGAACGCCGCGTGATACGTATTCAGCGAGAACGCGCAGACGGCACTGAAGACCGGAGTACTCACGCTCCTGATTCCCTTGCCGTTTGAATAGCCGCTATGCCTACACCAGAAGCGCCTGCGTGAATGAGTACATGATCACCCTTCTTGACTTCCCCGTACTTCACAAGAGCTTGATAGGCTAAGGATGGTCCCAAAGCAGTCAGAACCGATGACAACCGCTTACTCGGCTGGTCTGTTGTACTCACCTGTAATGTAGTTTTCTGGTATGCTGGCTGCCTCCACCCAAGATAAGTGATTGGGCTTCTTCAACAAGAGTCCTTCGTTGCAGTTTATGAACTCTGCATAAGCTCCCTGTGATACCCGTGACGGGTTGTCAGTAAGAACATACATACACTTTGATTTGACCAATCGACTAACGCCGCGCACAAGACCGAAGACTTCATCACCAACAGCCCATCGCGTCACTCCTTCCCCGAGCTCAGTCACACGTCCAGAAAATTCCAAACCAAGAATGGAGGATACACTCGGGCCAAGGCGTACAGGACCATTGCCCTGACGCTGTGAAAGGTCCGTGCGATTGAGGCCAAATGCGACAATCTACCACGAGGGTTCCATGCCAGACTCAATCGATTTACATGGGTCGATAAGATGAAGAGAGGCACGGACCTTTACCAAAACCTGTCCCTTCATTGGGACTGGCTTATCTGTCTCCCCAATGTAAAGGTTCTCAATAGGACCTTGCCCGTCTTTGATTAACACGGCACGCATTTTGGACATTTTCACGGTAGTGCTGGGTGTTATGGTCAGGACACTAGTCTCTGAAGCGTGATCCCCGACACCCACTTTAGTGGGAGAGGGTTCTGTTAAATCTCGAGCTGTCTGCCTCATTTTGCCGCGTCACTGTCTCGTCACTGCCACGTTAACTTCATCCATGCCACGTCACAGCCGCGCCAAACCGCACATGCTGTGTCAAGCCTATCAGTGGCGCGTCAGTGTTGCAACAGTCCGTCCAGGGGCAACAACACTTTCCTGTCTATCATGCTAGTTCGATTGAAACAGCATTTCCTTCCGTGCTAACTGGATTAGATGTCGTAGACTGTAAGTGTCTGTAGGCAGTGACAGCTCTTGAAACGCGCGGAAGCTCAGAACGAGGAATGACATGATAGCGAGTTGTTGAAGATCGCTTGGGCTGATCTTGTGATAAGGTAGCTTCGTGGCTGACGTAGATCTCGAGTGCCTGGCTGCACTCGAAGCAAAGATGTTCGAGGATTTAAAAGAAGCAGGAGCTGCAGGCAACCAGCAGTGGGGCTTGGATGCAGGTCAACATCATAGGCGGTGGAATCCGTATCTCGACACGCCCAATGAATGGGTTTTAGGGAGAGATTACGGCGAGCGTGAACATGAAGTATGTTTCTTGTTATACCAGCCCAGTAAAGGTCTCTAACTTGTGTTACTGACAACGTGGCCCCTTGTCCAGCAATCATTCTGATGCCACATCCTCAGATGAGTTATCCGAAGCTGTAGCGCATTCAGTTATAGCGGAAGAACCCTTTGTGCCCATGAAACGTCGGCCTGCGTCGCAGAGAGTCCAGAAAGGAAACGAAGCAAAGTAGACGTTGTCTGATAATGTAGCTATTAGGAAAATGAAATACGAGATAAATGGACCGAACCTATAGCACAGACTCTAGGACATGTAAATTACGTCAAATAACATCATCTGGAGAGGAAAGCTGCGTCAAGCGTGCCACACCATAAAACATGAATGTATTGAACATACGAATGAACAGCTACGTTCATCATTAGCTGAGAACGAGTGAAGTTTAGGCCCGTGCGTGCGTGTTAACGCGCCATGGAGCTCAAGTCGAGAGACGTTCGGCAAGACTCTGCATGCACGCAAAGAATATGCATAGATTTCTTGTGGTACCTGAAAACCAACAGAAATCGATCATATTCTTTGCGCACGGTGACCGAACGAACATTGAGAGGAAATTTGACACGGTGTTGGCGGACAGGATACAGGCAAAGGTGGAGGCGGCGGGCAACGAGAAGAGCAACAAGAATCGTTAAGGCAGGTACATCATTAATTGTCGTGAGACGTCCGGTTTGAGGTTTACTACACCAACTTTCACAAACATCCACGGATCTGCCATGACCCACCTTGCTAAGCTTCCTCTTCGTCGGCATGACTCGATTGGAAATCATTTGTGCGCTGGCGTCGAAATTTAGACTCGTAATCGGTCTAACTATGCGTTAACTTGAGATGGGGATGGGGAGATGTTGAGTGACTTGAGTCTTGACATAGTGGGTCACACCCCACTCGTCTGTGGTAGTACAGGCGTTGTAGTGATACAATACTGCTACAATCCAAGGGTAGGTAAGTAGGCTGCACTATAATACATCACTGATGCAATAGGTTATGCTGCTTATGCATTAGGATGCATCATTTCCTTCCTCCCGCCTACTCCTGGGATGCACCTTGTTTGTATCCATTTATAGCATGCAACGCGCTGGCTAGCGCTCATGTACTGATGCCGAGAGCTATCCTCCCTGCATCGGATAGGTCAGTATGCAAGCGCTGAACGCTGCCAAGTGCGTTCAGCTGAAGTTCTGGATTCAAGATGACGTCATCAGAATCGCGAGCAAGAAGACTGGCGCCGTGGAAGCCATCAGAACGAAGCTCGCTGGCCCCGCTGGACTAGGCCAATGTGCTCGGATAACGGACAAGCAGAATGGTTGTGATGTGCTGTGTACATGTGTGCGTGTAAGACCTCGACTCAGCTCTCGGAACACTGCTCTCGCCTAACCCCTTGCCTGGAACCCCCTACTCCACCGCCTAGTACTAGTACTTGCGTGTGGCCGCCGACACTTTGAGAATTTCTCCGCCGATGCGACTCTCCTCTTTTGCTATAGATAGTTGCTATCTCGAACGTCATCAACAAATGTACCAGGTATTACCTTACAATTGATGACGCTAGCACTGAGATCTGATCAAGTCATTTCCAATCGCAAACGTGTAGTTTCAACGGTGAATTGCCGTATTAGTATCCCCCAGGCCACAATCTATGTGATGAACGCTGGATCCTTGTTAAAAAAAGTACACGATAGTGGATGAACCAGACACGCTCTTGCAAATTGTGCGTTATTTCAATCACTGTCTATTTAACTGACAGGAGAATTTCAACAACCATGTCATTTTTTTGTCCCTCCACTTACTCATGACACGCACGTCACATCTTTGCCAGTCGGATCTATTCAAGATACGCTCAGAGGTCCTCAGCCGCGATGTTCGGACGGTTCTCTCGTACGAGAGAGCCAAGGCTATTGGCTTAGCATTCGGTACATATGCTGCAGCTTCGTTGTTCACGGGGCACACCTTGATCTCGTATTACAGGCATCACCTTACACGACACTTTGTATTTGACGCAAAAATTCTGGGACATGCACACCGACCTGATCGCGGTTCACGACGCTGCTGCGTGGACGCTGCTAATAATCCAGTACAATTTGGCCGCAGGAACGCTTGCACGATATGCTGCAACTACTAGACCTGAATTGGTTTCCCTCGTTGAGGACATTCTTCGATGGAATGTTATGTGAATAAGCTGCTATACCACTCTTGTGGAACTTCCTCCTGATCCAATCGCAGCGCCCAATTCTGCCTTACCGAGTTAGGGAGAGGCCTAGATATCTTCCGGATGAAGACAGCAGCGACACTTCTCCCATCAGGTGAATTCGATCTTCATACGCCTTCGCCCTCGGACGCCAAGTATGACATTAGTATGACATTGAGGATTATTACTCATGATAGCCAGGTTTATGCCGCCGACTATTCCAATGAAAGGTCTTCCGTGTGTCGCCATTGTGTTCGCACAATTATACGTGAATGGTGAATGCCGTGGACCTCGACCGTTTCTAGTCAACCTGAACGACGGATACAATATGTGCAACGGGGTGACTTCGAAGCAAGTCTTCTTCGCTTCATGTCAAATACGCCCTCTTATCCCTTTTTTATTAGGTTGCTACCACCCAGAGGAGGCTCAGATCCTGTCAACCATGCACTTACAAGCTTCCATCATGTCCGTTTGCCACCTTCAGCCCTTCTCGGGAACCTCAACAAGTCCAACAAAATACAAAGCGACTTTATTTCCTCTATATGGCGTATCACGGTCGGGTCGCTAGCACTCAGCTCATATGCAATACCAGATCTCCAGATGTCGTCATATATCGCTGCACGTTACTTTCAGCGTCGCCATGTCACTGGCGGGCATGGCAAGCCTGTGCCCATAATTTCATACCGGACGCAACAGCTCCCTTTACTGAATGCCATCGCGCAGGTGTTCGTGCTAAAAGCGCTTTACAAATGGGCTGTAGGGCGGTTCACAGACAAGAGTCTTGATGATCTTGTGCGACGTAGCATCGCGATATGCTCCAAAGCAGTCATGACCCAGCACGCACAAGTTGCCAATTATGCCATGTCCGAAAGAATGGGAGCTCAAGGTCTTTTTGAATATAATCGGCTGACCAGTTATTATGTACGCACGTCTTCTTCACTATGACTGAGCGAGAATCAACCTGTTGAACAGAACGTGGTGAGGGGAATTAGCATTGCTGAAGGTGACATTTTAGGTTGGTGAGCTTTAGTCTTCTCTAGTGTCGTGATGTTGACCAACGATGTCAGGGCTCTCCATGCGTTAGTGCTTCACATCGACCTCACCGGTGCTACAAATTTACGGATATTACAGGAATTGTGACAGATATCTTGACACAAAAGTGCACGCCGCTTCCCTCGACGCACCCAAACGACCCCCTCGCTTTGCACGAAGTCTCGTTATTTGAGGAGGCGACTGCATCAGTTTCCTCCTCATCCGACTTCACACTAGCTTTCATGGAATATGTGCAGCCACGCTGTCAATTGATGGTCGAGTCCATGGGACATCGTATGGCTTATGACGCTGCTGTCGACCAAGGCGTCTCACAGTGTCTCATCGATGTATATCTTGTCAGCGCAATCAAGACAGATCCTGCGTGGTATGTGGAGCGTGGGATGGTTACGCGGCAGGAAATTGCGCGTATGGAGGATGCCGCCCTGTTGGCAGCCCTACCCCGACTGGAAGAGTTTCTCGCAGGAATGGAGGTTGAGCCATACGTCACGTCACCCATCATATCTGATGAGCGTTGGGAGGAATTTAGCAAGACATTACCTGTCTTTAGCACCCCTCATGCTAAGGTGCCAGTCCAGCAGAATTTTATTTTGGAGCGAGCTCGGCTTTGATCCGTTTTTTGCCCTACTTATGGTGCTATGACTTAGACAAGATCCACCATTCCCCACCAGCCTGGTGGAATAAAATATTTTAGCTACCTGAGATCCTTCGTTAAAATTCGTACAAGTTTGTACCGGACTAGTGATAAACAGTACAAGAACTTGTCGCTGACAAGGAGCTGGTGCACTGCTCCAAAATACGACGCCAGGAAATCATAGCGATCTGCGAGCTCTTGTCGTGTTTCACTGTATGGGTCAAGATGCCTTTTCAGAACGTTTCGCCCGATGATGATAAGAGACTAGTATCAGTTATGTGGATTCGCGAAGCGCGTCGTTACGTAGTCTTCTTTGGACGTCAGAGAGAAGTTGATCAATGATACAAACATCGGCGCGTCCGATACATTTAGGGAGTATGCCGCACATCATCGTCAACCTGAAATGAACATTAATGCAGATACAGTTGAAGACGCGGGGTTTGGTGATCATACAGAGTGCGAGGCTCTAGGTAAGGCTATATGTATAATGGTGGAGGAAGTGGGAAAGGATCCGATGAGTGTTTACTCGAGAGGCAGGGAACCAGGGGCATCGACAACGGGGAGGATCGAGACGCGGGACGGATATCCATATGATACAGACTTATCAAATATTTGTATTCCGATAGTAATCCAACAAGTTTCCTATTCTATTCTGAGAAAAGCAGACGTGGAAGTCTTATAAACCAGATATAATTCAGTCGTCGGTTTAGAGACTGATTCAACCTCTGCAACAGCCAGCTTCCCTGCCTCGGATGAGTATCAGAAATGGGTACTTCTCACTACTCTGGCTCATCGGGATTTGGGCGATTTGCCACGTCTGATTACATACTGGTTACATGGCCTCTTCGCAGCCCGTTCAAGTTCGGGTCTGATCAAATTCTCGTTTCCGCAGTGATTGAAATTCGAACACCCGATATCACTCCAGTCCCCGAGTAACAGGTATATCGACGTGTCAGAGCATCCTACAAGCCACCTTCGTCGTTCGACGCAGACTCTCCTAACCAACTCTAAGCCAGCCATGTCGGACCCCGTCGCTTCCAAGTCTGGCTTCCTATGCATGTACATGAAGAACCATCCTGATACATTGGTTGCATATGTCAAATATTTCGGGAAAGTTGAGGGCAATGTACTCACCGCTGAGATGTCTAGCATTGACTCAAAGGTAAGCTTGCGGCAATCGACGTCCCAAGCCTCATGACGTTGACAAATCTACCAGGGCATGACACTTCTGTACAAGCTCAAGTCTGGACAATCGAATACGATTCGAGTACCATTTGATCCATTGCTTTCAAAATACGAGGATGTCAAACCCCGCCTTCTGAGCATGAAGGTAGAGGCCCAGGAAGGTCTTGGTATGGTGCGTGTTCGCAAGCGTTCCTTTCAGTCGCTCTTGTCTCTGATACATCCACCTAGCTCAAAGCTCCCCAAATCACCACATTCCGGTTTCCCCTACGCCCGGGTGTCATCACAGGAGCCGTTTTGCTCGCGTACTTTTATCTCGTTTCACCACCACCCCCTAGCACCACATTCCTCTCTATCCCTGTCACCACCATGGATGCATTCTTCTCCCCAGCGCACGCGTTTATAAGTGCCACTGGTTTCGGTCTTTCCTTCCGAACTGCTTGCACAATACTCGGTGTCATTCACGGGGCTGAAGCGCTATATACCTGGTCTCTTTGTAGGCGTTATGTCAAGGGCGTCGTAGCGACCGTAAGTCCGTCTTCACAATTGTTCGAGCTTTACGCTTTAACCTTCTGTTCAGGCCGCTTATATGGGATTTACCATGATATTCGGAATGCCGACGTGGATAGACCTCAAAAGGCACGTTCAGGAGAAACGCATCGAAAGTGTTATGAAGGTTGAATAATAGACGTTCTGCGCGTCCTTTCTGGGGTGAATGCACAATCTTCCTCTTGTTCTTGTATGACGACATCAATGTACTTCAATCCGAGCGTTCGACTTTGGTCTGCAGTTACGACAATCTGTTTTTCGGTTCTCAATCAATAATTTTACATTGCGGGCAGTGCTGTTTTGATCACTAAGAGCCTTCAAGTTGGGTCCTGTCGAGTCTAGGCGCCTCTGTCTCTACGATCCTAGCGAGAACGAAAAGTTGACAGATATTCATAATCTCAGGGATTCTAGCACAGCACCAGTCATTTATCACGACTTGCCTGATGACAGTCTAGAAACATCAACTACATTCGGCAGCCTGATACTTCACTGAAACGATGATGCCATCATGACATATCTATATCCATCTCCTGCTCTCCTTCATCTTCATCATTCAGAAATCCTTTCCGCCTCAAATGCGGATGACAAAGCTCCCTCTCCTCCGCAGTCGCTTCCACATCATCCTCATTCCAATCGCTTGTTGCTTCCCACTCATTCTCGAACTCTATATCCAGCGCCAGCTCGGCGTTTTCGGCGTCGCTCAGCGGTAAGAAACTCGCAAGTGTGAACGTCGAATAAGAAGGAACTGCAGGCCCGGAGTGAGGCTGTGCCTGAACCCACCGTCGTTCTCGAAGGCGTTTATGTCGCTCTCGGTCCTCTTCGATACGCTTGAATATTTCACCACGAGAGAGGTGGGGCTCAGACTTTGCTGCTGAAGGTACAGCGGATGTCGAGGTCGCGTCTGGTGCTGAGTCTCTGGAAGAGAGTAACAAGAGGACTTCGTCCACTTTTTGTGGCTCTATTGTTCGTTTTGTGCGCCAGTTTTCTAGGATCTGTAAGGTTGTGGGTTAAGTAGGCACTGAAATAGGAACTAGTTTGTGCGCACCTGTTTTGTACTCGGTAGATTAGGTAGCCCCTGCCTACCCACAGGCACGACGCATTCCACAATCTGTGTCAGATCCCGCGAGACGTAGTCGACGTACAACGCGTTGTTGACCTGTTTACTTCTAGTACAGTGCCATCACTTGTAGTCGAGTTACTAGGCAGGATGAAACTCACGATGAAGATGACTGTTCTGGGAGTTGATGTGCTTTCGCTAGTAGCGAAGTTTCGCAAAGGGAGTCAAGAAAGTAAAGAATGTTTATGCGGTGATTGATGGAGCCCTGTGCTTGGCTTCAGACATCATCTCATAACAAACGCACGAAAGAGATGCGCATGTAGGGACGCCGACGCTCGAAGAAGAGCGAAAGAAGCGCAGTACAACGGCGAGGAGATGATACCAAGTATCACTCACCTTCTGACACTCCTCGATAATGCACTCCCACAAATCCTCCCCACATCTCGAAAAATACTTCAAGGCAAATCCAACGACCTTTTGTATCGATTGTTGGGAGCTGCTCGCCATAATCGATGGAGATACATCGTGTGCAATGAATTGAACGTCAAGCAGTCGGTAGTGAAACGTGCATGAGCAGTTAGATGGTGACGGGCAGAAAGAATACGAGGACTTACGCGTTCAGTTTGCGAATGAGCCCGAGGAATTGCATTCTCACTTCGAATGGGTCATGCATGGCTGCCAAAGGCTGAAGTGTATGTGATCGAGGGGTGGTCCAAGGAAGCCTAAGCAAAGCTCGTCAGATCAGTCTTCGATTACTTGTAAAATTAATGGAGGTGGCTCCAAGGAGAGGCTCACTAGAGTTTAAAATATAAACAAGATCACAACGACGCACAAATATATAAGACACAAAGATAAGTACGGGTACAAATGAAGTTCTACAACTACATTTCGCTGTCCTTAAACGGTCCAGAAAACAATTCATATTGTGCCATCTTCGCTGCATCATCATTGGACCCCGCCCGGATTACTTCATCTCTCGCCCTACATGCATCGATGCCTTCGACAACCCGAGCCTCTCCTTGCTTTCTAGCGCCCCTTACAAGCTCGGACGTACGCAGTAGCCGAAGATCCTGGTAATCTGTGAAGACTTGCGACAATAATTCTGTTGAAGGCTGGCCAGCAGACGGATTGTATTTCTTCAGGAGCCGCATAATATGGTAAATGTCTTCGAAAGCTTGATTGGCACCTTGTCCCAGATGCTAGGTACAATGATATTGATCAGTGCCATGGAACTCGATGGTGTAATTACATACCGGACTTGTGGGGTGAGCTGCATCGCCCAAAAGAACGATTCTTCCCTTGAACCATGACTTGAGCTCAGGTCGGTCGTAGAGACCATACTGTAAGCACGGCATCCATTTCAGAGAGTTGAAGCTTTGTCACGAGAGGGAACTGACCTTCGCGATCTTCTGGCCGGTCTTTACCAGTTCTCCGGCCCCAAACCCCCAAGCAGAAAGAGGCCCTCTACGAATTTCGTCCTGTTGTTCTACATTTTGTGTTTTCCAGTCCTCCTTGGCCTCAGCTTCTCGAGTAGTGATCCTGAACCCGGGATACTTAAGCACATGAACAACAAGTAGTTGGGATGACACTCACGCCCATGCATGCTTGCCTTCCACAACAGGATATGCAATCATATGACGACCATTTCCATAGATACTTAGCAGCACAGAATTTCCCTGAAGGGCAGCCGGTGTAGGAGATAGCCCACCGAACTGCCAATCACTCAAATATCAGCCTCTGCACCAGGAACCGTCACGAAACACACCTGCACCAATCCCGTGAAGTCTGCCTTCTCCTTTCCAAAGAGCGCAATCCTGGTATTACTATGCAGCCCGTCGCAGCCTACAACAAAGCTCGCCACGTCCTTGACACCATTCGCAAACGTGACTTGCACTGCGTCCTCGCTTTGCTCGAATTCAATGGCCTGGTGACCCCATTTGATCTCAACGCCGTGCTTCTCGGCAGTATCGATCAAAAGCCGATGAAGCTCTGCGCGCCGGACTCCCATCAAGGGGAAGCCAAACTGTTCTCGCATTGTATCTGGCGATGTATCATTATCGACGAGAATATCTTCCTTTCCATCTAAGGAGGAACAGTAAATCATCCTATCTGGAGAATGGCCGGGCATCTGTTCCAGGAGGCCGGGGATGAGTGATAGGACACGGAGACCGTTGGGCTGCAGCCTGTGTACATCCGTGATTTAGTACGAGATTTAGAGGAAGAGTGTGGGTGCTTACAGGTGGCTGAGTCCACTCTCTCCTGGACTCGAGACTCTTTCGTAAATGATAGGGTCATAACCTCTAGTCTTCAAGAAGGTTGCAAGAACGGGACCAGCAATGCCAGCGCCCACTACCATGACTCTGATGTTTGCCATCTGTCAAGTGTTCAGTTTGGAATGTCTATCGTCATTGATATCCTTTAGCTCGAGATCATTTCATATAGACAGACGAAAGGAGAATGCGCAGTGCAGTTTGTCATGAGTAAAAAGGGGTCCTTCTACCGGCATTCCGTACAGTCTGATGGAATATAACCGAAAGGGGTCAAGATCGCGCGAGCAGTGTTGAGCATCGATAGTCAGCAGATAGATAATGCTGACGACCCGGAGGCTTGCGCGCCGCACGGAGGTACTAGGCTGCTTCGACTTTGCTAAGCGCATTAATAGCATTACTCGCTATAAGGTCGGCAATTATCGTGAATCCGTTCTAGTCTGAATCTCTGGGGCATCCGGTACGATGGATCAATGTCGATCATCTAAATGACCAGCTTCGAGTGCTTAGATATGGTGGTAAAGGTCATGCATGTACATTTCGTTTGCAATACGACGTGGTTGATCAAACGCTCACGACAGTCCCATCCCACGTCGCCGTTGCTCTATACATGCAACGAGTCAACGGATTCGAATTCACGGTTGCATGGAAAGCCATAAACCCACCATCCGGACGTGGTGTCGCCCCTCCAGGCGCCGTGAGGCGGAGAAGCCTTGGCGTATAACCCAGAGATGAATGACGCAGTTGCGTATGAAATGTCGTAGAGATCGGTATTGTAGTAATTTGAGGAGAAGAAAAGCACGTAGCTGCAATGTTTGTTGTCAGTCTCGGATTTAAGTACACATTCAAGTTATATTGCATTGCTGAACTTACGTTCCGTCATGCAAGATAAGTGCTGGAGCTTCGATCAGGGGCTCATCGGATTGCCCTCTATCTAAAATTTGGACAGGATCCCCAGTAGGCGTGACACCATCAGCCTCCATCTCCTGGAGCATGATGGGAGTAGGATATTCTTCGTTGGCATTCCCGCAAGGTCCGCCTCCTTCCCGTCCACCTTGTCCACGATATAGCGCGTGCCACTGGTATCCTGGTATCCTGCGGGGTCAATTGCACCTCCGCCTGTAGTTTGACAGCCAATGGGCTGGGACTTGGGAGTGTACGGTCCGACAGGGGAGATGAAAGTAGTAGCTGCTACGCGGTGAGTATTTTATCATGCGGAATAGTCTGCAGACCCAACCAGAGTTCAATAGTACCTGAGGGATATGGAATCGACCTGCACATTACAAAAGTTCCGTCCCTTCTGCCAATAACACCAGGTACCTGAGTACTGTTCGTGGTTGCCCAAGACCCTACATTCGGGAGTGCATCAACACCCGATTGCAATTCCCAAGTGACACACCATCATCAGGTGACATAGTGATTTGAATGTTGATATTGCCGGTGTGAGTGGCAAATGCATAAGTACCCACACTGGTCACAAGAATAGCAGTATCATGGAAGTTTGCAGAAATGACAGGGCCTTTGACCATAGCCAGAGTCAGAGGGATGGCAACTAGAAATGCTAGGGCGACAAGAGTCCTACTGAAGCCTGGCATTACTGAGAAGTCAGAAGAAAGCTATTTCCACAGAAGTCTGACAACACCTATGGCGCACTTGATATATGTCCGCGGTATCTGACATACGATTTCATCGGAGTGGAACTGAGTGGGGCTGCATCAAGTTGGAAAGCAAATACCTTCGGCGATCGCTTTTCCTGTGCCAGTTGCTTGGTCTCAATATTACAGGCCTAGGCACAAACCTCGGACACGTATGGAAGGGGTCGAGGGTCTCGACAAGGAAATCAGTCTTGTGCTGGTGGCATAATGCTGCAATACAGGACATGTATCCAAAGATTTACCAGTCGCAGGAAAGCCCTGGCGGTCGCTTGCATCATCATTTTCGCTGTCCTCGTCTTGAACACTATTGTCACTTTCTCGTGAATACAGCGAATCCTTCCAAAGTGCGGCCAGCTCCACTTGCTGTTCGCCATGCAACTGAGCGAGCGAGTTCGTAATCCCCTTGACTCTTCTCCATCAGCCACCTGCCCATGATGACGCAGGTTGCACGGCGTCAAACTAGCTACGCACAAATCAAAGAACCTTTTCGGAAGACGATGCCAGCCGGATGTGCGCAGCTCGCAGTAAAGGTGATGCGTTCGGCTGTCGAGCAATTTTTCGGAGGGAAGCTAAAAGATATGCATGCTAATTTTGCAGGCTAAGCTGAAATACACGAGAGATGAATGGTATTCAACTCACTAAATTCGGATCCAGCGTGGACATTTTGCACCACTCCTCTATAAATTCAACATAGACATTAATCATGCCAGAGGCGTTCGTGCTCCCGGCGCCAACAGCCGCGGAGAGTGTCTCGTTTGCAGATTGAAGCGCATCAACGAATTCTTCGCCTTCGGCCAAGACAAAATCATCACTATGCTCCTGGGATGCAAGTTCTCGAAGTTTTCTTGTCGCCAGGGTCTTCACGGCGTGAGGGTCATCCGGTAGTGTGTCTTTGAGAACACTATAAAGATGATCAAGAAGGGCTGTGCGAAGGCGCTCTTGACTGGGATACGAACGGATTAGATCCTCAAGAGCTGAAAATAAACTTATACTAGGCAGAGCTGTGGAGTCCAACTCAATTTGAGTCCTTGGAGAGGAATGATGAAACAGACCTTTCGCAGCGCTCGAAATCACAGACTTGACGATAGCACCATCCATAATGGCCTGTCGTGCTTTCTCACCTTCGTCACCTCCCTTCTCTGCTGCTATCTCTTCTGGGGTGAGTGACGCTATATCTTCCTCAGCAGTTTTCTCCGTCTCAGCAGCAGGTTGATCCTCCTCATGAATTCCCAGCACGGTCCACCTTCGTTTCATCCCTTCCACGAAACCCATTTCCATTCGCACGTACTCTCTCCACATATTGACACTGTCGGCATTGAGTCGAAGACCACGCTGAAGGAGGGCGCGTGCCGCGGAAGGGGACATGTGGCCAAGTTCATGAGAGGCGGCAATGATATACAATGCAGGGGTTCTTGGATGAAGCTGGAGGGCCCTATATGCACGGTTAAAAATGGACTAACCAATGCCGGACTGGATGCACCTGGCTGTTATACGTCCCACTAGTGAACGGGCCCCCTCACGCTTTGCAACTTGGATATATTGTATCCACAATCCCACGTCCGACTTGAATTTCTTGAGCGCACGTTCGAATATCTGAAATTGTCTGCGAACAAGAGCGTAATCTGATATTGACGGCGCGGTCTTCTCCAGTTCTGAGAGTAAACGATAGAACGGTCAGTCGCAATCCCTGGAAAATACACTTCCGAGGCGCATACTCAGTCTGTCCACACGTTTTCGCCTCAGCTGCTCTAGATTCATCTCATATGCCGCGTATCGCAGGAAGTCGCTCTTTTTTGGGATGCGACGGACAAGTGCGGTTTCAAATTGTGTACGTTTTTTCACGATCTGCTTGACCTCGGACTGAGAGCAAAGTTGGATGAGACTGGAGGGTAATGCGGTATGAGTCGGACCCACGCACTTGGGTGAACAAACTTTTTTGGACAAGGTCCTTTAGCTCTGCGAGCATCTGGGTTCCTTTAGCCAAAGCTGATCCTTTTGAAGGGGTAGCGTACCTGCTCTTGTTGAAACTGTACCCTCTCCATCCTTGGTGTGTGGATGGTGGTCTCTCGAAGATATTATCAGTGCAAGTTCAGGTGGTAAGGCTGGAATCAGGTAGGAGCAGTTCGTGCAATGGAAATGATCAAATGAATTAGCACGTGACTTATTAGGACAATTATAACCCCTATGTATATGCCGCTTGGACAGTGAGAATTATCGTTCTTGATTCCTGAAATGCTGTAAGTAATTACGCTGTACGGCCGTAATGTCTAGTGCGCCTTGAGGGGGTTTGCAATCCTAGACGTTGGTACACCAATTAATATCCACATACTTCTTCCTGAAATTTGTATCGTAGCCCACAGCTCATGACCATTTGTTCCACACTCGTCCAGGAAGACTCCACACCCCACCCCGCCTCACGACATCTGGCATATATCCTGTCTCAACACCTGGAGAGGCTTCAACAAGAATGCCATTTCCCCCAACTACACTCCCATGTCCTGCGCTCGACGTAACCCTGATTTCAACCAGCCCGTTCCTAGGCACGGGCCTCGGAGAGGACAACACGATCATCGGGGGAGGGCACGGGTCTGGAATATGCGGCTGCTGCATGGGATCAGGTGGGGCCGAAAGATCCATGCCGAGATCCATGTCCACAGTTCCACCCATGCTCATGCTCAGCCCAGGAATGTCCATGTCCATCTCCAAGTCGCCCGCACCAAACAAGCTTGCTCCACTGCTGGAGCCCGCGCTTGCGGGAGGTCCCATGCCAAGCCCGCTGTGCTGGGACGTAAACGGATCGGTCTGTTGGGACAATGCCGATAGAGAACTGGACGGGAGATAAACATTCACTGGGATAGACTGCGGCGTGACTGTTCCTGCGAGGACCGAGGCGAGCAGAGCACTTGATGCCACATTCGATGGCTGTTGGGGTGGTTGCAGCACTTGGGGATTTTCAGGCGACCACTGAAGTATGCTCAGTGATTCGTTAAGCCAGCATTGTTCTCTGACAACCTGGAAGAATGTGATCTAAGGATAGCTTGACAGTTTGGTCGAAATGGAACTTGCCTCCAACACTCGCGAGATTTGTTTTACGCTCCTCACCGGAACTCTCTGGAGGAGAAAACCTGGTTCTAGAGGTGCTAGAAGGCGAAGATGTAACGGTGGGTGGATGCCGCTCGGTGATTTCTAGATCAACGGTCAGCGTGTGCTTGTGCCCCCATTTGTTCCACACACATAAGTTGAAGTATAGTATTCCGCCGATGAATTTTTATTGACCTATATCAGGTGTAAGTACCGGCACACGCATGCCTATAACTATAGAGAAAAATGACTTACCAGTAAGTCGAGCCAACTTGTCCCAGCTCCTGAGCCCGCCTGTGAAGGCGCCACACCAAAATCTCCAAAATTCATATTGCTCATGTTACCCAGACTCGACATTGACCCGATGCTGGACATGCTCCCCATTGAATTCAGGTCGACAGTACGAGACTCGACGATCCCTTGAACGACACGCATACGGTTCTGGGACATTACCACGCCATTCTGGGGTAGCTTAGCGGTGAAGTCGAGTACCCACATGTGCGAGGGGGAACTCAGGAGCGTATGGTCGCCGGGGACATCACTTGAGTTGATGTTGGACGTTGCTACTTCAGCGCAAGGGACCAACCTCAGTGTAGCGATGGCGACATCTTCTAGAGTATCAAGTAGCGCTGTCTTGAGATGGGTTATAGGAATGTCAACGTTCCACATGAACGCTTGTTTGGATGACGGAGAGCTGCGAAGGAGCTGAAGATATGCACGGGGTGAAAGCCAGACTAGGAATGACAGTGAAGGAGTAACGAGGAAGGGTAGGGGAAGTGCGTGTTGTGTGAGGAGTTTGTCGAGAGTTTGAGTCTGTGGTGAACTGTGTATATCGTGCGTCAGGGGCAAGCAAGCGGGGCAAAGGAATAAACGTACGCGACCTGCTTTCTAATGTGATCTGAGATTGCAGTTGGTTCCATGAACCAATGAAGTCCTTTCTCATTTTCAGTGGCCGCAAGCCCATCGAGCATCATGAGATACCGCAAGTGCTCTTGTATTGCACGACTACGGCGTCCAGCTTCAATTGCGGGATCCTCTTTTGAGTGTCTGAACGCCATATCTATACCAGCAGCGCGTCTTGCTGCATTGATCCAGCGTGTCACTTCCCGCGCGAGAAAGGCATCTAGTTCTGGTGCTGCTGACGAGTTCCCGGTACTATTTGTATTATTGGCGAAGGACGTCTTGACAGCGACATGATCATTAACATCAATATCAAGCACAAGTACTTTGCCTGCGAGGACAGTTGTTGACCCGTCTACGAAAACTTCCATGCCAAGATTGCGGCCCCATTCCGCGATCTTCGCAGGATGGGGAGGACTTGTGTCTGGATAGATTGCTCTGCTGTCTCCTCGCAGCAGAGACGAGAGGGAAGTAAAGGCAGCAGCTGACTGGTTGATCGAAGATGTCAAAGCGGTATGCTCCTTCATGAGGGCCACGAGCTTGGTGGCATTTTCGCCAAGTGGCAGGTCATTAAGTTGGTTCAGTGCATGATTTAGGTGGTGAGTTGTATTGATGACTGCACCAAGTTGCGCAGTTACTGTGGTATATTCAGTGCTGAGGGGGTGAGCGGACTCAGTCACTTGGACAGGCAACGAGGACTGCACAAGCACATCGTGTACGGCGCTCAGTAAAGATGGATGGGACATGCAAGCTTCTTCAAGTCCAACTTCATCTGGTCAGAAGAGGGATAACGGAAGTTACCGACAACACGAGTTCGAGTGACAGCCTCTGAAGTTCCAAGTTCTCTCTCAACGACGCACGTAGTCAGAAGGAATGAATGTCTTCTATCAGTCTATCTGTCTGGCTAGGGGAGACTAAATCAGGTTGGTTTCACATTCATTCCTGTCAGTGACGCCTTCCTCAAACCTTACTTTGTGGGTGCCAGGCTGTCTGCGGAACAGGAAGGCATCTCTATAGAGTTTCCTTGACCCACGATCATAATAGACCGTAGATCCCTTTGAATGCCTAGTAAGGTGGTGACTAGTACATGCCGAGGCCACGATGCAGCTCCAGGGGTCTCTGGAGGCCCATACTTATAAAAAAACTCGTTGTACGAGTGGTTCCTGGTGCTATCGCTCTAACCAATGTCCATCATCGAAACGATACAAGAAACTTGGACTTCATGTTCCATCACGACATTGTTTGTTTCGTGTAGGCTCCATAGCCGCTACTCTCATGTCTTCTCTTGAATGCGAATCTCCGATTGCGGGTTCTAGCTGGTGTCTGGTTATTCGCAAACGACCACCCAAGAACTTGAAGAAGAAACATACTAAGAATGATACCCATCTATCCTTCATTCACCTTAATTGTCCCGGTGCATGGTGCGGTACACTGGTCAACGTCACGATCTCTTTTCCGTCACATCCTAAGAATCCATCCCTCTGCACCACATCTATCGCCGTGGTCCTAGATGGGAATGGTTTTAGGGAATTCCCGCTTATCAGTTGTCTCGCTGACGACCTTGGACACGTTCTCGTATCGCTGGAGGTCACATTTACCAATCCACTGACGTACGATATATTCGATGTGCTTCGGCGCGTGGGGCGCGTACCAGACGCACCTGCCACTGCGGGTGCTGCAGAGACCAGAGTGCCCCATGCCTGCTCTGCCCTTCGTGCGCTCGAACAATCACTCAAGACAGGGACATCGTTTGACATCATATTCCAAGTTTACACTCGTCGCTTGTCTCCCGGAAAGGTCACAAGGCCGATTCCGATTTATGCAAGCACCGCTGTGCTGCAAACCGCAACACTTTTACCAGACTTTTGTACGTTTTACCGTATTTCTTCCTCGTGGCTGCTGAGCTCCGTTGGCAGCCGAAGAAGATCTTGATTTTTCGGACCTCTTTGAAATGTCTGAAGGCGACACTCTCCCTTTCACCTCCACGGAGAGTTACGAGTACGAATCTGATAGTGATCTGGACGACGACGACGACGACAATTTGGCCACTGGTGATGAAGCTTCAGCATGTCATGACGAGCGATCTCACACCCCAGTAGACAATGCTGAATCACACGAAGGTTTGTCTTTTTATTTCCAGTATCGAAGATCTCCCCGCTCTATTGATCATCATCACACAGAAGTGAATGATACTGGTTCAATCTCGTCATTCTCCAGCATTGAAGGTACGGAAACTTGAAACTTAATTCGTATGTCGGATTGACATTGTGAACCCTACACCCGGACTTCAAGAGCAGCCGGGAAATCGAACACTGCTTGTGGAAGGTGTTGAGATAGTACCGGCAGTGACTGACGAGAACCTGAAACGTGGATCTCGAGTCGTCCTCGTAAAAGGTGTCGCCTGGAGGACGTAGGTGTGATGTTTTGTGTCACAGAAGCATCACTGAATCGAGGTGCAGGTGGCACGCCTTCATTTATTATTGTTACACTGGCATTGTCAACTTTGCAAGCTTGCGATCTCAAGGTACACTGGAGGCGGCGCATCAGCAGAGTCGCTTAAAAGATGGACCGCCACATTGCTCCCCGAAATCGATTTATCAACTGGCTCGGAAGGTAACTTCATGAAGCTTTCCTGATGTATGCGTATGAAATTCAAAATTACAGCTTCACAATGAACCATTGTCTCAACTTGCTTTAAAGGCCATCGAAATTAGGTTGTCCACGGCCAATATACTGGATGAGGCATTCTCCAAATTCACTTCCAGGTATTGATGATTTTGCCATACCCATGACTACTGCTGACGCCCACCCAAAGACATGATGCTGTCAGAGAAATGCAAGTTGCCCTGCTGGTGAAACACAGAAATGCGTCAGAGGTTCTGCAGGGTCTCCCAACTAAAATCGAAGCCATGGGCATGGGCAATGCGCCCCACGCTGTACCGGTTCTCACTACGTACTGCCAGCAAATTGCCCAGATATTTAACTCTAATCACCAAAACGGACCTAAACCCGAATCCAAACCCCCCATACCCAAATCCAAAGTCGATCATCGCCCAAGTCTGTTATAATTCCATGCGCAGACGTGCGGCACGAACGGCGGACCCCCGCACTACCAACCTACTATGACGTCTACTACTACTGACGGCTTACTTGACTTGAATTACACATGCAGGTTCAACCTATTCGCCGTGTATTACTATTTGTGACGGTTTTCGAATTGCTACTTGTTCCGTAATTGTTCCGTAATTGTTCCTCCGGCGTCTGACAACTCTCAGGACCTTCCATATACGAGATCACTCAGAATTCTCTGGTGCCTACGCATCCTCCTTTTATCTTGAACCATGCAGAGGGTATCCGATTCAATTACATCGATCTTTCAGTTGGAGACCAAGGAGGAACACCTTGCCGCCTGCCTGCAAGGGGTTCAACCATAGTCTACAGTGAGAAGTTTGGACTGGAACCGTTTTGGGCTGCAGTACGCAAAAGACAGCTGGGCTATTGCTAAAGCGAAGGTTCAATGAGATATCGCAAGTGCTCTTGTATTGCAGGATCCTCTTTTGACTGTCAGAAAGTCATATCTATACTAGTAGCGCGTCTTGTTGCATCGATCCAGCGCGTCACTTTCCGTGCGAGAGAAAGACATCTAGCTCTGGTGCTGATGAGTTCCCGGTACTATTTGCATTATTGGTGAAGGACGTCTTGACAGCGACATGATCGTTGACATCAATATCAAGCAGAAGCACTTTGCCCGCAAGGACAGTTGTCGACCCGTCTACGAAAACCTCCATGCCAAGATTGCGGCCCAATTCCGCGATCTGCGCAGGATGGGGAGGACTTGTGTCTGGATAGATTGCTCTGCTGTCTCCTCGCAGCAGAGACAAGAGGGAAGTAAAAGCAGCAGCAGCTGGTTGATTGAAGATGTCAAAGCAGTATGCTCAAGTATGCTCCTTCATGAGGGCCACGAGCTTGGTGGCATTTTCGCAAAGGGGCAGGTCATTAAGCTGGTTCAGCGCATGATTTAGGTGGTGAGTTGTATTGATGACTGCATGATCGAGTCGCGCAGTTACTGTGGTATATTCAGTGCTGAGAGGGTGAGCGAACGAGTCAGTCACTTGGACAGGCAACGCAAAGTCCGGACTGCACGAGCACATCGTGCACGGCGCTCAATAAAGATGGATGGGACATGCACTGGCTTCTTCAACTTCATCTGATCAGAAGAGGGATAACGGAAGTTGCCGAGTTCGCACAATATTGGTCTCGAGACTCTACGTAGTGTTACTACTAGTCAGAAGGAAGCTTCAAGCTTCATGACTCTCTTCCTTCGTCTAGTATTAGTCTGCCTAGAGGAGACTGAATCAAGTTGGTTTCACATTCATTCCTGTCAGTGACGCCTTCCTCAAACCTTCGTATGAAAAATTGACGGTCTTTTTGGTGGGGTTTGCAGTCCTGGATGTACAGTCCTGAGATGGGGGGAAAGATGTATTAGTGGTACTCAAAATAAGTTTCAAAACTTTTTGGAAACTCGGTTCTGAGATAGTGTAGGAAGACGCGACATAACTAAAGGGGCAAATACAGCGCAAAGCGGTTTGTCACCCTAAAGCATTGGTTTGAGAGACAGCTCGTAAGGGTCTCTCCGGATTAGGAATAGGGATTTAGTACTGAAAGGGTACTTGGAGCGACACATTGCCCGTGGGATAACGTACTTGGTCGGCTTCTTGACCCAAGTAGGTATGAGACAAAGTTTATCGTAGAACTGGTATAAACCGTAGCAACGAAGAGCGTGATAACCAATGCTTCTAAGTTCCACGATTGCGAGTGCCATTCTCTAGTTCAACGAAAATACGTAGAAAGCAGATATAGTAACGTATAGCAGTTAGGCCCGTTCGCCCTTGGCGCTGCTATAGGTATACGAGATAAGGGACCTAAAGTCACCCTCCTCTTATAGACTGGCGGCTGGCAATGTACGGCCAGGGCCTGGTCTACTTCTACTAAAGAGTATACGTAAAATTTGGTTGCACTAAAAAGCGTGCGGGGCTATGTGTCTGGGATTGGGGATACAACGACCAAAGTCGAGGGCAAAGATAATATGGTTGGGAACTGATGAGTCGAGAAGTTGTTGCGTCGGTGATGGTAAATGATAGAGGCAACAAGTCAACGAGTCGGGGTCTGCGTGAAGTCTAAACCTAATGTGACGACTCTCGACAATTATAGTCTCAAGCAATCAGACCAGGACTCAAACAACAAACAAGAAGGAAAGGAGAGAGAGTCATGATGATGGCCACTAAGGACAAGTGTCCGAAGAGGTTAAGTCTAGAGCTCACACGGAGGGAAAGGGAGCGATAGACGTCAAGTAGATTCTCTACGGAAGGTACAAGAGGTTTAGACTAGAGAACTACTGATTACCGACTAGGGTTTATATACTATGAAAGCAGTGCACGGACCCAGACAGGAAAGGTAATAACTAAATAGGAAGGCGAGAATAGAAGCTTCAGACATCAGGGTTCGGATCATAGATTCTGATAAGAGATTGTATCTGAATAGAAGAGAAGAGACGGAGATTAAATAGAAGATCAATCGGAGATTAAGTGATAGGAAGTGCTATGGTTCTAGCTCGTGGAGTAGGAGAGTCATCGAATGGAAGATCGATCGTTTTGTTGATCGGTGATGGAATCGGTGATGTGAAGGGTGCAATATGGGCATAGGGTACTGGCGCTTCTGTGACAGGTGATCAGAATGCAGGGTGATATATGTGACGGGCGTGAAGGGGTGAAGTAGTCACGTGACTCGGGCGCTTAGTCTTAGATGCAACATTAAGGTAAGAAAAATGATTTGTACACGGAACTCGTGACAATTTTCAGTGACAAAACTTTCATCCTCATGATCATCATCCCACAAACGCGACTGATAGTGGCTTGATCTCATCTTTCTCCAGCATTGAAGGTACTGAAACTTGAAACTTCATATGCACGTCAGATTGACGTTGTCAACCTTACAGCTGGACTCAAAGAGCAGTCAGAAAATCGGACATTGCTTTCGGAGGATATTGAGACAGTACCGGTGGCGACCAACGAGAACGTGAAACGTGGGTCTCGAGTCGTCCTCGTAAAAGGTGTCGCCTGGAGGACGTAGGTGTGATTTTATGTGTCACAGAAGCATCACTGAATCGAGGTGCAGGTGGTACACCTTCATTTATTACTGTTACACCGGCATCGTCAACTTTGAAAACTTGCGGTCTCAAGGTGTTGATGTGGCACTCCAGCAGAGTCGGTTAACACATGGTCGACCACATTGCTCCCCGAAGTCGATGTACCAGCTGGCTAGGAAGGTAACTTCATAAAACTTGCATTGATGCATCAATATTAACTCGAATTACAGCTTCGCAATGAACCGTTATCTCAACTTTCGTTAACGGCCATTGAAACTAGGTTGTCTGCGGCCAACATACTAGATGAGGCATTCTCCAAATTCACTTCCAGGTATTGATGATCTTGTCATACTTCTGGTTGTCACTTACTCTCACCCAAAGGCATGATGCCATCAGAGAAATGGAAATTGCCCAACTGGTAAAACACAGGAATGCGTCAGAGGTCCTGCAGAATCTCCCAACTAAAATAATGGCCATGGCCATGGGCAATACGCCCCACGCTGCGCCGGTATTCACTACGTACTGCCAGCAAATTACCGAGATATCTAACTCCAATAACCAAAACAAACCTAAACCTCAATCCGGCAGTCTTAAACCTCAATCCGACAATCCTAAACCTAAATCCGGCAGTCCTAAACCTAAATCCGGCAAACCTAAAATTTGGTTTGAATGACTCGAGACCTTCCAGATACGACACCACTCAATGCTCTTGCGCCTACACACCCTCCTTTTATCTTCAACTGCAGAATCCTCTTTTAACTGTCCGAAAGCAATATCTATACCAGCAGCGCGTCTTGCTGCATTGATCCAGCGTGTCGCTTTCCGCGCGAGAGAGACGTCTAGTTCTGGTGCTGACGAGTTCCCAGTACTGTTTGTATCATTGGCGAAGGACATTTTGATGGCGACATGATCGTTGACATCGATATCAAGGACAAGTACTTTAAAAAAAAAAAATCTATTGTCCTTCGAGGTCGAAGAGCCTATGTCGGACATAGCCCCTTACGCGGGGGCTTACTCCCGCTTGGTCTATCGCAGATGTATGTACTTCCATGTATGAGTGGTTTTGTCGTGACGCATACTCCGTCAGCATATTGTCGGGCAAAGGCCGATACTAAGTACTTTGCCTGCGAGGACAGTTGTCGACCCGACTACGAAAAATTCTATGCCAAGATTGCGGCTCTATTCCGCGATCCTCGCAGGATGGGGAGGACTTGTGTCTGGATAGGTTGCTCTGTTGTCTCCTCGCAGCAGAGATGAGAGAGAGGCGAAGGTAGCAGCTGACTGGTTGATCGAAGATATCAAAGCGGTATGCTCCTTCATGAGAGCCACGAGCTTGGTGGCATTTTCACCAGGGGGAAGGTCATGAAGTTGGTTCAGCGCACGATGTAGGTAGTAAGTTGTAGTGATGACTACATCGAGTTGCGCAGTTACTGTGGTATATTCAGCGCTGAGAGGGTGAGCGGACTCAGTCACTTGGACAGGTAATGCGGAATGCACGAGCACATTGTGCACGGCGCTCAGAAAAGATGGGTGGGACATACAGCTCTATGCAGCTTGAAGATCTGGTGAGAAGAGGGGTTACGGAAGTCACTACCGATCGAATCTGATCAAAAACAGGAAGAGGGATAATAGAAGTTACCGATCAACATGAGTTTACTGCCTCTTCTCTCTCAACGACACACTCACATACTAAGGAGTCAGAAGGAATATCGAGTGTCTTCCTTCGTCTATCAGTGTGTCTAGGAGAGGAAGTTGGTTCCACATTCACTCCTTCCTCAAACCTTACTTTGTGGGTGCCAGTCTGTCTGCGGAACAGGAAGGCATTTCTATAGAGTTTCCTTGACCCACGATCATCATGGACCGTAGATCCCTTTGAATGCCTAGTAAGGTGATGACTACATGCCGAGGCCCAACCGAGGCCACGATGCAGCTCCAGGGGTCTCTGGATGCCCACACTCAAAAACTCGTTTCACGAGTGGTTCCAGGTCCTACATAGTGCACAATGTCCATCGAAAAGCTGGAAGAAACTTGGACTTCAGGTTCCATCACGACGTTGTTTCGTTTACTGGGTTCCGCAGCCGCTATTTCTGTTCCACTCCGATCCCCCGTTGCGGGTCTTAGCTGGCGCCTGATTGTCAAGAGGTGGCAACCTTCGCGGCGCCAGCTACTCTTCGATTCCCATAATTGTCCCGATATATGGCGTGGTACACCAGTCAACATCACGGTCTCTTTTCCATCGCATCCTGATGATCCATCCCTCTTCACCACATCTATCCTGGGAGATGGCAATACAGGAGATTATCTTCCACTGATCACTTGTCATCAGAACAAGCTTAGGGACGCTCTTATCTCGCTGAAGGTTACCTTTACCAATCCACTGACGTGCAATCTGTTCGATGTACTTGCACACGTCGGGCCCATACCAGACGCACCTGCCAGCGCTGACGAGCCCAGAGCCCTTCAGGCCTGCTCTGCCCTTCGTGCCCTCGAGCAATCTTTCAAGACAGGGACATCATTTGACATCATATTTCAAGCCTACACTCGTCGCTTGTCCCCCGGAAAGGTCGCCAGACCGATTCCGATCTATGCAAACACCACTGTGATGCAAACCACAACACTTTTACCAGACTTTTGTACGTTATACCTCATTTCTTCTTTATGGCTGCTGAGCTCCGTTAGCAACCGAAGAAGACCCTGATCTTTCGGACCTCTTTGAACTGTCTGAAGGCGACACTCTCCCTTTCACTTCCCCGGAGAGTTATGAGTACGAATCTGACAGTGATCTGGACGACGACGACGACGACAATAATCTGGCTGTGGTGCAACCTGTGGAGGAATTGACCACTGGTGGTGGAGCTTCAGTACGTCATGACGAGCAATCTCACACCCCAATGGACAATGCCGAATCGAACGATGGTTTGTCTATTTATTTCCGGTGTTGGAGTTTAATATTTTTGCACCATTGATCATCATCCCGCAGACGCAACTGATACTGGCTCAATCTCGTCTTTCTCCAGCATTGAAGGTACTGAAACTTGAAACTTTAAACGTACATCGGATTGACACTACAGCTGAACTTCAAGAGCAGCCAAGCAATCGGACATTGCTTTTGGAGGATGTTGAGATGGTGCCGGTAGTAACCAACGTGAACCTGAAATATGGATATCGGGTTGTCCTCATAAAAGGCGTCGCCTGGAGGACGTAGGTGTGATTTTTTGTGTCACGGAAGCGCCACTGAATTAACGAGCAGGTGGCACACCTTTATTTATTACTGTTATACTGGCATTGTCAACTTTACGAATTTGCGATCTCAAGGTCCGCCGAAGGCAGCGCTTCAGCGGAGTCACTTAGTAGATGGACCACCACATTGCTCCCCGAAGTCGATGTATCAACTGGCTAGGAAGGTAATATTGTGAAATTTGCACCGACGTGTTTATATTAACTCAGATTACAGCTTCACAATGAACCATTATCTCAACTAGCTCTAACGGCCATTGAGACTAGGTTGTTTGCGGCCAACATACTGGATGAGGTATTCTCCAAATTTACTTCCAGGTATTGATGATGTCGCCATACTTCTGGCTATTGCTGACGCCCACCCAAAGGCACGATGCCGTCAGAGAAATGGAAATTCCCATCCTGGTGAAACACAGGAATGCGTCAGATGTTCAGCAGGGTCTCCCTACCAAAATGGAAGCTGTGGCCATGGGCAATATACCACATGCTGGGCCGGTTCTCACTGCGTTTTACCAGCGGTTTGCGCAGACACCCTGCCAGAACTAATCCTGATGGCATCACTGGCGGTGACTGGTCGAAGGGTGTCGATTGTCGCCTCAGGTCTGTTAAGGTTCGATGCGCAGAGTGTGTTACAAAACGTGGGCTTCCAATTGTACTACCAACCTACTATAATGTTCACTGTTGCTCGTGTTGTTGAACGAAAAACCTGCTCGCTGTGTAAGTGACCGCTTTCGAACTGCTATTCTGGGACGTTGATTGTTGTTGTTCCGGCTCGCTATAAGTCTTAGGAGTCCTCAACGCACTCTGCGCATACTCCTCTTATCTTTATCAGACATGCAAAGGATACCTGATTCGGTTACATCGATCTTTCAGTTGGAGACTAATGAGGGACACCTTGCGGCCTGCCTGCAAAGGAGTTCAACCATAATTTACAGCGAAAAATTCGGATTGGGTTGGCGTTTTGGGCTGCAGTGCGCAAAAGACAGCCGCTGGGCTTTTGCCAGAGTGAATGTTTACCTTGATCACATCCATTGCTCGACGGAGACAGACACCGCTATGGCGACTGTTCGCCTTAAAGATGGGTCTGCCTTAGGAGGCCCTTCCTTTAAAAACAGGACAGTTTCAATTGCGGACTTTGGCCATGGCCCGCCCGCACTTCTTGGCTCTTTCTCGCAGTCTAGTATTGCTTCACACCCATTCCTGTGGTTTACGGTCACTACGAAAGTGGCTTTCGCTCAAGCTATCGCCGACCCTCTCGCAGATACTGCGTCTGCTCTCAGGCAGTCCATGCATGACGGTGCATTTATCCACACCAAGTACTATGCCGTGTCCAAGCGTAAAACTTGGAGAAATCCAGGAGAAATCCATTTCGTATACGCAAACGACGCAGTCCTAACCCACGACATCGACATCGTGTCCGTTCCCCTTTGTCAGTAGTTTCTTATCCTGCCTGGTACACGAATACTAATGGTCCCATCTTTTAGCAGTTTACAAAGGAAATCGTTTACTCGTGCAGTATCAGAGCCAATCTGGGCTAATCAGGGATGCTGAGCGATATGATTATGACCTCGATAGCGACATTGAAGAGGAGGACGAAGAAGAGAAAGAGAAAGAAGAAGAAGGAGCTCCTAGCAAGACCCCGCCTTATCATCATGACTATTCTCGTGGGACGGAACATCTCGATTTCGATGCGTCTGATACTGCTTCCAGTATTGCTCTAAGTTCGGATGACCGGGATGGTGAGTTCGAGTTCCTTCTCTCCACCTGTGGGGTATTATCTCTCGTATTGAATTTCCCCCCTGAACATTAGACCTCGGCTCCATAAAAAAATTCGTGGCTGGGCTATTACCTTCACCCGTCCTTCAGACCCACCGAATAGTGCTAGTTCGCAACACGGCAATCACGACGTAAGTTACGGCTCCTCTGACTGATTCAACACAGTTCAAACCATTTTTGCAGCTGGGCATCCTATGTATACTATTGCTACACTGGCCAGGTTTCTTTCTACCCTCTGAAGTCCAAAGATCCGCATAGTCGACGCGACAAGACAACTGATACTCTACGCTGCTCTCCCAAGTCAATGTACCGACTCGCGGTCAAGGTTGGTGTATCTCGCATCATTTGTGGCACACAGATTAACAAGAGTCTCGAAGCTCGAGAATGCACGTCTGCAAGCTCTGGCGTTTCAGGCAATCAAGTCTAGTTTGTCCAAGAGTAATATCTTGGATGAGGCGTTCTCGTGGTTTACAGCACAGTATGGGTGTCGTCTTCGCCACAATGCTCGTTGACCCTCAATCACCACAGGTACCAAGACATTCGAAACATGGAACTAGAACTCCTGATGGAGTTCCGTAGCGCCCCTGAGGTATCAGCTCGTCTGTCGCAGAATGTTGAAGCTATTTCCCGGGGAGAAAAACCCCATGCTTGTGCTATGCTTCACGCCTTCTTAGCACGCTTGACACAGCTGGGGACAGGTGGTACGCAATAAAGCCGCAACAGATATCATACTTCATATACTGTCACTTCATCAAGTGTTGTACTTGTAGGTCATATCGTCCTGTGTTCTTCATGCCTTGTCATACTAAGGTTGTCAATATTATGAACTATATTTTCCCGATGAACTTGTCTAGTTGCAATGCGTTCGAAGACTGTGTATATATATCAGACATGTACAACATGATAGTGATCCCTGCGCACACTAGTGCGCATCAAGATGCATGACCGCGTAGTTATAGGTACGTACAGCATTGATTCTGTGCCATTGGTTTGTTTTGCGTCCATGAATTCAAGCCAACTCATCAGCAAAACTGACGAAAGTTGGCCAAGTCACTGCCGCATTCTGGACCGGATGCAATTGGGAGTATCGACTGTTCCTTGGGATTGCCGTGACTCTGGCGCCTATGCATCCTCCTTTTATCTTCATCCAACATGCAGAGGATATCTGATTCAGTTACAACGATATTTCAGTTGGACACCAAGGAGGAACGCATTGCCGCCTGCCTGCAAAGCAGTTCGCATGTAGTTTATAGCGAGAAGTTTGGATTGGGCTGGCGTTTTGGGCTGCAGTACGCGAAAGAGGGCTGGGCTTTTGCTAAAGTGAAGGTTTATCTTGATCACACCCATTGCTCGTCGGAGACAGATGCCGCTACGGTCACTGTTTGCCTTAAAGATGGGTCTGCTCCGGGGGGGCCTACCTTTGACAGCAAGACAGTCTCGATTACGAACTTTGGCCATGGCCCGCCCGCACTTCTTGGCTCTTTCTCGCCGTATAGTATTGCTTCACACCCATTCCTGTGGTTTACGGTCACTACGAAAGTGGCTTTCGCTCAAGCTATCGCCGACCCTCTCGCCGATACTGCGTCTGCTCTCAGGCAGTCCATGCATGATGGTGCATTTATCCACACCAAGTACTATGCCATGTCCAAGCGTAGAACTTGGAGATCTCCAGGAGAAACCTGGTTTGTCTACGCGAACGACGCAGTCCTAGCCCACGATGTCGGTGTTGCGCCTGTTCCTCCTTGTTGGTGGTTTCTTATCTTGCCTGGTGGACGAATACTTAACAATGGATATATCTTTTAGCTTTTAATATAGGAAATCGATTACTTATACGCTACGAGAGCCAATCCAAGCTGATCAGGGACGCTGAGCGATATGATTATGACCTCGACAGCGACATCGAAGAGGAGGAAGAAGAAGAAGAAGAGAAAGAAGAAGAAGAAGAAACACCTATCAAGTTCCCGCCTTACCATCATCATTACTATTCCCCTCGCACGGAATATTTTGACTCAGATGTGTCTGATTCTACTTCTAGCAGTGCTCTAAGTTCGGATGGGGATGACCGAGATGGTGAGTCCGAGCTCTGAGTCCTCATCGCCCTTGGGGTATGATCTCTCGTGCTGAATTTGCCCTCTAGATCTCAGCTCCACGGGCACCTTCGTGGCTGGGCCATTACCTTCACCCGCCCTTCAGGCCCACCGAATGGTGCTAGTTCGCGACACGGCATTCATAACGTAAGTTACGGCTCTTCTGATTGATTCAACACAGTTCGAACCATTTTTGCAGCTGGGCATCCTACGTATACTACTGCTACACTGGTCAGGTTTCTTTCTACCCTCTGAGATCCAAAGACCCGCACAGTCGACGCGATAAGACAGCCGAGAGCTGTTCTCCCAAATCAATGTACCGACTCGCGGTCAAGGTTGGTGCAACTTTCTTCCTTCGTGGTACACATATTAACAAGAGTCCCGAAGTTGAATAATACACGTTTGCAAGCTCTGGCGTTTCAGGCAATCAAGTCTAGTTTGTCCAAGAGCAATATCTTGGATGAGGCGTTCTCGTGGTTCACAGCTCAGTATGACTTTCTTGTTTACACCACGATCCCCACTGATCCTCGATCACCACAGGTACCAAGACATTCGAAACATGGAACTAGAACTCCTACTAGGAATTCCGCAGCGCACCTGAAGTATCAACTCGCCTGTCGCGGATTCTTGAAGCTGTTTCCAACGGAGAAAAGCCTTATGCACATGCTATGCTTCATGCCTTCTTAGAACGCTTGACGCAGCTGGGGGCGGGCGGTACACAGTGAAGCCGCAATGATTGTCGTACTTACGCTGTCATTTGTGTTGTACCCTGTAAGTGTGTTGTCCTGTGTTTTTATTTTGTCTTGTCAGATTTGCTGTACTGTTGTACGTTATGGTGTTGTACCAATTATGAACTACAACTTGGACTTGAAGTTCCTTTGAAGTTCTTCCGACGAACCTGTGACTACAGCGGACAAGTAAAAAGCCCCTGTACGCCCACCATAACAACCCTGTGATTATTAACCTGTTTTGTACCCTCCGTAGTCGATGATGGTGGAACTTCTGAGTTTAATGCGTGCAAGTCTTTGTTCAGGTCCGACTCATCAGTAAAACCTGGCCAAGTATGTGCTTCAAGGCCAGTGTGATTATTAACCCGGGTTAAGTTATAACCCTTTTGACGGGTTAGTAACAACATTGTTCAAGGCCATCGTGACCGGGAGTCGTAGTAATGTAATGTTCATGGCGCTTCTTCCATCGCGAAGGAGGATAGTGACATGTTCGAGATGCAGCGAACTATTGGGGCTTCAAGGGTAGGTTGGCAGTACATGACCATGTCAAGCACCGGGCTAGGCCTGAAAAATACTCGGGCTTATTGTCCAAACCTCGTAGACGAGAACATGGAGAGTCGCGAACGAGCCGCAATTTCCAATACCCTGATGGACTCCTCCTAACTTTAAGCCCGCGGCCAAAACCTGCTTTCACCACATGGTTAATAAAGTAAATAGTAGGCACATACATGTAACATGAGAGTCATACTTCGTTTTAAATTTGACTAACATAGAACGATCCTACTAATACTAAGCCTACAATCAACTCTAAGGAGTCGCAGGCCAACAATGTCACGGTGAACCAAAGGATAGGCGTCGCTATAGCTGCCATCCACGCTACGAAAGACCTTGTTCCCATCGACCTGGCGAAATGCAGTCTCGGACCGATTGAAAATATCTTGACTATTGTGCAGGTGCGTCGGTGCAAGCCTCGTAAATCCCCGTGAATAATAAATCCATAGGTGTACAGTCAGAAATCAAGAACAAGTCTGATTTCCTGCCGGTAATCGATAAGTGCGAGACTATCAGGAAAGTCTTAAAAGGGCGACTAAGGACGCTACTGAAGACGATCTGCGGCGACCTTTGTTGGATGCTCTATGGCAGCTCGACATGTGAGCCAAACCAATTTCACTGTCGCGGGAAACTGATGACACTGTGTCTGCGCACGAACTATTTGTAAAGACCATGGAAGATCAGGGCTGGGGTTTGCTCTCCATGATCTGGCATTGGCGCGCCAAATTATATCATGGAGAAGACATCGTCCAGGTCAAGACGCATCTAGAAGACCTTCTCTGCAATGCACGCGTGCTGGACATATCTTCTCCCGTCGGGACGTACTTCAAGGGTTCGCAGAGGTGGCATTTTGCGAAGGCATGTTCTCCGAAGCGTTGAATATCCTGCAAACAATTGTAGAGATGTTCGAGAGACGAAATTTCGAAACCGTCCTTTGGGACGCCGTCTGGAAGGGAGCCGTTGGTTTCACGGCGTGATTATTTCCTGGTAAGTTATAGCAGTTCATCTGGCTGACCTTCCTCATTAGTAATGTCTCGCTGGATAGTGCCCACGTCGTGTATCCTACTTGGGGCTGCGCCAGTCTCAACAACGAACATTATATACCACGTTACACGACAGAGTAATGATTACTCATCCTTCGGCCTCATTCTCGACGTTCTTCAAGACTATGTGTCCGCATTTCCCTCGCAGTTAACATTTTCCATAATGCTCATGATGTCGTTCCCCATGGACTGTGTATTGTAAAAGGACAAAAGAATAGAGAAACCTGGCCGAGTCGTGCCTTGTGTTTTTCGAGTGTGGGATGGATGACTTAGTTCCTTTCGATAGGAAAAACATACTGGTACATATGCTTCTATCAATCTTTTGACGAACTAGAACGTCCACAAATCAGTGAAACCATCAGAAGTCTGTCAAAAGGAAGCGTCACGTGCCACACTTGACGCGTCGGACTACTTGCAATTGCAACTTCCATTAATTCTTGATTGCGCCACATCAAAAGTCCACTGATCAATGGTTCGCCACACCACATTGGCCGACCAGATATAAGGCAAGCAGAATCTACACATGTGTTTATTTCTTAACCTTTTCCACTTTCCCCACTTCACTACCTGTGCGAACGTCACCAAGTACTTGTCATGTCGCCCGGTGACGCACAACGGGGCAAGCCAGGCTCATCGTCTACTCCAGCACGCACAAAGGCACTAGCTCAGGCTACTAGCTCCTTAAAATCCACCCCAAACAGCCGCGGGGCTGCTACTATCAGTGAAAATATCGACCTCGTCGGTGTTCAGTGAGCTTATTTCCTGTTGCATTCGAGTTGCACCTAATGTTCATTCAGGGTTGGGGACCTCTGGCCATGGATTAAGCGCGACATCGAGCAGGCTAAGACGTGTCAAGCTGATACGATGCTGCAAGTTTTCCTGCAGCGCGCTTCTCTCGATCCCGAGACTGAACAGCCCGCCCTCCTGCCAAGCTGTCTCGAGGCCGTTCTAGGTGTTTGCAATGGGACTGCACCACCTAAAATCCCCGATAAGTCATTAGTCTCTTCTGGCGTCAAAGAGGCTCTTAAGACATAGTAAGTACTCTTTCGCTAATGAGTGTCATCACCCTTATAACGATTGTCAGTGCATCGTCAACAACCGAAAAAGGCTACTACGCGCCTTTCATTCAAGCCACCAACATCGCGCTAGCTTGTCTTGATATTATTAAGGTCGACGGAATGCCTGTTGCTTCAGGCCTGGACATTATCTGTCAGCATCATGCTGAAAAGGATGTGAAGCAAGAGAAAGGCAACCAGAAGCAGGAAGCGAAACGAAAGCCCGACGTGGTCATCGTTCCTTTCCAAAGCTCACGCGATGCCCTCGCGGGTTGGAACATGGGAGAGCCCGAGCACGTGACCGAGGCTGCAACGATGGTGCCGGAAAACAATGTCTCTTGGAAAGATGTCCTAGCCTCGATCGAGTTCAAGAGGAAGGCAAAGGCAGGGAAAGAGCTTTGTGCTCCGCCGCCCGGTTCATACGCAGTGACCAGCTATGTCGCTCCCAAACCAGAACATTTGGCAGTGGGCTCGACCACTGCTGCAACTGACGGTTCCGCGACTGCCGCGTCAGGCCCATCGCAGACCCAACCAAAAAGACCTGTGCCCGACCGTCCAGGTAAGTAACTAATTCTAGTTCCAGAGATGAATCTAAATCAATCCAGCCGAGCGCCGTTCGGCCCGTATCGCTGCCAGCAACTCCAGTTCCAAGCGCAAGGCAGAAGAACCTCTGCAATCCTCCAGCAAGCGGATCAAGGTCAAGGACACGGACAAGGATTCCAAGCTACATGTGACTGTCCAGACAGGACTCTACGCCGCCGAAATGTTCGCTGCCAACGTTGCAGTCAAGCATGTCCTGAATCTTATTGTCATCGGTCTGTGTTTCTCTCATTTGTCCAACGATCCCACTCTTACCATGGCTTTCGCAGATAATATTGTCTGGGTCTGGTATTACGATCGGCAGGGCACGATTCAATGTTCGGGCATCGACTTCGTTGCAGATCTCCCACGATTCATGGTACTGTTATATGCGCTGCAACGATTCAAGGCTAAGGATTGGGGTCGAAACGAGCACTTCAAAAAAGCCCAGAAGGAAGGTTACCTCAAACTCGACATCGACGGCGTGGATCTTGAGCTGCACACCAGCTCTGAAGAAAGAGTAACTCACTACGGACTGAAAGGACGAGCCACCAATGTGTTCCCCGTCACCAGTAAATTTCTCGCCAAGAAGTACGCAAACGACCCAGGGGTCAAGAAAGATGGGATGGTGGCCAAAATCTTCTGGGCAGAGGAGCAAAGAGATAGCGAACCGGAGATCTTAAAAAAGGTTGCCGAGATCGCAGAGAAGGAAGAGGCCGTGAAAGGCCATGTTCCCCAGCTGCTTTGGTCTCACAAGTTCGAGAATCCCACATCCACAATCCGGAAGGCACTGGGAGTTCCAGAAGCGGAGAAGGGCAGTCGCGTGCTCTACATCCTCGTATTCCGCAAGCTCCTGCCTATCACGGCGCTCGAAGGCGAAGAGCTTTTCAACGTGTGGCGTCAATGCATCTTATGTATGTCGTTCGTTTCATCTATGTGGATCTCCATTAACGTAATGTGCAGGCCACATCGCTCTCTGGAAGGAAGGAGTCCATCACCGAGACGTCAGCCCTCCCAACATGATGTTTTACAAGACCGACAAGGGCGTCCTAATCGGTGTCTTAAACGACTTTGACCTGTCATCGTTGGCAACTAGGCAGGGTCCTCAGGGCAACGAGCGCACGGGGACCGTGCCGTTCATGGCGCTTGATCTTCTCACCCCAGAGGGTCAACGAGGCGAAGTCGAACACTTATATCGTCACGATCTGGAGTCGTTCATCTGGGTTCTCGTCTGGGTTTGCTTGCGTTACAGGCAGGGAGTCCTCCTACCACCGGAAATTCGCCCTTTCGATGCATGGGCGACTGCAGGCCCCGAGGCATGTCGCGAGAAGAAGTTATCATTTTTAGATCGTTTTGTGAAGTACAAGGCGCCCGGGATACACCCCCAGATCTGGAGGTTGGTGGTGGAGTGCTTGGCCGTGCTCGATATGGATCGCCATCGTCGTCGCAGGATCGCAATTCTCCAGGAACTATCATCAGAACCAGGGGAAGGCGGAAATACAGACGCTGATGAAGGCGAATTAGACGCTGATGATTTTCTCGCCAACTTTACAAGTACCGCGACTTGGGTTCGCATCAGCAAAAGTTTAACGTAAATTTGTGTTTAGACTCCACGACACACGCTCTTCTGCGTATCGATACTACTTTGTGTCAGCGTACACCATACAAACGGTAATCTCCAACTGGTGTAGCAGGGCTAGTAATAATCTAGCGAGGTAGATCATCGTACTTGGGGTAACCTGTGTTGTGAAATTGTAGCGGAATCAACAATTTCACAACACAGGTTACCCCGAGTTGCTCACAGACGTTCTAGTATTCGTATCTGGGGTACGCGAGGTTCCACCATCTGGTTAAAATCATGATGAACGCCTTATGCTGATTCAAAAAAAGAAACAAAGAAAGACAGAAACAAAGATTTAGACTATGAAGCTGGTGTACTGAGCCGCAATGCTTCTCGTGCAGCTTCCCTCTTCCGAGCGGCCTGCAGCGTCCACATCCACTTCAAATCACGCTCAACCTTTTCCTTCCTCGCGCGTTGCTTACGCTTGTTCAAGTGGCTCCAATCTTCCCCAACACCAACGTCGGCTGCCGTCAGCCGAGGCAGTCCTAGTAATTCTGACTTCAAGAGAGTAGGCGCAGGCGAAGGCTTAGGTAGTGGAGGGAGTGTCGTCGTTCTCCACAACCAAGTGTTTCGTGGTGCGGCGAGTAATACAGCCTGCTCCTTCCGAGCAGCTTTGGTCACCGTCTGGAGCCGGTGTTCAATTTCAGCTTGCGAGAGCGTTCGCTTGGTGCAGAACTTCTCAACCTGCTTCGAATTCACCAAGTCCGGGAGAACCACTCTCTTCATATATCTGCGTTATAAAACTGAGTGCTTTGACTGAGACCCATATCGGTGTCAACTCACTGTAGAGATCGTACAGAATGCTCTGGATGGGCCCGCGGCCGCGTAGAGGGCTGCCTTGTAAATCCACGCACGACAGTTGGATGCTCTTTTTTCGGCACGTTGTATTGTGGCGACTCGTCTGAGACGGGTTGGATCCCTGTCTGCTTCACGGGGCGTTGTTGTCACGAGCAACAGCTCGTCCACCACTCTTATGGTTCCGCACGCATGGAGCTTATCGCAGGCAAGTACGACGAAGCCAAGTCTCATTTCACCGTCACGATCGGAGGTTGTGACGTGCAAGGTGACCTGCAGACCAAGGCATTCAGCATCCGTGGACTGGGGGAGGTTGCATTTGTGCATGGCGACTTCGCTGTAGCTACACACTTTACCGAGACACAGGCTTTGTGCACTGAGATGGGAGTGCCTTCCGCGAAATTGTACAGTTGCTCGCAATTTGCTGCTGCACTGCCAGAAAGATTTGGAGGTTGGGCGTTGGTGTTGGAGGGACGGTCACCATTTGCAGATGTTATGTAGGTGAGCATTGATCTGGCAAGTTTTGTATCGGGAAGCTAACATACTTAACGACAGCTATCACTCAGCAAGCTCCAAAAAGAAGGGTTTCATCGCGGATCATTGCAGTCCTGAAATTCATGAAGAGAAATGAAATACTAGTACTAGACAACATTCAACCAAATTTCTCGACGGTACTATAGAAATATCATGAAATATAGATAACGTGCAGCATCATAATAATGGTCACGTAGGTGGCCATGTCCCGACGGCGTAAGGGCGTTCTCCCCACCTCTCCCAAGCATGTTCACCAATACGGCGCACAGTGCCCTGTAGCTCCGTCTTCAAAGCTGTCCATCCTTCGTATATCACAATCTCATAAGCACTTGAGAGTGACCATGGGAACGAGGGGTAAGGCGGCGAGAATTGATGGGAGCGTCCAGGTAAGGGATTCAACTCTGGGTATAGAGGATCATAATAGACGGTATGAAAAAGTCGGTGGGCTTGGACATGTGCAAATCTACATACACAATCATCAGGTCAGCGAGAGAAAAAACTATACGAAGGTAAGAAACCTACCGCCACATAGCAAGGAAGAATACGATTTGGACCACAACTCCAAGCCAAACCAGACCACGGTGGAAAGAACTGTTGCTGCCAACGATAGTCGGCTGGTTGTCAGACCCAGTCAGCACGACCACATCAAACGCATATACATTTTGTCTCACCAAAAGCCCACTTCCACTAACGGCGTCCTTGGTATATCTGTGCCTTAAGTCATGCTCTTTCATCGATTCAACACGAAGGGTCTGAGCCAATTGATTCCGAGCATGCCGCGCTGCCCTCGAAACTTCTTCGAGTTCTTTAAGGTGGCTCGTGTTCAACGCGAGATCATCAGCAGACCTAGTGCAGTTCCTATTAGTCAGCGATTTTTTTTGAACCATATTTGTGATATTACCTGTCTCCATCACTCAGCCCATCAGCCCACTCCCGGAGCGTTTGCCGCATTTGAGCCAGGGTTTCAGTGCGACCAATGGGTGAATCATCATGCAAGACTAATGACTCTTCTTCGAATAAGGGTTCGATCACACGAACAGCTTCTTCCTCAATTTCTCTTCCCATCGCATCGACAATGCGAATATTACTCTTGTTTGGGGTACGAGGAGTACGAGGAGTTTCAACTGATGACGATGGGCGAACTGCGTCTTCTGCATCTGCGCGCCCATCCGCCATATCCTGGGCGTTGTCCGGTGTCGGAAGGTCGTCAATCCTTTCTCGACCGAATGCATCGACAACCTTCACGCTGGGAGATTTTCTCAGTGAACGTGGTGATGGTGCGTTGGCACGAGATACGGGTGTTGTAGAGCGCTCAGGAGTAACAGGCTTGGCTGACACCGGATCGCGTACGGCATTCCCTTGAGCAGAACCATTCGTTATCTTTAGAGGGACGTTTTCCGCCCGTCGTGCGTGACCATTAGGCAGAGAGTCAGGCGCAGATACACGCACAGAAGACAAAGGCGATTTGTCAACTTCAGCAGTTGACGCCTCCGATTCCGTGACATCAAAGCGCACTTTGAGAATGCTCTTTCTCCTTGCGATGGAACCAAATTGGGATTGATCGGCTGATCCATTCTGAGTTGTAGGTTGGTTCGGGGTTGACATCCATGCACCTGGGGGTGCCGGGGTGCGTAAAGGAAGTGAGTTAGCACGCGATAGAGAAGGTATTGGCGTGAGCAGTCCATTGCTTGCTGGGGCCTCAGGCTTCGAATTGCGCTCGGGTTCAGAGTTGGCTCGAGGCAGAGGCGTCGATGACGAAGGCGCAGTCGGAGTCAACTCAGACGGGGTAGGAGGTGGCGATACTTCCCTCGGGTGCTTGGGGGGTACGGGTGTGGCAGCCCAGGCTCCAGGAGGTCTCGGGGTTTTCATCGCGGTGTAGTTTGGATTGGCAAGGCCATTTTCATCCACTCGTACGGGAGTGACATCCGCTTCGCGTGTCTCTACCTCATCCTCAGATGACGAAGGTAGTGCAGAAAGATTCGAGAGGTCATGTGGAGGGGATGGAGTGCGGAAGTCAAGAATGGAAGTGCTTGACGAAAGACGACGTGGTGGAGTCGTGAGCGCAAAGGTGGGAATGGCTTCAGAAGAACGTCCATCCTGAGGGGTGGAACTGGCCAGTGGTGGGGTTCCTGGAGGAGTAGAGGAGGGTGGGCTCCCCGGAGGAGTGAAGGATGTTGGCGTCGTCTGTTCTTGGGTATGAGAAGTGCTTAATGGAGAGTCAGGAGTAAGAGGTCGGAACGAGGTCGCTGAAGCTGAGGCAAGAGCTCTGTGAAGACGTGCTTCATCATTGGAAGAAGCGCCACGAGGTGATTGAACAGGTGAGCGTTGTCTCGGTGGCGAATATGGTGGAGACACCAGAACCTCTGTCTCTGTCTCGCTGGGAGCATCGTCGGGGAAAGACTTCGATGATCGTATGTCCGGAGTGGTGGATCGCGGAGCAAACTCTGACACAGATTCCTCATCGCTCGCTGCAGATTCTCAAATGAGAATGGATAGAGAAGCCAGGGCAAATGTATCTCACCTAAGACCATATCCTCGTCCCCAAATGCACCGTACATGCTAGTCTGAGGATGGATACTGCCCACTGACTCAGTAAACTCCGTCGACCGCTTGCGATGACCTTTTTTGAACTTCTCTTCATCGGTGACTTTAGGAGTAGAAGAAGCAAAATTGCCGCTGCTGAAAAAACCATTCTTCTTGGATGTTGAGCGAACTGGAATCGAGCTCGACTTAATGACACCCGATGCCCGGCTGGATGGGCGAGAGCTTGGCGATGGTGATGGCGAAGAGGTGGTCCGCATGTGATTATGTGAGGAATCAGGCTCCTTGCTACGTCCAGGTCGATCGGGTGAATTCTCCAGATCAAGAGGGGGAAGCTGACGAGTCCGCGGAAAATGCCAGCCAAATCTTGAAGCGGCAGCAGAGCCCTTAAATGGTGAGGTACGTGGTGAAGATTCACCCTTGTCCCCATGGGTTCGAGGAGACGAGGGAGCTGCACGCTGAGGCGGATGAATGGGCGTTGATACGTCGAGCGCTGAATCCAATTTGTCTTTGTGAGAATGCGACTTCACAATCGTCGGTGAGCCCTTGCGCTGAGCCTCCGGAGTCAGATGAGGTAAACTGGAAGATGCACGCAAACTCCTCCCGCTCTTGCTTTGGGAAAGATGAACACTTGCGGATGTAACCTCATTTCCACTGCTGCCATGGCTATGATGCCTCTCCGTGCTCCACTTGGGCTGTGGCGAGTTCCAATTTCTCTCTCGTTCATGCGTTACCTCTCGTTCTTCCGGTTCTTCCGGTTCTCTTAATGAGTCATGGCTAGCCAGTGAGCTGGCAGGTGAGCTGGCGCCCGATAGTCGAGCGCTGGAAGCTTGCCGTTGAAGGGATGCAAGCGTCGGCGTCGAGTATGGCGTGGCCGACGGAGGTCGAGTGGGGTGAGTGTGGGAGTGGTTTGAATGTGAGCTAAGGCTTGAAGATGGTCGAGGCGGTGGGTGTCGCTTATTCCAGTCACGTTCACGCTCAAGGTAGCGATCTTTGTCAAGCTCGGACACCCCATCACGATCTGAGGGAGCTCATTGAAGTAATGCTGAAAGAAAAGGAATGGTCGCTTACAATCCGCCTGCGAACCCCTGGAACTTGGCCTAGAGCTTTGATCATCATCAAAACTACGAAGCGACGTAACGCTACCCCGTCTATGCAGATTCCTGCCGCTGAGCGGTGATCCACTTCTTGATATGGCTCCTCCGTTCGAAAGAGACTTGACATGAGAGGGCGATGTCCAAGGCAGTTCTTGAGAGTGGCGTCGGTGGAACTCCAGCGAGTGCCGGTGATGCAGCTCAGGGGTAACTGAACGTGATGGTGCTTTTGGACGGTTCCACTCGCGTTCGCGTTGATGCATACGGTCTTCTTCACGAGAGTGCTGTTGCTCTTTGACTGGATTACTATGTTGAGCTCGCCTCCAAAAAAATAACAAGTATGATCTCACAATCAGCATCAGAAAGGGACGAGCTCGCCCTTGACTCTGTGCATACAGTCGGCGGAGTGACACAAAGGCGAAAGGGCATCACTTACCTGGCAACTCCAGACTGGCACGCCGAGATTGATCATGTCGCAAACTTCCGCGCAACGATAGGGAGGAGCGCGGCCGCAACGGAGTAGTTGACGGGCGGCGCGTGCTTGGGCCAGGCGTCGGTGCTGACGCTAGTGAAACAATGAGACACATCACGGTACGCCATTTCGAATGATCGCCCACCATCCTCAGAGGTATCGAGATCTTTCATAGCGTGCTGCATCTCCGAGTCCTGATCCAGGAGATCTGATTGACTAGTCAAGGAGGTGCAAACATTTACAATGTGTGGTCTTACTAGAGTGAGATGCTAGTTGGGAAGGTAATTGGAAGGTCCCATGAGGTGAAGCTGCACTTATTGGAGGTGATAACCAAGAGGAGTCGAGTGGCCGTAATAAAGCCGGATTAGCATTAGCATGTTCGTCCACACTAGGCTCATGTGCAAGTAATGAACCTGTTTCGGAGGGTTGGGAAGTAACTGATAGACTTTAATCGGGTGTACTCGTGGTAATGATATAGATAAGCTGACCGTCATAGACCGCGGTAGGTAAATTTTGATCGAGGAGTTGCGAGTGGGAAGACATGAGGCGTGTACGAAGGGTGTCAAATGTTGCTGCATGAGAAGATCGGAATGACGATTCGGACCCCTTGCTAGATTCTTTGATATGTAATGAGATATCAAAGATGATGGAGTGAAGGGAATCGACGAACTTGGTTTATCAACCTCATCGTCACTGAGACTTTTCCTTTTGCCCTTATGCTGTTCCCTTTCACGGTCAACAACGGGGGTAATGTCCATCTCACTAGTGTCAAAACTGTTTCTACGATGTCTGGACCTCTGTGGCGTGTCCCCAGGCTCACGCCTGGCATGAGAGAACAAATCCTTCAGGCTGTCCCGAGTAACGCTCGGAGTGGCAGGTGTGAAACGAGATGATACAGAGCCAGTATCCGCTTCTGATGTGTGTGTAAAGAGTCTTGTAGGAGGAGATCTTCCGGTTGGGGAATCTGATGTCCGTGCTAGCAAAGCACGGAGACGTGCTGCAGGAGTATCGGAGGGTATCGCAGAAGAAGTAGATGGACCAAATTCAGAATTTGGGCCATAGCTGGTAGAAGAAGAAGCGATGTTCTTAATTGGCATACGAGGAGTAGGTTGATTATCATCCTCATCGTCGAGAACATTGAACTGTGAACGCGCGGAGGAGGGAACCGCAACTGGGGTGAAGTCCATATCACTACTTTCCAGCTGGGCACGAGGACTTGGTGTACGGCGGAGAAGCCTTAGACGAGGCTTTAACAAAGAGTTTGATGAAGGCGTTTCCATGATCGACACCCCCGCGGTCGGCCAACGGGAGCGTGTAGTGTGTTTCAAGCGTGTTCAACGCGCGCTATTGTCATAAATTAGGAAAGTCTTGTGCCAAACAATCACAAATTAGTACTCAGTGCTCAGTCACAGTAAGTCTGTTTAATCGCATACAAGTACAACTTCGAAGGACTATTGCATACAAGGACTTTTACTATGTCTTGAAAACACCTTGAAGCTTCCCTGCGCTCAGTGTAGGTAGTTTCTACTCACTCACGAACACGATGAGATGCACGTGACGCAACACGTGCACACGCGAAACGACTCGGATTTACATGTTCTTGTAACTAACCCACCACAGAGTTGCGTTACCGGGCAAATTCGTCAACAACGTCATTGGCTCTTGTGTAGGTCGTGCATTGAAGCTAGCCTGAACAAACAGAGAGGACCAAGATGACAAACTCGTCCTCTTCGTCCTCTTCAAAACGATGCAGATCTTCGTCACACTCTACCTCGTCGTGCCGCTCTGGGTCAATGCAATACTTGAACGCAAATTGAGGAAGCCGTAACCCGTGCTTGATTTACTTGCGAACCAACGACATGGAATTATAGAAAGCGTTGGGATCGGTTTTGATTTTACTCTCGAGGTAGAGCATGTATTTTCGGTTGACGCGATAACCATAGTGTTGTTCATAGCGTTGTTTAGGTGGACGCTGAATATCGATTTGGTAGATGAGTCCGATGTAGGTAACCCAGGAATTTGTCGCTGCTTAAAAGCGCAGTAACACGATACTGATATGTACTCCAAACCTGAAGACTCTGAAGCAGCTGCTCGATTGACAGTGACATGGTTGTATGAGAAGCAGATGGATGATACTAAACTTGGATGTCTCTATAGATTCCTCTCCACATGGCTTCATATTCAAACCGAGCCACCGGCACGCCTCTCGTGCACCTCCAGTAGCGCACATAGTAATCGCCCAGAACATGCAGGCTATGCATGCTTACCGCAAATTCCCTAGCCCTTGGGACGCCGACCTCCCAGCATGCTTCCTACCAACGTTAGTGCCCCGTTGCTGATGGCGCCCCCAGCTGGAAATTATTTCACCCGCATCAACCTTATCCTCGTTTGTTCCAGCACCTTCTAAGCCCTCTCCTACAGATCGAAAATCACGCGCAACCTCCTCTGGAGCCAGACCTGTGATACATTCATCCCACCACCCATCTGACATCGGTCTCGTCTGGTCTCTCGGCCAGATGCTATGCCACCAACATCCAGCTTTCATTCGCAGTCAAACCACCCAGCCTACATCACTGCGAATGCTCGAGAGGCTCGCGCTCCAACGGGGCGCTCAAGTCCCGCCCACATGGCCAGTTCCACGCACGAGCATAGGTCTCGCGCCGACCAAAGTTCATCGAGCCAGATTCAGCATCACCCTATGCTGGAGGACATGGCACTCATTACCTCAGTTGCAGCAGCCAGCACAGACCAGAGGGAATTTTTATGATACGGCGTCTGCTGCTGACTGAAGAGGTCCCATAACATTATCTACAGCCAGTCTCTTAAACTTGTGATACAACGATTGGCACCATGCGGCTGGTATCCAACCTCCTGTTGCTAGCATCTTATACCACTGATTGGCAAATGAGCGCTGCAGATGAGAGAAAGGGCATGAGACAGGTCCAATGTTGTTTCCATCCTCTCTCGGATCTAATCAATCGGCGTGGTGAAGAGTTACTGGCAGACCAACGTAGGCACTCGAGATATAAAATACAGACAGCGATTCAGACAGCGTAAGCCACTGTTGAAAGAGTGAGTATGCACAAATATCCAGCGCTTTCAACACGGCCAAGAGAAACATTCAAAGTAGTTCTCAAGAAGTAAAATTATTGACATGGGCAGAGCTAATCGTTACATCTTACACACCAACCTGATGTTGCAATTTCGCATCTTTCAGCGTGTCCTATCAGTTGTAGCAAAGAACAGCATACTCCTGTGATAACATATCAAATCAGCCTAAGATCCTGCCAACGTGGCTAGCATGTGTACTCGCCTTGACCTTCTTCTCTGTGGAGTCATAAGGGATGAGGCAACAGTCGAACTCCTCGCAAGCCTTCCCCGGGTGCACGGCTCCATTGTAAGGAGCTTGGGCGATGTACTGAAGAGCACCTCCAGGCTCACGGCCACCTTCAACAAGTCGAACTCCATTGAGAGCTGCTACGTTGAATTGGCCGGAAAAGTTGACCCATCGCACGGCTCGGGAATCCCCGACAAGAATTTCGTATCTATCAAGCTTTTCCAATGGGTTCAGCAGATGATAATAGCACGGTTCGGTTTGCGCTTACATGGATCTCCTCCTTCTTGTAGCCAATTACAGCCCCTTTCTTGAAGACAGAGCACGCCTTTCCGATCACTAGAGAAGGCTTCATTCAGTTAAAGTACCGAATGACACCACTCGGGACGTACTGAGACCACCCTACAAGCTTCATAATCAGTGTTTGGCAAGGATACATAGCTGTCGGACTTGCCTCGTGGTAAGCACGACAAATGTACAAAGGCGCGCCGCGCTCAAATCCACCTTCGATAGCATCACGTGGGATGCTCTTGCCCTCATTGAGAACCCATGCTACTGGACCGGGGTAATTTCCGCTTCGGAAAGCCTTGGTGCGTTGCTCCGCATCTCGAAGCCAGTTGTTCTGCGACCAGACATGTGCCTTTTTCTGGACAAAACCGGAGTGTCAGATCTGTATCAAGTGATGATGAACACTAAGTATACCTCCTCTTGATTCTTGCCATGATTGTTGTAGGCGTAAACGCCAGCAGCAAGGGCACCGACACCAGCCAGGACGCCTCCTCCGATCTAAAAGAAAAAATGACGCATGTGATGGTCCGAGGAGTATAATCGAGGAGTAAATTGTACCTTCAGTTCTTCCTTCTTGCGATCGTCAATGTCGTACCAGTGCTTCTGACCCTCCTCACGAGCGGGCTGGAAGCCGCCTTGGGGGGCTTGGTAAGGTTGCTGTTGCTGCTGCTGAGGTTGTTCGTGTGATGGAGTGCATGGTTGAGACTTGCGGTCTTCGCTCCATTGACCAGATGTCTCATGATGGGGACGTCGGTCGCCGCCGCATCCTTCCACTTGTTGCTGCTGCTGAGGTTGGTCGTATGATGGAGAACATGGTTGAGACTTGCAGTCTTCGCTCCATTGACCAGATGTCTCATGATGGGGGCGTCGGTGACCGCCGCCTCCTTCCATGCGTCCCCATAGGGCAGGCGTCGCGGGCGGAGTCCAGTCACCCTGTGGCCGAAGTTCATTGGTGAGTATGAAATTGAGCAATACTGGTAGTGGGTTACCTGGGATCGGTGAGGCTGAATGATCTTGTACTGGACACCTGCAGAACATGGATTGATTGCTGAGAGCGATAAGGGAAACGGTGGATTGAAACAGACCTTCATAGAGGACTACCGAACCATCGTAGTACTGAGTGCCAGGTTTCCAAGAGTCAAGCATGTTCTGCTGGAGTGTATACGAAGATGACGAATGGAGTGGGGTGGCTTGTGTTGCATTCGGTGGGCTTATATACTCTCGGAGACCTCTCACTTTGCGCCAGAGATCGCGATCCTATCTCCAAATGATGCCTGTTGGAGAAAAGAGAGCTTGTATGTCTTGGCTGCTCCCTGATTTGAACTACGAATGGGCGCATATGACCCTGTCGACGGCCGGACCTGACCAGCTGTCCATTATCTGATTTCCATTTCCACGAGGCAAAGATTGCAAGATGAGAAGAACTAACAAATATGCATATGATCCTGGGGTGGTTTAGCCTCGAGGCATACTATCAAGTAGTTCAGAATGGAAGACACTTGCATTTGTCGTGGAGTGTCTCTCATTCTGGCAACTGATCGTACGCGTAACGCGATCATCTCGAGCAGATGAGTCCTTGTGGTCTTCGAACTCCATGGAACTCCAAGCTCCAAGTCTCCGAGCAGGAAGGCAAGTCTTAGCAAGAGCATCGACCCTGGAATGTCCTAGTAGTATTCAAAGAACTTGACGAGGGTTCGGAATAATTCAAATCGATTTGTCGTTTATAGCACATTGTTACCAGCAACTTGTTTCTGCCCCGGCTTCAATGATGGGATCCCACTGACTCTGCCGCGCTGAACTGCTTCTTCTTGTCATTACTGTAATCACGGCCGCCGGAAGTAAGTAATCGATAGATCTCAAAAGGACGCCGTCTTGTCAAGTCATTCCAATCTCCATAGCCTTCCAGAGAACGAACCGAGAAAGCAGAGAGTGTGTAAAGTCCCATGGATGCGAATAATTTCCGCAAGATGACCGCACGTTCATACTCTTACTTATATATATGTGACCTCCACAGTCTCTTCCAGTCACCGCCCACCTATTTCAACTTGTACCACCATCATCGATAACGATCAATTTGTATTCACAATGAGCAAAATCGAGCCAGTCTTCCACATCATTCCCACCATCCAGAACTACGATTGGGGGAAGAAGGGAAAGGACTCCAAGGTTTCAGAGTTTGCTTCTGGGGCTGGAATCGATGGGTTTACTTTGAATCAATCAGTTCCTTACGCAGAAGTAGGTGATCTAGAAGCACGGTCTGCAGCAGATCTGACAGATGGGTGCGCAATGGCCAGCTTTGGATGGGCACGCATGTGAAATCGCCGTCGGGAGTGGTTGATAGAAAGCAGAACCTTGCCCAGATTTTGGCTGCGAACCCAGGCTTGATAGGGGACCAGGTATCTCAGCGGTTCGACACAACCAACGGAAACCTCCCTTTCTTATTCAAGGTCTTGGCCATTGGCACGGCCCTGAGCATACAAACTCACCCTGACAAGAAGACAGCAGAGAAACTACATGCTGAACAACCAACAGTTTACACTGGTGAGATTTCTTGTTTACGTCACTCTCTAGCCCTCACTCATAAGTTGTGTGAAGATCCGAACCACAAGCCTGAGATGGCGTTGGCGTTGACGGATTTCAAGGCCTTGTGCGGTTTCATGCCGATCGCGAGGATAGCTGAATACGTCAAAGCCGTTCCCGAATTCGAAGCCCTGATCGATCCATCTATCGTGACAGAATTCTCGACTTGCACACTTCTGTCTGAGTCGGAACAAAAGGCAGTTCTAAAGAAATTATTTTCAGCACTCATGACTGCCGATGTTACCAATATTGCAACACAACTCCGGGCACTCGTCGCTCGTTACAAACGCGGGGGTCAGAAATCTGTAGAAGAGGATGTCAAAGATCTCATCCTAACATTGAATGAACAATATCCCGGGGACGTCGGGGTATTCTGCGCATTTATGTTGAACTACGTCCAAATGACCCCTGGGCAGGCTATTTTCCTGGGAGCTGGAGAACCCCACGCTTACGTGCAAGGCGGTATGTCTTTTCCTGGTAGTATTCAGCTCAATCTACTAATGATTCCCAAGATATAATGGAGTGCATGGCCAATTCGGACAATGTCATTCGCGCAGGTCTTACGCCCAAGCCTAAAGATATCCCCAACCTTGTTTCGGTTCTGACCTACACGGCATCAGCTTGGCAGAAGCATATGGTCAAACCGGTCGACATCACGCCACGCACTCGTAAATATGATCCTCCAATTCCAGACTTCGCAGTTTTCCAGGTTAACGCCCAAAAGGGCGAGACTGAAAGTCACGAGGCTATTCCAGGACCTTCAATCGCAATCGCCACCGAAGGTTTCGGCCGCGTAAGCTGGGGCGGTGGCGAGCTAGATTTACAGGCTGGAAGCGTCATCTTTGTGGGAGCTGAAACAAAGATTGACATCACTGCCGGAGACTCCAACTTGGTTGTATACCGCGCGTATGTCGCTGCCTAGCTCAGTGCTAGGACCATTGGCAGGATGAATGTTTGATGTTTTGAGTGACTACTACCGCAGCTCTATCCCAAACATAAATTCCAGTCGTTATCATTGTCAACGATACTACAACTTTTGTCAGTACACTGCCCACCACAGTATGCTGGAGCGAAACGCAGTTCATCAGAGCGCAAACAAAGTATACTGAATATCAATATCCTTCTCGATAAAATTTATCACCGTTGCCCCTGAGGGGAGAGTTTCCCTAGAAGTAGAGCGCACTGATCACAGTCAACCGGCCACTCTCTTATGATATCCGCAACGTTGGATAGACATTCTCTCGCCCTGGAAACAGTCCGCGGAGTCGACAGGGGGGCGTTTCCCTTAGTGAAATGGTATAAAGCTGGTGAAGTTTATTTCGCGTGGAATGATAAACTCTGCGATTTCCTCTTAGCGCAGTGATTGTCGTATCCAAGGAGATAGTTGCTGCCCATTGGATCGTAAACGTCAGCAAAGTCACCGGGGTCAAATAATTCTGTCACAGGAGAGCCTTGCCCGCCGTTCTTGAGGACCAGCTCCCCATGCTGTGCGACTTCTTTGGGCGCAACCGGTTTGACTCACGCATTGCGATTTATTCCGAGGAAGGTGAGACCAGCGAATGTCATTAACTAAATCTCTGGGAAAGATAATTCCGGGAGAGCCGTGGAAAGTTTATGTCCATCACAGTAGCGGGTAAGATAGGGGAAGGACTAGCAGGACTCAATTGTATGTGATCCAGGTTCCACAAGACCGCCAATTTGATCTGGCAATTTGATCAAAAGACATTATACCATAGTTCACTGTGCGATGGCTGTTCAATATACAGCAAATCCTGGCACGCTGCGAGGTGGATGGGGGCCTGGGGAAGTGACGAAGAAGTGCGTTGAAAATTCATCCAAAAACATCGAGATGGAAATCGAATGAGTCCACCATGGTAAAGGCCAGTGCTAGTACTTGTCGCGGTGTTACTTTCATGGTGGTGGGGAAGAAACCGTCATGGACCACACTGGTCACGGCAATGGAAGACGACATTACATAAGCTTGTCTAACACGTTCTGAAAACGGTGTCCGTATGCGGCTTTGACCGGATGGCAGCCTGCTCGCGGCCATCATGCTTCCCTCAATTGTGCTCTTCGCAGGTCTCGTCAACCTTGTATCCAGTGCGGCTGTGAACAATATACGACCCCTAGTAATATGGCACGGACTGGGTGATACCTACGCGTCTCCTGGTATGGTGCGCTTTGAGAGCGAAGTCAAGGAGATGCACCCCGGCATATTTGTCCACTCCATCTTCATCGACGAGGACCCAAATACAGACCAGCGTGCAGGCTTCGTGAGCACTCATACTACCACTCTGTGTGTTTATAACTTATATCCGTCAGTATGGCAATGTGAACCAACAAATTGCACAAGTCGCCCAGCAGCTTGCTGAGATACCCGAGCTCAGCCGCGGTTTCGATGCTATAGGGTTCTCACAGGGAGGGCAATTCCTTCGTGGCTACGTGGAACGCAATAACAGCCCGCCAGTGCACAATTTGGTCACCTTTGGGTCACAGCACATGGGGATATCAGATTTGCCAGTATGCAACCCGATGGATTTGCTTTGCCAGGTCGCGCGCCGAGCAGCAAACAGGGGTGTGTACACCGAATGGGCACAAGAGCATCTTGTTCAGGTTTGTCATAAAATCCCTTCTGTTCAAGTCCTGCATGTTAATTTAATCATCGTCAGGCTCAGTATTTCAGAGACCCGCAACGGCTCTCGCTATACATTTCCTCAGGGAGCTTCTTACCGGACATCAATAACGAAGTTTCACTCCCATCTTCTCGTAATCCATCATATGCAGATAACCTTGCCTCGCTGAATAAGCTTGTCCTTGTCCTCTTCGCCCAAGATAAAACCGTGGTACCCAAAGAGAGCGCTTGGTTTGGTTCTGAGCAACCACTCGAAGACATCACTTTTGAACCATCTGGATCCGATCAGACGCCGATACTCAGTGCACCGAATACCAAAGACATGATTCCGATGCGTCTACAGCCCCTCTACAAAGAAGACTGGATAGGTCTTCGAAAGCTTGACGAATGCAGCGCGATCGAATTCGTAGCTTGTAAGGGGGAGCATATGCAGCTTGATGGCTGCTGGGAAGACCTAGTCGCTAAGTGGGTGGGAGGATCTTTGAGCGCGAGCTGAGGCACACATCTCACTTTAGTGAGAGTACTCTGCCACGCTTGCTTGGATTGCACAGTGCACCGTTGTCAATGTATTTCATTTTATGTGGACGGAATGTGGTGTCACGATTTATTCCACCAGAATCTCTAGCACAGTACTCAGATGATTCGCACAAAATAATCTTATTAGATACTATCACTATTACGTTACGCTCGCGGATGGGAAAGTCTTGCGGCAACTCGCGGTCCGCCGGGAGATCTCCATTTATAAACTCATACCATTCCGAATTTGCCCCGAAGGGCCGAATAACCTGCTGAAAGTTCACGCTCACCCGTGAAGGCTCAAGTTGCCAGTTTCTTACTCACCTTGATATTCGTTTCTTTGCCTGTCCTCATCAAGTCATTCACAAATGTCTGGTGCAGCATCTGCGGCCGCAGGGTCGAAATTTTCCGCGTTCATGAATCATCCAGCCGGTACGTGGGATGTCCGTTGATGCAGGAATGGCGCTGACTTCACTACAGGCCCGAAGACTGTCTTCTTCTGGGCGCCAATGATGAAGTGGTGTCTAGTTGCTGCTGGAGTGAGGGACTTGAGTCGGCCAGCAGATAAACTCAGTATATCACAAAACGTTGGTGCGTATGATGCGTTACTGGAACTCCGTGTCACCATTCAAATTTTGCCGGATAGCTCTCGCATGCACAGGTTTCATCTGGGTGAGGTACTCTTTGGTCATTACTCCGATAAACTACAGTCTGGCAGCGGTAAGGGTCGACGAGTTTTCTCGATGGTGATCACTCATGGGTCGGTTGCGCAGGTGAACTTCTTTGTCGGCTCCACAGGTCTGGGTCAGTTGGCCCGGATTGCAAAGTGAGTTTCAGGTCAAGCAGGCGTTTGTATTTCTTACTGACTATCGAGACATTCATCAGTCACCGGTACAATAACCCAGAGGCGGTCAAGGCCTGATTAGCGTCGTAGAAGTCTTGCTTTCTATTCGTATTGTTCTTGCAATGTCACTTTGTCAAAGCACCCGAATTCCTCCTGTTCGAATCAAATATGTACAGTGATATAAGTCATGTCTACGCTCGAAAAGATATCATCGGTTCCTGGTCTTCTTCGTCCCACCGCGATGCTGGTTGTCGCTGCTAGTAGCTTTATCATCCGAGCTCGACCCGTCAAAAATTCCCCGAGCTACGTCCCACCATCCGCCCTCCACTAATACGCGATTGGCAGCCTCCACGATGTTCGACATTATCTTTTGAGCGTCATTTCCCTCCTGGTTCCCGTCGTGATCCTTATGCTGCCATTGTTTGTGCTTTTCAAATGACTCCCACGGTTTTCTGGGACGGTCATTTGACTTGGGTTGTGAACGTGTCTTGGGTGTCCGCGATGAACGCTGGGTATCGGGAGTGTGCTGGCCTTGGCCATTCAGCACATCCCACATAAATCCGCCCAAGCTGGACACGATGCTTCTGTTCCCAACACCCACGTTCTGATTGCCCATGTACCACCCCAGCCCTGCAGTGAGCGCTCCGAAGATGATACCCCACTTGATGAACCAGATACTGGTTCTGATCATCCAACTTGTAGTCCTATATAGGCTGACCAATGCGAGATATGCGGCGAGAAAACTGATGAGGGGAGGAATGATGGTTTGCGCGTCCCATTGCCATGGTTTGGAGGAAATGAGGGATGAGATCAACGAAACAAGTGCAGTGAATAATGCAAGTGCGTGCGAGAGGAATGAGACCAGAAATGAATACAGAGATGGGGGAAGCTGCTCGGCGAGAAGGTCAAGCAAGGGGTCTAGAAAAGCTGGTAGGGGGATGCCTGCCGGATCCATGATTACTATGATATCAATTGCAGTGCCTAAGTTTCAAGTTGCAAAGGTCAGCGTTGAATCGTAAGTAGTACGTGTGACACGTCTTGTTCAAGTTGCCAGTGCCACTAAGTGCTTGCCTAGGTTGACGCGAACGTGGCCCGGTGGCATTAACAGTGCTGGCATTGCCACCAGATGCCGTTACGTAGTTTTGTGACACTTTGCCACCGGCACAGTAATTAAATACCAAATGGAGACATGTAAATACGAGATCCACCAGGAACTCACCAATGGGATCATAACGGCATGATACCAGCCGGCCAAGCCGACCACCAATATTGGAACTCCGACATTTCCTGTGATGTCTTCGCTCCGCGAATATGTACCAAACACCGACAAACTCGATCGTGTATAAGTTCGAGCTTATATCGAATTTGCTCCTTTCCCAACAACTCACTGGTATCCATAAACCTTGTCTCACCATACATCAGTACTCTATATTCAACATCGACACCATGGTCATGAAGCGCAAGTTCGACTTCGATGCCAGTGATGAGTGCCCTCAGGTCATTGTTTTTGTTTTATGTCCTTTACTTCCCCGCTCTAATACGCACTCATCAGGTCGCCAAGCAGTTGAAAATGGTTCCCTTCCCCAACTATGAACCTGACACCGACATTGCTATGTCTGAATCTCCCTCATCTGACGCCGTCTCATTTTTCCCTGAAAATAATCATACCCGCCTTCATTCTACTGCCAGCTCGTCAAGTGGTTCATCTGAATACTCGGATGGCATCGACCACAACTCTCGTATGTACACCCAAGACTTGAATGTTACTGAGTCTGACACTGGTGTGCGCATGTTTTAGCTTTGTACCCTCGTTTTACCCCGGTCGTCGACTACCAGCCGGACGACTCTGCAAAGGCGGTTGGGCTGCTGCAACCTGCAAGCTCATTTACTCACCATGGGTAAGTACATGTATGGCTCGTTTCTTACCGTGACCCTGATTTGTGACTCCCTCCCGCCTCCATAATGCGATAAATTCCAGTTCGCATTGCTCACAAATACCCAAACTTCGTGTCGCCTGTTCCGCTGGTCCCGACGGCTCCAGGACGATGTGGAGCTTTTGTGAACAATGCGGCGCAATTTCCATGGTAGATTCGGACTGAAGTCATCGACATCATGGCACCTGTTTCTTTTTTTATTTTATTTTGCTGATTATCCCTCGTGATTTGCTTTTCCCTTGGCTCGACTGGTCACTCCAATTTTCGACATCGATCCCATATTCGTCTCCCTCGCGCCGCTAACAGTAACCATCACCTCTATCCGCCTCCTTCGACTTCACCGCCCTTCTCGTGATCGACACCCGGTCAATCTCCGAGCCTTCGGCCACCACTCGACATCAAAATATCGGCCAATATCATACTGCACTGCTACGTTTGCTAAATATGCTCTCGCTGTACATATCTTGCTCCGTTGTAACACGAATGCTCTGTTGCTTTGACGCCAAATCAAGTGTGAATTCGTTTGAACCAACTTATTAGCATTTAGAAAAATTCATCTGTTAAGCAATTGCTAAGTACAAATATATCGAAGTTTGATCGAAGCTGTACAAATGTCTCATGACCTCCACGCCACATCGAACGCGCTACAGCATACGCCATGACCCAAACAACTCTGCTTCAATACGAAGCACCATGTAAGTCCGATTCCTTGTCATCACTTCTCGACATTCCTCATCTTGCTCAGGGCCTGTACACGCGCTCGATTGGTGTAAGTCAACCGCACCTGGACATCAATCTCGTCCACGATCGGCATTCCGTCTCGGAATTGCATCCTTCACTGAAGACTACCGGAATCGGATCGCTATCGTGGGGCTTCAGGATGAGCGCGTCCTTGTTGAGGATGATTATACTGATTACCCCGACTTTGTGACCCTGGTGGAGGCAAACCATGGATACCCAGCAACCAATCTGCAATGGCAACCTGCGAGTGCGAGCGGCTTCCCATGGACTGGCAAAGCGCCGGCCGCAGAGCTGCTTGCAACGACTGGAGATGCGTTGAGGGTATGGGAGTATTTTGGAGATGCACCACCAGCGTCGTCGGCTTATGTTGGGAGGCAACCCACGGGCGGAGGGCATCGGTTGACACTTAAGACGGCACTATCTGGGGTATGTGATTGCAACCTCACGTCCTGATTCATGGGAAACACTGATGCATCATGCGTTTCAGCAATCCAAAGTGCAAAGCCAGTCCACTGGTCCACCATTAACCAGCTTCTCTTGGAACGAGAAAGCCCCCAGTTTAGTTGTTACGTCATCGATAGACACGACGTGTACCGTCTGGAACATCGATACGTCCACTGCAATAACGCAACTTATCGCCCACGATCGAGAAGTCTACGACGTTGCATGGCTCCCGGGATCGACAGATATATTCGTATCGGTCGGTGCAGATGGTAGTCTTCGTGCGTTCGACCTACGGAGTCTCGAACATTCCACCATTCTGTACGAAACCCCGACACCCAAAAGCGGTCCGCCCGCTTCCTCAGCATCATCGCGTCTACCTACATCACCTCTGTTGCGCATTGCATTCAACCCCGCTGACTCGAACTACATGTCCACATTTCATATGGATGGACAGGATGTACAGATTTTGGACATGCGGAGTCCTGGTCAGCCAGTGATAGAGCTAAGAGGGCACCGCGCACAAGTAAACGCGATGGGATGGAGTACAACGGATAGACCAACACTGGCTACCGCAGGTGAGCACTGCAACAAATCAACTCATGCCTTGCGTCCGACCTGAACTTTATATGCAGGGGATGATTGCCAAGTTCTACTTTGGGACCTCGCTCCCTACACGCAGTCGGCAACCTCTCCGCGCACCGCAAATTCTCGTTTGAATTCACCGCGACCGGACGTGAAGAAACGTGTGGTCACTGATCCGATAATGGCCTATTCTGCGAATAGTGAAGTAACCAACCTCGCATGGTCCCCTCAGATACCAGGGATGACGATGAATACGGGTCACTCGACAGCGCCTGGAGAGTGGCTAGCAATTGCGAGCGGGAAGTCTATCAAGGCACTCAAGGTGTGAATCGATTGATTCGGAAATCGGAATTATGGTTACTGTAGTGATATTTAACATGGGTGTGCGCTTGACCCTTTGAGCTGCCCACTCTATGGCCTTGACACATTCAGGCTCATCCTCTTTTCCGCTATCTTCGTTATCCCACAGACGCGCGCTCTTATATACCTCATGTTTCCTGATGAGTCGCGTTTGGCGGCAATAATCCCCGCTCGATCGAACAGCCGTTACAAACTCACCAACTTGGACCCGCGGAGGCTGCCCCTGAACCTGGCATCGACGAACATGGTCCATTTGCAATTGAATTTTGGATCCGCGCCATAAATAAGAGGCCTTATAATTTTCTTCATTTTCATGAAGTTCTTTCTTCGGGCTATCTGGATACGAACTTGTCAAGACTTTTCATTGTTTCTGCTTGGCCTCGAATTCTCTGTCATTGCAGGGACCATAATTTCAACGAGATATCCTGGACAAGCGCAGTGCTGCGCAATGAACGACTATCTTCCTTCTATTCAATGGGTCTGCCTAGGGGGAGACTAGTGCTACGCAGTGACTGAGTTGTCGTGTCACTGGTTGACTTCCCGTAAGAATTTACAGAAACAAGCTTGTCTGTAAAAGTTTGACCGCTCGACATCGGCTGATTTACGGACAGAATCTGTAAACCGTAAGAACTCAGCAAGACGATGGACTGGGAACAACACCAATGATCCGGACGACAACTCCGTGAGCGAACCATTTAAAAAGAGTAAGAAAATTACCCAAATCAGACATTTAGTGCGCTCCGACAATTTATAGAAATTTATAGAAATCTATGGAGGGGTAGCTACCCCTCCACAGATTAGCAGATTTACAGACGAGTGCGAGGCATTGACAGCTACCTTCCAAATCCAGCGGGGCTATCCGGCTAAGGCATAAGGCCTGAGGATCAACAGAAAACCTTGCAGGAAGTCACCCATTTATCCTCGTCCAGCTACAGCAGTCCAGCTTGTCACAAGGCAGATACTCCGGCCCGGTTGCGACCTGCCACGCACAATCAAATGCAGATCCGATACCAGGCAGGTTTTAATTCTGGTTAACGTATATATTTTTCGCCTCAATTTCAAAGATAACGTGCCAGCGTGCCTAACAGACTGTAGCCGAGATATCGATTAAGCCGTAACCCGCATGGAACCACCACATCCACGAGGTTGCTCGGGTTCTAGCAGATATGAAATAAAGATAGGCTATAGAATTAACGCGCATCTCTGCGTTCCTTCTGACCTTCCAGCATGGCAGCTTCAGCAGGCGGCTTCGATGAAGAGAACCAATTCGTGCAGAGAAAGACGTCCGTCTCCACCACCTCTGATGAAAAAAAGGCAACTGCATCCAATACTGTAGACACTGAAGGTGGTCTGGTGGACGCCGACAAGGAAGGGATCCAAGCGAAGACGTCGTTCGACAAGAAGTTACGTGTTATCGTCTTGATTGGCCTCGCTGCACTCATCCTCGGGTGGTGGATATCTTCCACCATCTTGAAAGCGACACGCGGACGATGGTATGTGTGACATAGTCTCCTTGATTTTTTTAAGTTATTCTTCGAAGGCTCGTGCAGACAATTTTCGCGTGGTTTTTCTTAATGTAAGCAGCGATATCTCTGCATTCAATATCGCCCTGGGGCTAAACCGATTATCCGCACCGTCAAGCACTATCGCGTTCCGCTTCATACCCAATTCGGTGGTGACGGAGCCTGTCGCTGCTGTATGGATACCATACATTCAGGAGCCTTGGTACAGACTTCCCCGGAAAGTGAGATTGACAACTGGATGGCTCTGCCTTCTTGGCATCGTGTTTGGGTCTGCTTTCGGATTCCCACTCACTGGCGTGAGTTATATCATCGTGGATGAGCTTTTGACATTAATCTAATGTCGCCGCTGTAGAATACCGATTATGGACATCGAGCAATCTCAGTACTTGGGTTGTTTGTTTTCCAGTGTGGTTTCTACTTGAGTTCCACGAACAGATCGGCCATTTGCTGGTTGGTGCCTCTCTGTCCGCCTACTACATCTATTGATTTAGAATGCAAGGCCCACTGTGATAGTTGGACTGATCCTCCAACAGGCTATCGCTCTTTTTGTCCTCAAGTCTGGCGCTGGGTTTTCCCTCTTCAAGTACATTGCCGATCTCGCAAATGATTTCTTGTCGGAATCCCTTGTCGGAGCTCAGTTCTTCTTCGATGCAGAAACTATTGCGAAGAAATGGTTCTTCATAAACACGGTATGATGATAGTATCCTCAAGCGTGAATGCGTAACTGATAAAATTGCAGCTCTCCGCGGTTATCTTCTTCATTGCCACGATTCAAATGCTGTACTATGTCAGTGACTAGGCTTTACTTTGAGCGGCCAGTGCTAATTTGTACGAAAGCTTGGGGTCATGCAATGGATCGTCAAAGGATTGTGAGTACACGAAGCATATTATGCATCAGAGAATGGAATTCATTTTTAAAATATAAGTGCATGGTTCTTCTTTAAGCTCATGAACGTGTCCGGCGCTGAGGCGGTCGTCGCGGCTGCTTCTCCTTGGGTTGGACAAGGAGAGTCTGCGTGTTTGGTCAAGCCTTACGTTGATATCATGACCCCATCGGAACTTCATCTTGTCATGACCTCTGGTTTGTCCACAGTATTTTGCTATTGGGACGTTAAAATTTACGTATTCAAGGTTTCTCCACTATCTCCGGAGCCGTTTTAACCGCATACATTGCACTAGGAGTTCCGCCGCAGAATCTCATCACCTCATCCGTCATGAGCATACCTGCTTCTATTTCCATCAGCAAGCTACGGATCCCTGAAGTTGAGGAACCCGTCACTCGTGGTCGCATAGTCGTGGACCGCGGGGATGCGGATAAGAACCGACCAGTCAACGCTCTTCACGCATTCTCTTTGGGAGGTCTGTTTGGCCTGAATGTCGCGGGACAAATTCTGTGAGCTTCTTGAAATGGTCATCGATGTGACACTCAGCTAAGTCCGGTAGCACTAATGTGTTGACGATCTTGTCACTCGTCGCCACCATCAATGCCGTCTTGACATGGGTCGGTCGTGGATTCGGCATCCACCAACTTACTCTACAGCTAGTTTTGGGATACATCGGGTATCCTATCGCCTTCTTTTTGGGTGCGCATACGTCCCTGCAATCTTGAGCTATGTATCCAAGCTGATATCTCGTAGGTGTCCCCAGCGCTGAGATCCTCCGAGTCTCACAGCTGTTGGCAACGAAGCTAATTGAAAACGAATTTGTTGCGTACTTAGGTACTCCTGCGACACCGTTTTATGGGGTCTGGCTGATGCTTAATTATTGCAGAACTATCAAGCATCCAAACAAGTTCAAACCCCTTGTCGCAACGTGCCTTTACGATTGCATCGTATTCTCTTTGTGGATTTGCAAATCTCGGATCGCTAGGTGTGCAGATTGGTGTGCTCAGCGCCTTGGCACCATCGCGGGGCAAAACCATTGCGAAAATTGCGATGTCCGCTATGATTTGTGGATTTATTTCGTGCGTTCTTGATTTGTCCTGTTTTTCGTCGAGTAACAAAAGCTTTGCTCTGCAGAACCCTCCAAACGGCTGGTATCGCGTGAGTACTTGGACGATCTTGGTCACAGCGTCTGGAAGCTAACTTTGTTTATCTTAAAGTGGCATGCTCATATAGCATGCACAGTATCTTGGAAGAATGGTTGAGCTGTGGCGTTATACATAGTTTTCGTAATATACCTGAGCCTTCACAAGGGTAAGATCGGTAGAACCAGCATTGTGATGATACCCAGCTTGCCAGCTCAATTAACCAGTCTTCGATCTTAAACTTCGGATCCTTACGCCGTTACTGCTCGAGCGATGAAACAATCCAAGATGGTCAGCCACTGGCATATACTATCAGTTACCACAACTTCGGTCAACTACTGGTTCAGACAGTCACAATGTCACTGGGTAGGGTAGTAAGTCATGTCACTGGCTGTCTGAAGCGAACTCAGCTGCTCTGTCACACCTTAACAACTATCTCAATCATTTCTCCACCAATTTCGATGATTCAACTTCACAGTAGCTTATAATATGTGTACAATGATATGTGGTGAGATAGAATATTTATTGAAGCTGAATTGTGTGAGCTATTGCAAAGTGTCCGAACCAGTGGTTGACCGAAGTTGTGGTGACCGATAGCAGGCAGCCTGTGCCAAACTGCATAACAGCAGCATGACGCAGTGGAAGCGTGCAGGGCTCATAACCCTGAGGTCACTGGATCGAAACCAGTTGCTGCTATATTTTTTTGTTTTGGCGGCGAACGACGCGTCCTTATTATGCAGTCCGCTGACGAGTGTCATAGAACTTCAACTAGTCACTGATAACTTATGAAGAACACAGTCCTACATACATGTCGCTATCATAGGGTGGGGCAAACAAGACATTTTGAGGCGCGGGTCAGCCACCAGCGTGACGGACTGGATGTAGCTCGCTCGACCTTGATCTTCACCACTTCCATCACCTACAAATATCACCGCCCACCCGCCGTGCTGCCAACCAACCTGGGAACTAGAAGCAATGGCTCCAACTACTGCCACAACATTCGCTACAGGCACGGGGAAACGCAGAATTCACCACCGCATATTCGGACATGGGCACCGAGCTCGCTACGAAGGGGCTATCAATACGACACACCCCGCCGAGTACCATCCATTGTTTACATATCCAACTTCTACGCTGCCAGCGCAATCGACGTCTACACCGCATGCAGAAAGTACTGCGAGTGGTACCCTCCTGCCCGAGCACCTCATCACGGTAGATCAGACGCCAACGGGGATTCTTGCTCAGCAATTGCCTTTAACGATCCCCAACGGGAAGTCGGGAGGCAACGTGATAGCAGTGGTTGCTGTCGCAGTCGTGGTCATGGGGAGCCTGCTGGGCGTTATCGTCGCAGGAGAAATCTTGAAGCGGCGGAATAGACGTTGCCGGGAGACTGGAGAGGGGGGTAGCAAGGGCGGGACAGACTTAGTGCAGGACAAAGGGAAAGATGTCTTCAACGAGAAGAGTCTAGATTCATCTGCATCGTCGCTTCGATATTCCCCAACGTACATGGGGAGTCCGGCACTTCATCTGGAACATGCGACTCGTCCTGTGGAAACAACAATGGCATCGACCTGGTTCTCACGGATTTTCTGGAAGACTCACGCAGGCTTGCATCGCAAGGACGCGGAATCCCCAGAAGCATCGCATACATCACGTACTCCTACAGAACGGTCCACAGAGTTGCCGCAGCGGACAACGTGGTCGGATTTTTCGTATGCACCGGAATCCTTGAGTTATCCCAGGCCGCTTTTGCATTGCATACTCGAGGAGTGCGAAGATGACTGTCAAAGTCAGAGCGAAAGTGAGATCGCCCTCACGTTGGGCCTTGCCATACAGCGTTCCCTAGATTCCGTTGCCTTCGCGTCGTCTGTCCACATGGCATCCCGAGCCAGATCGTTTGCAAGCCTTCGATTATCAAAAGCAGTGGAAGCAGGCTCTATCGTCGAGGAGGATTGCGCGGAAGCCCGGATGGACGCACAGGAAATAGGCGTTCCGACCTCCGTACCCATAGGAATGAGCGTGAGCCTCTCTGGTTTTGGACTGGTCTCCACGGCATCTTTGCAGACTCTCGGCACTGGAGCAAGCGCAGACCGCGAAAGCTTGAGAGAGGAGATTTTCGAGCTGCGAAGAGTTCAGACGAGGAGTATGCAGATGGACAAGCCCATTCTGCTGTCGTTAGGCATCAAAACAACAGGCAATGAAGACGAGACAGACGAGGACGATGAGCCATCAGATGCAGAAACCGAACATGCAGCCAGCGATAACACCATGATGACACCCTCGATTGCGGAACTGCTTCTTCCACCAGGGCGCGAGACTAGTCTACGGCCCGACCTTCGAGACCTCCTCGGATCCCAGATGACGTTAGCGACCCTGGCAAGCAGCTACAGTGCAGTGAACCTCGATGACTTTCCACTTCCTCCTTCCATTGTACTGCCACGTCCATAAATAAGAACAACTCTATCATGATGAACGGAAGCACGATGTAGATTGAAGGTATTAATAGAAGGAAATTGGACTCACGTTGGTAAGCCTGCAACAAGCCTCGTGAATGAAATCGGAAATGTAAGTGTGACAGACGTGTGAGTGACAGGTCACGTCATCTATTGTCCTCTGTAGCTCCATGAGATATATATCCATGCTGTTCCAACGTTGGACTGGACTAACTACCACGGCCTACCCAGGGTGATTGGAGCGCGCCATGATTTCTTTCTTTACTATTTTCTTCAGTTTCCCTTCTGCTATCGCTCTATTGCTTTCAAGTTATCTTGTGTACCATGTCATTATAGCACCGCGGTTCAACCCCCTCAGAAAGTTGGCTGGACCACCGTTGAAGGGGCCACTGGACAACCACATGTCACCTGTGCTCGAGTAAGTTCTCCGCCCCTCTCACTAGGCCTTTCTGCTCAGCACTTGTCCATGTGAAGCCCATTCAGGTCACCCAAGACTCATGCTGCCTATGTAGAGAAATATGGCAGGAATGTCCGTATAAGGGGGCTTGGTCCCGTGAGTGACTGGTCTGTAAATTACGAAACCCGCGAATAACTGTTCGACGTAGTGGGACGAACGCCTTCTCCCGCTTGACCCTGTTTCTGTTGCACACGTACTAAAGAACAGCACAATCTACGAGAAACCGTGGCAATCTCGGAGGCTCATCACGAGCCTCATTGGTTGTGGTATGCTTGCTGCAGAAGGTCATGTTCATAAGCGTCAACGCCGAGTCGCCACTCCTGCATTCTCCGTTCAGAACATGCGAGCCCTTGTACCTCTTGTCTTCGGCAAGGGAGAAGAACTCAAAGATAAATGGATGGACATGATTCAGGCAGTGAAGGAATGTGAGGCAACTTCGGAAAAGCAGAATTCCGACCAGATAGAAATAGACGTTTGTCATTGGATCAGTCGAGCTACCTTCGACGTAATTGGGCTAGCAGGTAATTCATGTTGGGTCGTACACCCAGTCTTATCTGACCATTCACACATAATTCATAGGTTTTGACTACCACTTCAATGCTATACAAAATGAGTCGGACGAGCTCTTTGCTGCGTATAAGGAGATGTTCGAGATTGCCGTCTCGCAAGGAGATGGCGTCAGGACAGTTCTGGGGATTTACTTTCCCATCCTAAATAGTCTTTTCGTACGTTTACATCGCTTCCTTCACGAGTGTGATCCTGACTGAGCTTTGCAGCCTGATAAGAGGGTTAAGACCGTCCACAGATGCCAAGAAACTATTCGCCGCGTAGCAGGGAAGCTAGTGCAGCAGAAGAAAACCAGAATCTTGGATGGAGAGAAGAACGGTTCCGCATATGCCGGCAAAGATTTGCTAAGTCTGCTGCGTGAGCCTGTCGTCGTTTCTTCATTTCGGCCAGCTGACAGATTCGTAGTGAAATCCAATATTGCAACGGATCTTCCACCGGACCAGCGAATTTCCGACGAAGATATATTACACAATATTAATACCTTCATGTTCGCAGGATCTGACACAACATCTCTCGCTCTAACGTGGACGCTTCTGCTCCTTGCAAGGCATCCAGAATTGCAAACTCGTCTTCGCACGGAACTTCTCTCTATTGTATCAACTACTCCAATATCCCGACTGTCAGCTGAAGAAATCGAGTCTCTGCACAACACCCTGCAGAACTTACCATACCTGAACAACGTCTGTCGGGAGTCGTTACGTGTAATCCCTCCAGTCCATTCTTCCCTCCGCGTTGCAACACAAGATGACGAGATACCTGTATCATATCCTGTCCACCTGAGCGACGGCACGATCTCGGAGCAAAAGACTATACGTGTGCCGAAGGGGAGCTTTGTGCATGTCCCGGTTGAGGCCTTCAATCTCGACAAGGGCATATGGGGGGCCAATGCTTGGGATTTTGAGTAAGCTTTTTCAACCCATTTAATTGAACCACGTCACGAAGAGAACTCGCAGCCCTGACCGATGGGATCATCTTTCGGAGGATGTGCTGTCACTTCCAGGCTTATACTCTAATCTTTTGACCTTCTCCGCTGGACCGAGGGTAAGCTTTACTAAGACTTTGTCGGCATCACTAATTTAGATCTTCAGTCATGCATCGGGATGCGTTTTTCCATGATCGAGATGAAGACATTTCTCTACATCCTTCTGACGACTTTCACCTTTGCCGAAACAGACAAAAGAATATACAAAGCCAACGTGTAAGTCGCGCACATAATAGTCCCGGGTTACCTGCTGACACATTTAACAGCGTGCTCACCAGGCCATATGTTTCCGGACAGTTTAAAAAAGGAAGCCAGTGTCCACTGCTTGTAAAACCACTTGTGTCGATTGCCACTTCCTAGCACCTCTAAGTATTTCTACATCTACTATATGTTAAGCACGCATACCCTACGCATACCCCCCACCACGGGTCGACACTGTGGTAGACTTGGAGGGAGAGGGACGTTGTATCTGTAACAGATACTATATCACATTAGGACTATGTAACTTTAAGTAAGCGGCTACCTAACCAAGGCCATCTTTGAATCGCATCCCCCTGCTCACAATACCCACATGTACAACTAGCGCTAGTACTAATTCAGTTCTCAGTTAACTAGTTGTATCCTTGTCGCCGCATGGAAAGGCGAGAAAGGGACTTTCCACCGCCTATGATTGCGAACAATTGTGGGCAATAACCAGTGTGCGCCTCTTAATGTTTAGACACCCGTAGTGCTGGTGGAACATGAAGCCAATCATGTCCGTCTACCCAGGTCATTGTAGCGATATTCCACTTCATCAAAGACCTCAGATCTCGACGCTGTACTACTGGTATGAGGGGAACGTATTAGCGGCCTATCTGTTCCTCATCAATCCTTGTTCAGTTACCATTCTTTTGAAGACCAGACTCCAACATAGAAAAGCTGATGGAATTATAGTTGGTGTGAACATAACATTACAAAGCTAGACAATATCGATACACGGCTACCTGATCTTGTGGTACAATGCAAAAAGTCATGGTACAAATCAAAACAACATATACACGTACACGGATCGCATACCAGATCAAACCGAGCCCAGCGCAGATTCCTTGACGCCCCTAGATCCAGCAAAATTCTTACCCCAATTCGTTACCCCCTGGCTCAATCTAGCAGCGACTCTCCCTAATCTCGATGTGCGACGAGGGGGCGGGGCCTTGGGAGGAGCCACGTCCATCTCCATGAAAGATCTCATAGACAACTCTTTGTTCTCCGGATATGGGAACAACTTTGCCGCGCGTTCCTGCAGGCGCGCATTGTTGAGAGCGGTTTCAGCCCGAGGCGCCCTAGAACGATTCTTGTCTGATGCCACATCGGGCATGGGGCTCGAGAAGTGGCGTCCATGTCCAGAAGGACAATCGGGAATACGAATGGCGACGCTGGACTGGTGCTTGCGCTCTCGTAGGAAAGCGGATGGAGGGGGTTTTCGGTCTTCCAAAGCTCCAGAAACCTTTTCTACCCTGCTGGACTTCCGCTGATGCGAACCGTGCGCCTTGAGCCTCGACAAGCTAGATTCAAGCCTGTCGAGTGCCGAAACACGCCTCACCGAGGGAGCTGGTAGAGATGGAAGCGGTGGCGGATTCCTGGTGGGTACATAGGACATGTCTCTGTATAAATCGACCACGACACTAGACGCGTCATGTATGAGCGGCTTCTCCACGTTGAAAATCTGTCCGCGGCGCCTTAGGTTACCATCGGCAGATCTGGCTTTGCGAAGACTGAGTTGTCGGTGGGGAACCGCGTCGCAATCCGGGGGGGTCACTAGAACGACGGGAACGACGGGTACATCCATCGACTTGGCAGCCACCACTTCAACTTGATCTTCACGTATGGAAGCATTACTTCCCGAGACTGAACCAGAAGTCACTGAAGGTTGAGGTGCAACGTCAAGAGGTTCGTCCACACGCTGACAGACACCCGAAGGAGTTCCGTCACCCACGTTGGCACCATCAATGTCCAAAAGAATACTGGGACTCCTGACAAGCGCAGCAGACTGATAAGATGAAGGTAGTTCCAGGCTCTGTGAGATTTCATGGCTATGCTGAGTCAATTGATCCGGCGTATCGAGGCTCGGAGGTGTGGATGCGATTGAAGCAAAGCCTTCCATCGTCGACTTTTCAAGCGGGAGGACCATCTGGCTCACTTCTTGAAGAAGTATGCTGCAAGAAGGCGTGAGATCTGCAAAGCCGTCCTCAACTTCTGCCGCCTCCCATGAGTAGTCGTCATCACTATGGGCGCCTAGAGCCTCATCTTCACCCATCTGCGACTTTGATCGAGACACCTTCACCCTATTGTTTGACCCCCACACCCTTAGAAATTCCCTGACGGCAGTAGTTTCATCCTCTGAGAGGAGGTTGCAGACCTCTGAACGTGAACGTGGGGGTAGGATGTCATGATCCAGCGGAGATGGAGGCAAGGAGGACGAATGTGTCACCGGTAAGTCCTTTGTGAGATAGGTGGGAAATTCATCATGAATGAGGTCATTTGGTCGGAAAGGCTCTCCAAAGTTGCGACAGAAGCGGCGAGACTTGGGAACATCGAGAGGCGTGTACTCTGAACCATGCTCCGATGACACACGGGTCGATGACATTGATGGCAGACTCTCCGTCAAGTGTATTTCGTCTGGAAGAGGCGGACTGGTCTTACCAACCACACAACTGGCTGGAATTTCTGGGAGCTTTTTGTTTCTCATCCCCATCCTGTCTCTCTCTCCAAAGAGATCTAGTCGTTGAGGGCTGCTTCGGGATAAGCAGACCAGCGTGTGGGCGCCGCTACCCGATTTTGAATCTGGTTCATAGAATTCGGAAAGAAATGCAGTTATAGGCGTCACTTCAGGAGATGCAATAGTGGTCGCCGGCGAGTAAGAAAGCTCTGGAGTTACGGGTGATAGCTGTCCTTGGGTGTTAAAACTTTCAGACCAAGACAACGCGCTGCGAAAATACAAGAATATTTTTTAGCGATTGAACACGAGGCCGTCTGGAATACACCAACCTGGAAGTCGACGCAGGAGAGAGAGTCAATGTCGAAGAGACAGGTTGGTCAGACAAGCGCGATGTGTGTGATGTGTCCGAGGGGAAACGAGCGTGGGTGGGGAAGGATGAAGCGCCTTGGCGTCGTGAAACGACGTTGTGGTCGTTTGAAGGAGGTTGGTCATAAGAATACGAACGTGGTACTCGCCGGGAGGGTCTGGAGCAGGCGTTCTCTTGCATTAGTTGAGCAGAATTTGTCGGCGACATGCCAAACGTAAAGCGTTGATATCGATGAGATTGATAGGCGTGTTCAGCTTTAATCGTCGGAATAATTAGAATATCCTAACGCTGTCAGTTGGGGGCGCTCACATAGTCAAGAAAATGCACGAGTAGACTGGTGTAGCACGGGTTTAAACCGGGATTATGAGAGAAGTGTGTTAGGCCGCGGCAGAAGCTTGTATCATGTGTACTGCAGGAAGACTTGAACCTGGAACGTCTGATTTTATTGACGCGCCGAAAGGGGTGATTGGAATGCAAATGCCGTGCAGCCCAATGTCTTCAACGAATCCCGAGCGCAAGTTCCAACGACAAAGGAGGCTGGTTCTCGACGTCTGAACATCGGGGACGTGCTTTATATCAGCGGACCCGCCGCACTGGTTTCGAAAATTATGAATTTGATCTGCATGACCTGCATGAAATCATTCGGAGGTTGAACACTCCCGTTGATCAGTGATCACCACCAAAAAAAAATTATCGCACTGTGCATACAGACTATTGGTCAAGCTAAGGTCCAGTACGAAGATCACTCAGATCACCAAGCGTTGAAATGACCGTCATCCCACGGCCGTTGGCTGATTTAGGCAACGAAAACTGTCCTTGGCACAGCGAACTTCGGTTCAACCCAAATGTCTCCTCCTTCGACTCATTGTGCATACCACTGCAGGTCACCGGTCACCTATGATATCTCTTGCTTAAATACCAAGCACAGATCCAGCTACAACTAGTACTAGGCTCGAATTTTTCTTCAATCCAGTGGGGGGTGCTTACATAAGTGAACGTTCTTACTATATCTAGTCAGCCAATTAAAATCGTTTCTTGTTCCACCGATGCCGTGGCCCCGAGGGTCGGCGTTGTGTCCCGGCCCTTTTACAAGATCATCTCTCATTCGGGCAAAAGCATGGGCATGATTTTCAGAGATACATGATAGAAACTGTGTTGACCCTACATCTAGTATGCCTTCTTGCTTGCTGTAAGCTGTAGGTGAGCACTGTGCTCGTCATAAGGCACTTTTGATACAGGAATCTCGCGCCATAGGTCAGGAGTGAGGAACGCGTAAGTTTTCGTAATCTAGCAGAAATGTGAGCGTAACACAATGAGGAAGCTAGAATACACATACGGCAGCAAAAGTGGCCTTCAAGAAATTGCCCATCGTTGCAGTCGAGCCCTTCGACTGCGTGTAGCAATCCTCGACACCAGCAAGCTGAAGCAGACGCTTTGATGCAGGAGCAGCGACGATACCAGTACCACGAGGAGCAGGGATTAATCGGCACATGACGGAGCCGACCTTTCCGCTGACCTTTGATGGCACAGTGTGGGGCTCACCAAGGGCTGCACCCCAGTAACCTCTTCGCACGGGAATGACGGAGAGTTTGGCGAGGATGATAGCACCTCGAATGGCAGTTGCAACTTCTTTCGCGCACTTCACGCCCAATCCAACATGTCCGTCAGAGTCACCGATGGCAACGAAAGCCTTGAAGCGGGTACGCTGACCGGCACGGGTCTGCTTCTGCACGGGCATAATCTTCATAACCTCATCCTTGAGCTTGGGTAGGAAGAAGTCGACGATCTGGAATTCCTTGACAGGAAGGGAGAAGAGGTAAATCTCCTCCATGGATTTGATTTTGCCGTCCTTAACGAGACGGCCAAGTTTAGTAACAGGGACCCTACAAGACCCAGTGTTATAGGCCGAGCGCAAGTAAAGAGAGGATGAATACATACCACTCCTTCTCCTCATCCTTGCGGCCTCCTCTGCGGGGCCCGCGACGACCTCTGCCTCGGTCGCCCCTTCCGCGTCCGAATCCACCGCGTCCGCGTGCTGCGTCAGCCATTATTTGTATGCGGAAATTTTACTGCGCAGATGATAGTCAGCACTTGAGATCACCGAGAAGCGATCGAAGTCGGGAGACATAAACGCATGAGACCAGCTGAGATACATCCGATAGTATATGGATCCATCCATCCAAAATACGATTATTTGACGTTCCTCGTGCGGAACCATCTGGATACTCAGCTGTGTGCAAGGGCATAGAGTTGAACTCACATCTCGAGGTTCCTCGGTGTTGGGCTCGCTGTCGATGGTGGTGTCTCCACTGTCTGTCTTCCAATGCAGCCGCAAAAGCCCTGCCCTGAAGCGGTAATGGGACCCCAATCACCCCCCTGACACGTTTCCTCCACACCGTTAGGGTAATAATACATTCTCGTCTCAAAAACTACGAGAATGTTATTTTTGTACTGAGACTAGTTCAGTTGTATATTCAGATGTTCGAGATTAGAGGTGACCGGGGGTTGTACAGTGGCAACGCGGTGCTGATGATAAATACAAGCATCTTTCGTCCCACGACCCCAACGTCCTCGCTCCATACAAAGACCAACAGTAAGCGCTCGTTTATTTCATCCAAGCCTCCAGTTAAACTGAAAGGACAGAATTTTTAATCACCCCAGTCAAGTTGGCAGAACATGTCCAATTCATCCATGTCCAATTTTTTGAAACAGCAATTTAGTATTTGCCCCACGTATGCTCTTCATGCTGTTTGGCGCTTGACTTTGACCTGACTATGTTATCCAGCAACGGCTGTCAAGCCGTTGGAGATGGGGCTTTCTCTGCTGACATGACTCCTAGTGTGCTTGCCGTTTGCCACATGCAGGGCACGGACGACATGTACTACTACTCTACTGCGTTCTCTGGCGGACCCGGAGTAAGTCATCGGTGTCATTCATGTTGATTCCCGGCACTGAAACTTTTCCAGTGGCGGGTTTGACATCCCTAATGCTAAATGCCCTCCTGACAGAGGGTCGTCAGACTGTGTGACAGGCAGTCCGGCGTCTTCAATTTCCTCTTCTTCTTTCTCGCATTACTCATCGTCTTCCAACACATCCAATAATTCACTTGTGCATCCGTCTTACTCGCCTTATCAATCTGCGGTTCCGCCTCGCGATATTCCTACCAGAGCATCTTCGCCCTACGACATTGCCACCCCACCCTTGACACCAGATGACGATGAAGATAGTGATGTCACTGGTATAACTACCAAGCATTCCAAGGATGCTTTGGATCTTCTTTTGGCCATCTTTCCTCGTGATGGATTGAGCCTTTTGCCTTATGCTAAGAGCGTCGTCGTCACCGCCCCGAATATGGGCACCTCTTTCGACGGTGTCGTGCTTGATTTCCCTGGAAAGACCAAGACACTTTACGTTGATGGAAAAAATGCCCAGGCGGTGTCCCTTCGCGAAAGGTGCGTTGTTTCGAGAAATCTAATGTCTGTGTTGACATGACTGCCGTAGCATCGTGGCTCTCCTCGATTTAGCCGACGAACAACTCCAGTGCTCAGCTTTAATCATCGCATTCAACAAGGTGTCCGACGGCCTGAGCGAACTCTTACATTCACTCATGTACGTTGGGGCAAGCGTTGTTACTAAACCACCATTCCAGGTTGATCCTGCGTACATCCTCGTCGGTGTGGAGATTTAGTTGGATGGCCAAAGGGAATGTGGACCAACCTCATGTATTAGGAGTGGGCATGACACACGACCAAATTGTTTCTTTATTATTGTATGCAATCAAATGACTCCTTTCTCTCTCTTATCTACGCAAATTTGGGCATAGTTGGCCTGTCAAATGCTATGAGAATTGCCTCGAGGCGCCTGAAGCTTATTATAAAACGTTTGCCCGAACCACTCATAACCAACGTTGTTTCTCCGTTTCGATCAACATAATATGGGATTCCTCGACTTTCTGTTCTCGGTTATCAAAGCATTTTGCGGAGAATCGTCTCCAGCAGAAGGCGAAAGGCCTACTGGCGAGCAGAGACCACCGCGACCACAGCAGCCACAAACACCTCTTACAGGTGCTTGGCCTTCTCAAGCTCAACATGATCGTATACGATACCAAGTAAGTTCTACTGGTCTGCGAGTGGTTCACTTATTGTACAGATCACTAAACCGTTGGTTTGTAGGACCAGAACCAAGCCAATCAACAGAATGAACACTTCACATCCCTCCGCGCTAAAGCGAACCAGGAGGGAGATGCGATGGCTAGATGCTTCCAGCAGAGCCACGAGGCGTATGCACGCCGCGCAGGTGCGCTAGCTAAGGAACTCTCAGAGAAGGGCAAGCAGCACGAACGTACCATGGAAGCCCTGAACGCTGAGGCTAGTGCATGGATATTCCGAGGTATGCTGTGTCACTTTCTGGCTTGGCATCTTACATTGGCCTCTCACAGAGAACAATTCGGTTTGTCGCAATTCTAGTGATGATGAGCTTGGTTGGTTTCTGATCTTTCTATAACGTGAACAGGACAGCAAGCCAGGCGAATTGGATCTACACGGGCTCTACGTCAAGGAAGCCATATCATATTCGGATAAAGCTATCAAGGAGGCTCGACAGCGCGGGGATTCACAAATCCGCCTCATAGTTGGTGCGTGAAATATTGAACATTGGCTGTTGTGCATAACTCATACATCAAGTATACAGGCAAAGGCTTGCACTCGAATGGCCAGGTCGCTAAGATCAAACCGGCCCTAGAGGACTTGATGAGACAGTACGTATGATTTGTTGGACCTCTTTGCCTATTAGCTAAACTATTTGTCATAAGGCACAACCTTCCTGCCGAGGTGGACCCACAGAATGCAGGCGTTCTGATCGTGCAGTTAGCTTGACCATCAACTGCGATACCTTTTTGTGAATACTGAACGGACGCATCTGATTCAATGTACTGCGGGTACATCCGACTGCGATATTGCGCTCGTCTCCAGTTCATCTGCGAAACAAAGGCATGATATTGATGTGTGTATAATTGTGTATTTGTTTTCATGTATACCACTGTGACATAACTTCTGATGCATGCTGCATACACGAGATGGCGCGTTGGTCAGGGTTCCCCATTGTTTGTGCATTATCCTATTTTCGTCGTGGAATCATATGTGGGCGTAGCGCTCAATTCGCTGGATAAAACCCTCAGGTTTAACGATAAGGCCCTTTGATCTGTCTCTGTTCCCACATCATGCAGATCATCCCCTCTCTGCTATCGGTCCTCGAGGCCCTGCTCAAGAGCCCAGCTTGGTTGCTGCGGAAAATACTCAGTTTATTCGTCGGCAAGACCGAGTCCCCGCCACTCCAGGAACCATCTTCGGGTTTATATCCACCATCCGATTCACCATACGAAGGCACTCCCTCGCAGCGGAAGCCATACGACAGATATCGCCAAGTCTCGCCACGGCATCCAGCGGTTGAACCCTACCAGACCCCTTCGCAGCACTCCGACTATCAAACACCTTCGCCGCAATCGCCCTATCGTCCTCGTCGCCAACCGAGCGCACAATATCCTACACAATCCGCCCCTGTCGTACCTCGTGATGTCCTCTCGGTGGTCAAGCCTGTCAGTCACATCCCTCAGGTTGGTCCTAGCATGCTTTATCTGCTGTTTACTCACATCTCCAACACGTAGCGACATCGTGATGTCCCTTCGGTGGTCGAGCCTGTCAGTTATATCCCTCAGGTTGGTCCTAGCATGTTTCATCTACTGTTTACCCACATCTCCAACACGTAGCGACATCGTGATGTCCCTTCGGTGGTCGAGCCTGTCAGTTACATCCCTCAGGTTGGTCCTAGCATGCTTCATCTACTGTTTACCCACCATCTCCAACACGTAGCGACATCGCGATGTCCCTTCGGTGGTCGAGCCTGTCAGTTACATCCCTCAGGTTGGTCCTAGCATGCTTCATCTACTGTTTACCCACCATCTCCAACACGTAGCGACATCGCGATGTCCCTTCGGTGGTCGAGCCTGTCAGTTACATCCCTCAGGTTGGTCCTAGCATGCTTCATCTACTGTTTACTCACATCTCCAACACGTAGCGACATCGTGATGTCCCTTCGGTGGTCGAGCCTGTTAGTTACATCCCTCAGGTTGGTCCTAGCACGCTTCATCTGCTGTTTACTCACTTCTTCGACACGTAGCAACATCGTGATGTCCCTTTGGTGGTCGAGCCTGTCAGCTACATCCCTCAGGTTGGTCCTAGCATTCTACATATCCTGTTTGCTCACCTCTTCGATGCGTAGCAACCACGTCGTCCTTCTGTACCTGAATTAGCTACAAGAGCGCCGGAGGTTACTGTAGCGCCCATAGAGATTGACCCCCACGAAGACCCCGCGTCTCTTCGTCACAAAGCCAGAATTGAGGGAAATCGGATGGGGGAATATTTCAAGCAGAGCAAGGAAGCATTTACTCGCAACGAGCGAAGGCTCGCTAAACAGCTTTCTCTGATGGGTGAGGCGCACAAAGACAACATGGTGCGCTTAGATAAGGAAGCCAGCACGAAAATATTTCAAGGTATGAAAGTGATGAACGGAACGTGCGGGATTCACTAACTTACCTCCAACCTCATGTAGAGAATAATCAAGTTTGTTGTCGTTCTTACCAAGGCGCCGCTGTCTGACGCTTTGTTCCAGAAATGCAAATCCAATACAGTTGATCTCCACGGACTCTATGTCCCAGAAGCCTTGCTCCGCTTCGACGACGCTGTTCAAGAGGTTCGGGACCGTGAAGGATTGTCACTTCGTGTGATCGTAGGTAAGACATAACCGCACATTCCAACTCTAGAAAAAAAGTTTCTCATTTTGCGAAAGGAAAGGGAATTCACTCCGATGGTAAGGGCCCGAAGATCAAACCAGCAATCCAGGATCACGCGAAAAGGTATGGGCTTCGCAATAAGTGTCTCCGTAAGTCGGTTCTCATCGTGAATGTCGTGCAGTTTGGGTCTACCCATTGAAGTCGATCCACTCAATGACGGCTGCCTTGTTGTGAGTCTGGTAACGGAGGCTAATGACCAACTCGGGTAAAGAATGCTTTTTTCTGTGCTGTCCTCCCTCTTTTCATACCCAAGGATGTATGATACTGTACTTGAAGGATAAGTGTCTTGGTGTACTTAGTGTATGATATCGTGTATGATGTAGGCCGGCTTGTTACTACAGTTTACTGGTTCAACGACGTCGTGTATCGATTTAAAAAATTACGGAGGCAAGTGCTAACTCGCCTAGAAGGAACGACTATCTTCCTTTCGAATTCGTCCATGAGTAGGTCTGACCACTAGAGAGTCGAGACTACAAAGTACACTGTTTACGTAAATATTGAGGTAAGTTCAAATCGTTTATCCAGCCAGACTTGTACTATTGGACTAGTCTTACTCTAGGCACCAGGCAGCTGAATTCGCGGGTAGCTGGCTGGCCAGCACACAACATCGAATCTTTAGACGGACCCACTGTGCACCGATGCAGCGAGTGTCCACATTTCACTCTCGAGTGCGCACACTCCTTAGTGCACTGCAGAACTCTCGTTCGTACGCGTCCAGGAGTACCAATCCCTACCCATATCCAACACAAACAAACCCCCAGCCGCACCAAATTTTCCATTTACCGCGAAATGCAAAGCAGGAGGACGTGAAACGGAGATGCACGTATCATCTCATACTACTACTGCACTCGCACGACCTAACGCAAAGCAGATTATGAACTTGTCCGAATTTACCACCCTGACTCGGCTGTCGCTCGTTATTATCCCCCCGAGGTGTCGCAGGCGCGATTTCAAGCTATTTCTCGAGCGTATGACATGCTTCGAGGGAAAACATCTGCTTCAGGCGAACCGGTAGAAGCCACTCACAAAGCGGACCCGATACGATGGTCAGCTAGGTCGCGCCGCCCTCATTTCGACGATACAGCTAGCGATGAACGGTGGAAAGAGAGAGTGATTATGGTTACTGTTTTGCTGGTAAGTGCCTGTTCTTACGTGGACTGTTTCACCCGATCATTCTGTTCTAGACTCTTGCTGCATTTGTTGCACAGACTAGCTGGACTCGCCAGCAGGCTATTGCAGAAATGTCGAGTCACGGACGGACATCCCATTCAAATGTGAAGCCAGGGAATGTCGATGGTGTCCTTGCTGCAGACCATGAAGATGGATCACTGGAAGGCATTAATCACAACCAGGGAGATCTTCGCAGCAAGCGTTGACTATCACACTATCCCCCGCTTCACTCACTCCTCTGATCTATGGCCGTCGTCATGGTGTACGACGGGTTCCCGTGAAAGTGTATTGGTTGTCGACAGGCGGCATTGGACATGCCCACCCAAATAATCTTCCATCCCCATGAGGAGCCGGGCGGGGTAGTATATTGATTCATTGGTGCCGCCAAGCTATTGATTAGGGTTGAGTAAGTAGTCAGTGGGCGATAGGAATGAAGATAAACTTCAGGCTGCATAGACCTCGAAAACATCACTACGTATCCGTTAACATGTAAGGGATGGAAGCATCGTGGTGTGGGAAGTTCTGACGAAAGAAAGTGTGCCAGTCTCGTCCAGGGACATCAGGGTGATTGTTTCGAGGGTCACATTTGCACCAGACGGCGAGTACATCACGGTACACTTGTGCTGGAGGGCGATGAGTGAAACACTGCTAACTTGTCGTGCTCTGCAGATGGAAGAAAACTAACACTGCAGGTACCAGCAAATAAATCATCATCTGGAAAGCAGCAAGCGGAGAATTCAAGTTGAAAACAGCCGCTCGGGCAAGCGAATCGGATTTAGGTCAGTGCAAACTTGTAAGGACATTGGAATCTCATAGTATGCTACCACCAGATTCGGTGTTTGGCGCGCATGGAATTCATTCACTTGCTTCCAATGGCACTGCATTCGCCACCGCATGATGTCACTGAGCGACAAGACACTCTGACCACGTTTGAACCCACTGGCAAATCGCCCGAACACCGATGCCGCGTCTTTCTGAGGACATCTAGCCAGCTCATTGCAACTCGCTGTGAGGAAATTCGAACTCGTTCTCATATAGACAGTGCGCTCGGAGCGAGTCAGAGAAGGAGTCTTAGCAGGTGTGCAATTTCTCCTGTCAAAAGTTACTTATGTGGGTTGACCTGCACTATATTATGTCACACTTGTCTATTGCACTTGCCCTGGCAATTTCATTCCTCCAGAAGAACATCCCAAGCTTAAAGCGTCGACCAGAACGCACTGGACTCCCGTATGGGTTCTTCGATGTGTTACAGCACTATGTTTCCAGTTAATACGCGCTCACCACCTTGGCACAACAACCGCACCACTCTCACCACTAGCTATAGCCTCGCAGCATCGTGCAGAAGGCTCCCGCATCAAAAATCATGGCCTGTCTCTTGTTTCGCTCCCACGATCCTCAGGATCGCGCTTCCCGCCCCGCAGGGTTTCAATTATGGACGTCTTTGCAACCCGAGGTCAATATGTATGCTTTTCCGAGGATCATCATCCATCCATTTTCTATCAAATTCTGCAGCGCAACGCGAATGCCATCAGCGGGAGAAAGCATTTTCCTGGTCTAACGCCAATATTCGTCTCGAATACCTCAAACACCAGCGGGACGTCCAACATTATCGGCGGGGCTACCCGACGACCGTGTGGACTCAAGTGCCAGTGCCCCGCTAGGCCCTGGGGCCTGAACGTTCCAGCATCTCACGCACTCGACAAGTAACTGTTGCTTCCTGCTCCCGTTAGGCTTTCTCCCCTCGAAATTCGCAGGCATGAACTTTGTGAGTGGGCACTTTAAATTTATGAACCTTGTTCAGTCTGGGAGAAAGTGCGAAAATGATTTCCACAGGAAAGTCTTGAATAACCTCGCAATTCGAAATATAAACGAGGGAAAATGAGAATGCTTAACAAGGTTTACATAGGTGCGCTGTCATCCACGTTGATCTCATCCTTGGTCATGCTATTCTATATTTGTCCATCATCCCTATTTATCAACAAATCATTTTGTTCGTATTACGCATACACATATATTTGGGACGAGGTCAATTATATCCTTCTATACTTGCCACAGCTACGTCAAGGGGGAATGCACTCATCTCTCGTAAGTTCCGACACACCCCATAATTCCTTCATATGGTTCCCGCGGTTTGGGTGCCTGTGCTTGATATCCCCCCGCATCGTGATTGAGCAACTTCTGGCCAACTAGTTTTTCGACCTTCCAAATTGAGTGCATTCAGCTAATCTTCTGTTTGGTTACTCCATGGCATTATGCCCGGCAACGATAATCTTCCTCTGCAACCTTCTATCTTTTTCTGTACATTTGACCGACTTTCGTACGTCTTTTACAGGCGCTCATTGATAACAAGCCTCGTCAAGCATCGGTGGAGCAGGTGGAGCAATTCGAGAAACCCTGACCCCAACTGGGGGAGAAATATGACGTGTTCTGTTGCAGTCGCATCACGTTCGCAAGTATAAAGATTCTTATACGACCGCCTATCAGCCTCCACAGTACTTATTAACCTGCTCATCGGTACGCTCATGGGGTCGCCCTTCGTTACTCTCCCGCCTGAGCTCTTACTCCTCGTCTTCTCGCTGGCATCTAGTCATCGTCCCACTGCTGTGGCACTATCGCTTGTTTCGCACTGGGTGCACGATCATGTCGAACGCAACCTTTACCACACAGTCTCCCTCTCATCCAGTCGTTCCCTCGTAGCATTCATTGCTACCCTCAACTCCAAACCAGATGCTTTCGCGCAGAATCTAGTGCAGAGGTTGAGCGTGACTGCACTGGGTCCTATCAGCAGCATAGATGAAGTGCTGAAAAAGTGCACTGGCGTCAGAAGTCTCGTTTGTGGATTTTCCGTGCCTTTATACGTCCATTGCGCTCGGGGCCTAAAGCAGCCCGTCGCGCCACTGGAGACCACGACATTTCGCCTTCCTATCGCACCCCACGAACAACACCTCATAACGCTTGCTTGTCGAGATGGTCTCGACATGTCCATTGTCTCTCCTCTGGTCACCCACCTCAGTATGCAATTAACACCTGCTACAACATTTGAGAGTGTCGCTCGTCTCCGAGAGCTACCTTATCTCACGCATCTGGCGATTATGTATAGGCACGGGCTGTATGGAAGTGCTAGTTCCGTCAAGGAGATGCTCGAACCCGTTTTGGAGGAAGGAAGACTCGGGATCCTCGTCATTCATGTCACGGGTGCAGGGGGCGAGGCACACCGCAAAGAGATTGAAGAGTGGCGTACTGATTCAATTCTCGGTACCACTATGCAGAAGTGTCTTGGACACCGTCCCCCTACCCGAATCATAGCGAAACGAGCCACAACTGCTGTTCTTTCTCAATGGGAGCAAGGAGATGACATCTGGGATGTCAGCCCCTGACAAATGACCTTAGAGGTCGTTGTGGATATGATACAGTCATCCTGCCCAGACCAATTAGCCTAGTATTATGGTTTTGCAGCGGGGTGTCGTATACACTGAGCTGAAGGAATCGCAGCTGTAGAACAAGATTGTAGTATGGACCTTGTCGGACTTTCGTAGTCTTACAGGTGCTGCATGTCGAGGCAAGATCAAGCACTCGATTACATGCAGAAACGACAGCAAATATCAAAGAAAACTGATCAGTAGCTAAGACTACGACGAATGGTATGTAAACTAGAAGATAAATAAATCATTCAGTGAGGCCCTAACATCAAGTATCACGAAGTTGATCATGAAAAGTCGTTAAATACATAAACCCTGTCTACCCGCTGAGATTAATAGTGCCCGGAATATGAAAGGATATGTCCCTGGGAGTATTCACCCCCTTTGGCGTGCGGGGCCTGGCTGGGACGAGGTGGAGGAGGGCCGACAATCGATGAACGAGGTCCATATGGTTGCTCCCACTCGGCTGCTGGCCACTCGTACCTACGGTGAAGGACGACATGAGAAGAGGTAGTTTTAATGAAACGAAAGGCAGACCTTGATTCCGCAGGAGCGGCATATGGATAATGCACAGTGTCGGCACGCATGTGGCCATTTCCACTATGTTGGGCGTAATTACTGAATGGTGAACAGGTTGCTGGTTCAAACTGCGGGCGTGATACGTGACGCTCGCTACGTGGCACTTTTGGGTCAGGTCTGTGCACCAGGTTCGAAGTTATCATTATTCCAGAGTCAAGGCTGGAGGCCGAGGCCTTCCTGCCTTCTATGGGATGATGAATGGCGGGATCGTCATAATTATGAGGATGGGAAGACAGTAGGGACAGGGGACGAGTCTGGATCTGAGAGCCCCAAGGGGTTGCCCCACTTTGCGGTAGTCCATGGGACGCCCACAAGGGTAGCACTGCAGGAACTGGACGTCTGGTAAGGTGCGGGAAGTCGAACCACTGAGGGCTGCGGTTGACGGGTTCGGCCGGTGTTACGTATGGGTATGGTGTGATCGGCGGCAGCGCAGGACGAGAATGGGCGTGATGTTCTGGTAGTGGCAACAAAGTGCGTGCGTCGCCTTTTCCTCCGTAACTTTGGGGTGACAGGCTAGCTTTGCAATTATCGCTTCTAGAGCCGTTAAGGCTGTGCGGCATTGAAGTACTAAGGTCCTTTCTAGAGAGCAGGAAACCTCAGTAACGATCAGACAATAAACCACTTCACGTACAAATACATCTCGGCATTTCTCCATCGCGGTTTCACATGTTCAAGCACTTTAATGAAGAAAGAGACGTCTTCAAGAAGCTCCGCCATCGCAATCGCAAGCGTCGGCTTCACATCTTCTGTTCCACCAGACTGGAGTTGTTTGCGCTCTTGCCATTTCAAGTCCCAAAAGTGCATGAGAAGAATCGCAGCACACATGTGTGACCCGCATATGAGCGTGGGTACATTGGATATACCCTGCTGTATCTGCGACCGAAGTATCTTCGCACACGATTTTCCTGCATTGACACAGACAGCAATGCAGGGGACGGGCATGTTTGCGTGCGGGGGAGAATTAGAGAGTGAGCGAAGTGAGCCGGGCAAGAAGGGACGGTAAATGAGGATGTGAATGAGGTAATAGGTGGTGTACAGCGTGACCGACTGGTTAGCGAAGTATGGATCTTCCATGTGAGGTGACCATTGCACTGCAATCCAAATGTGAGATGGATCGACGCCAATGATGATAATGAGTGGTTACTGACAGTGAGGAGGCACCGAGTCAACCCATTCGGTCATTGCGGTACTAAGGTGATTCAAAACCTCTTGCCACCGCGGACGCGCGGCACTAACCAATAACTTGGACCTGTCAAGGGCATACTACGCCAAGAAAAGGTTTAGTCACTCGTAAGAGACAACCGAGGGATGGGAAAACGCACAATGGTCCTTAGAGCATATGCCGAGATCTTGGTCAACTTTAGGTAGGAATTGAAAGCTGCTATCTTTGATGGCTTTCCCGGTGGTTGTTGAAATGCTTTCTCGGGATCTTCGGGTTCCCAGTATTCATCGTCAACTTCCAGTGGAAGGTCGACGTCAAAGCTGGATAATGATGCGTCAGAAGGGTCACATAGAAAGCCCTGTGCCCCTTACTCCTCTTCCCCCGAACAACATGGACGCCCAAGAGCAGCGCTTCCTATCCGGTCGTATAGCACAAGCACCCAAAATGCTCTTTTCCACAGTTCCTCCTCAACACTTGGCTTCGCTCCGTAGATCTTCTTGCGGTGTGCACCAACGTCCTGAGCTTTTCGGAGGCCAATACTAATGAAGAGCCATGCGACTGGATGAAAAGCGGTACCGCGTAAAAACATGCCTAGCAACTGTGCGATAAATGTTATTTTTGGAGATCACTGTTATCTTTGTAAAGTTACTCACAGACATGGTCTGCACCTCAAAGAGGCCAGGGGGATGGAACAAGCTTCGAGAATCGCGGTGAACATCTGCAGATAACAATGAGATCCGCGATAAAAAATCAACGAGATTGCTGGCATACCAACTGCCGCATTAAAGTACTTCCAACCTGCTCTTTGCCACTTGCACCCCTCGTCAGGTATCTCTGCCTCGGGGATGTCGTACTCGTGACCATCCAAAACGCGTGGATCGTCGCACCAGCGGCTAGCAACAGCAAATAGCGACAAGCAAAGGCATCCAAACCAAGGATCTTTTTGTTGAAGACCCTCCTGCCACTGCCGTTCAAATGTCGGCCGATGGAAAAGCGGACATTGAGGGTTGATATGGAGAAAGAATAAATCGATCAAACTGTCAGCCAAGTCAGGAGAAGGGAATTCCTTTGTTAGCGAGTGGCAGAGGGTCTCGAGCCTGTCTTGGAAACCTTCGAAAGCAAGTTCCCACTAGAACAAGCGATGAGTACTTTGATGTTCTGATAAGAATAGATGCTTACTGAAGGCGTGGTCCAGAATTCTGGCCGTCGTATTGGTGTAAAACTGACAGAACTCGTCGATTCTGGTGAGCTGCGACAGCCCTGCCCACTCTCAACATCAGTCGAGTATGACTCTTGAATTATGCGGTTCATGTGTTCTTCCCGGAGTTTTCGAGTTGGTTCGATGAGTTTGAAGCAGCTACTCTTGCCATGGAAGCGAACTTGACTATCCACCAATGAGGAATGTTCCTGGGCAGGCTCAAGCCCACGAATGGTTAGACGCTTCATGCCGCGGGAAAGACTCAGTTCGCCAACTTCTTCACTCTCCGAGGATGTGTTCGCGTCCGATGATAAGTCAGTATCAGTGCGAGGGGTGCCAGCGGAACGCCGACTCCTAATACTAGTGCCAGATGAACCAACAGGTAAGCCAGCACCGACAGAAGGAGACCCATGAGCTCGCAAAGGAGCGATTGGTGATGATGATTTTTCATGAGGGGAAAGACGGTGCTGCGGTTCTGTATCATGTTTCCATGAATCACGGATAACTGGTGAACCAAGCTCTTCCGAGAAGTCAGCTTCAGGGCGGAGCTATACAATAGTAATCAGTCAGACAGGAACAACAGAATGGACAAGCGGAAGATAGAATGCAGTTTCCTCCATTGATAAATGTGATGGAGTTTGATGGGTCTGGTTGCAATGGAGGACCTTGACACACTCTCGAGACACCCAACACGCCGCGCGGGGGTGAATTGACGTAAGGTTTACGCACCCGCTTTAAAAGTGCCTCCATTCTTTCCAACCTGTCCTCGAGACCGGTGATGTATCTGCACACGGTCTCAGTTTCTATTGTCATGATTAGTCAGAGAACAGGGATAGTACTGACGCCTTTGGAGGACCTCTAGGCTTGGAAGCCTCGCTGTAAGAATCACGGTCGTTGAGCAACTTAACTTTGTTTGGGCAAGAGATCCTTGGACATACACGTAAGAACAGGTCTTGCGGTTCTGTGTACAGTTGGTACAGATATTGTCAGGCATGTGCGGGCCATCACACTTAGTCTTTCTACGGCGGCAAGCATCACAGGCCCGTTCGATCTTTCGCTTCTTGTAGGCGACTTGATCACTGGCGTATGATGAGGTCTGCTGTAGAGTGACCATGGACGTGCTGGCCATAGGCTGCTGGGACACGACATAAGGGTCGCCAATATCTACGACATTAGACGAATAGGCGTTTGAAGAGTAGTAGGGACGAGTAGAATGCATAGGAAGAAGGGTAGAAGGATTTGCAACGATGCGATGATCGGAGGGAGCAACGAGAGAGGAAAGGAAGGGTCACGATAGTATTTCGAGCGTGCTAAAATAAAACTGGCGGCAGGGCGCGGTAACAAAATCAAAGACTGCCCTGGGGAATTAGGCGTCTGAAGGAAATTTGGTCGACCTAGAACGATTGCTAGGATGTGAAGATCTGCTTTAAGGGTGTGAAAGTCAAGAAGAAAGGTTCAATACAAGAAAACATAGCATTAATCACTATTCACGACAAACCAGGTTAAATATTTTTGGTCAGCACATCCCTCCTCACGTTCAGTCTCACGTGCTCGTCGGACTTTCAATTATCGGTGCCGTAATCTAAGCCGATATTTACCAAATATAGACAGATGTTATTCTATTACTTTCTTTTCTACCAAAAATTAAAATGACTTCCCCCCGCACAATAACCCTAAAACAGCCTAAAGTAGCCTAAAGTAGTCATAGGCGGGAACCCGCCGGCAGTCTGCGATCGATCGACCCTTTTGCCGCCGGCAACCTTGGGTCGCTGAACCACAAATTTCGAACAAACGACATCGCTGGGCAGTTGAAGGCTTCTTTTAAAGAACCAAGAAGGTTCATCTTCTTGAAAACTATCACTCAAGTTGGTCCTTCACTATCACACGTCATTTGATACACGTCGAGGTGAGGTATCACCATCGAGGCTGCCGCCTGTGCTAACCAGTGCTCATCCAGGCCTACAGCCGCTTTGTACCAGCAAACTAAAACACTAAATAATCGTACTAGTAACGGGCTCGTTTTTTTAACATAATCACTGCCTCGGCAGGTATTGTGATTGTGGAGTCATCTGGTCAACCGTACCTCAAAAGAACTCGCTAGTGAGTCATTCCAAATGGAGAGTCGGTATTAAAGCATTCCATGACGCAGCGAGTACTAGCTTGGTAAATCTTGAAGCCCCTTATGCTATCCCGCATCTCCTTCCATCCTCTTCTTCGGCTCCGTCCATTGGAATCAGCCCCGCAACAATACCTGGTTTTCCCAACGCGACGGATGAATTCGTCCAACTTGAATAGACCTTCACCTCCTCCCCTTCCACGCGAACTTCAACGAGAGTTCGAAGAACTCCAGCGTAGTGCCCAAATGCCCCTCTCATCTCCAACCCTCTCCTATGGAGAAGCGGAGGCACAAATGTCGTTACATCCTGATGCTCGCAAGCCTTTAACGCCCGAGTTTGAGGGTGACATCAACCCCAAAACTGGAGAACAAGGAGGTCCGAAGAGGGAGCCTGTCGGGAAATGGACTGAAGACGGCGGCGACTGGAGTTTCAAAGGACGTGTCTCTGACTTCTAGTTCGACTAGTTACGACCCAATTGATTTTATTTTTAACTTCATCAACCCATTTCAGCAAGATGACATCCCGGCGGATTGCTTCTACTTTGGTACACTTAGAACGTTGACAGTCCTCTTGCTTAACGTTAACCCAAACTTAGCCCCGCTGAAAGTTTGGTCGCTTGCACACTATGCATCAGTATTAATGATGTAACGTACGAAGAACGTTCCTGCAAATGGTTAAAGTAGTGAGTCATTGTAGATACTATCTGAGAGTTGCAACTCGAAACTCGTGAGACGTCGCTTTCCTCATTTCTAGCAATGAGTGAGTGAGTGAGTGAGTGTCGGTGCTCAAGAAAGTCTTGAGCGTAAAGCAAAAGTGAGCTCTTCCAGACGAATATATTTTAGGATGCATTAGAGGGCCCTAGCTTGCAACCAAGAGTTGCACGAAGGAACCCTTGCAGTCAAAAAAACACAATGGCGTTGCACAGGTTACAGAATTATGATAATATGTACATTTTTACCGCAGCCGCAGGGACGTCATCACCTCACCTCCTGATGCCTCTTGGGGCGGGAACGCCACGTCCCCGACGAGCTATGATTTCAATTAGATCGCGGGTTCCAGAAGAAGAAGAAAACAATACCGTTCGCTAAAGACATTGATCAGTTGGTAAATAATATAACACAGATAAACACAAGAACGAACCTCTCATGATAGTTGCGCGACCACGGGCAGTACCAATACCTCTTCCGCGCATGGCGTTGGGACCAACTCGCTTGAACCTAAGTAAAAAGATCAGGGGGATCTTGAAATCCAATCGCGAGCGGACATGCAACTTACATGGGGGCATTCTGCAGCATATCCGGTACAATGAAGAATCTGACCATACTTCCCCTGATATACACCTGATCTAGTTGCGATACACGACCATCTCGTCCTGTTACTGTTATATCTCTGAGCGAGATGTTCAAGTTATCTTCGGCTAGCAAAGTAGATGAATCAGACAGGATCTATGACAGTGATACTGGCAAATAGACGTACCTTCAGCGAGTTTTCCACGATAAAGTTGACCTGTCTTGAGTTCCACGGTAACGATGTGTCCCAAGGACTCGTGGAGTAGCTTAACTGGCACACCAAGACCCGTGTTTGCCATTTCTGAATGGTTGTCGGTGTTGGGTTCGAATTCTTTGGGAGGAGTGTTGTTTGGTCTTGCTTGGTAGCTACATTTTGTCTTTCCTAAGTCGGAAGTGCCTGTGGCCGCAGCACGCGGAAACTCGAAAGCGGACAGTCTTGTTTTGACTTGCTCAGCTCGTATCAAGCCGGCACAGTGACATCGCTCGTATCCTTCTTTCAAGTTCTCTAGAGCAGCCAGCATCAGTGACTGCTGTATGTTTCAGCTCAAAGGCATGAATTCCTGTCACACGAAGCGCTTCTGTAATGCTAACTTGAGAATGATTTAAAGCCTCACTCCCATGTCTTTACCCAAGAGCCCTTCCTTCGAATCCCTCCTCGCACTCACCCAATCTGGTCCTTCTTCAGCACTTCTGAGTGGCCCATCCGATACGGATTACCGCAGGCAACGCCTGCAGCGAATTGGCAGCTATACCGTAATGCCCACAACACAAAATCAAGTGGCAGACGAGGAGACCACTGCGTTACGCACGGTTCCAAGCCGCACTAGCTACGGGACATTGCCCTCAGTTCGCCCGCGTCGCTCAACCACTAAATCACTCGCTCATCGCATTCCTACTCTCACAGACACCCCTATAGTACGTAATGCATCAGTCTCAGATCCAGACTCTCCTCTGGCCTTCTCACCAACGTCTCTACGGGACACGTTCCGCCGCCGCATCTCACAGCAGCGGCCCATATCTGCCTACGATGCCCCGCTCGTAAACTCCAAAGTCAATACTGCGGACGGTGACATCGACGTTCGAATAAACGGGTTTCGCGTATGGTACACTTCGTTCTCGTCTATTGACTGGCTACACGATGCGATCAAGGACTCGGTCCGGTTTGCACGACTCCGGCGCGGTAAATCCATCCGCTCCCGGGTCCGACTTGCGTTCGACAAGAGTCTTGGATGGATCATTGTCACTGTTGTCGGGTTCATCACTGCCATAGTTGCATTTCTTGTCCTCCGTGCAGAACAATGGTTGTTTGATATGAAGCAGGGCTATTGTAGGACTACGTGGTGGCATGCGCGATCGTTTTGCTGCCCTCAGACTGATGAGTATGGGGCCTTGGAGGACCTTTGTCCCGACTGGCGGACCTGGTCAGATGTATTCGCATCATGGACTGGCAGCAAATCGGGAGGTGACAACAGTGTGGTGCAGTATGTCGCGTATACAATCATTGCGGTAGGCCCCCCGGCTGCGTTGTTGAGTTACGCAATATCTCATGTATTCTTAGGTTTTATTGGCCAGTACTTCATCACTCCTCACAATCTATCTCACAGCGTCAACGTCTTTTGTCACCCGTAAAGAATCCGGGGTTCTTTCCCCGGGATTTGACAAGAGTGATGAACAGAACCAGTCAAACTCCTTGCAACCCAAACGACAAGTCCTTTACTATGTACGTACAAGGCTTGCTACAAAGTGCCCGCGGTGTTTATGATATGCGACAACAGGCTGCTGGGAGTGGGATTCCGGAGATCAAGACCATTTTGTCTGGTTTGTGACCGCCAGAATGAATGATTAAATCTCAACACCTTCTATTATTGCAGGTTTCGTCATCCATGGTTATCTTGGTGGGCGCACGCTATTTACTAAAGCGGTCGGACTGGCTTTGTCAGTTGGTTCGGGACTGTCTCTTGGTAATCACTGCAGATTTTTATTTGGGACGTAACCATTGACTTTGAATCTGACCAGGCAAGGAGGGGCCTTTCGTCCACATCGCGAGTTGCATAGGCAACATCGTCAGTCGTTATCATAGCAAGTATGAAAATAATGAAGGTTAAATTCCTAGCGTTCGGGTGTCCTCCTATCTTCATGTATTTCTTCCAGCCAAACGTCGTGAGATACTCAGCGCCGCGTGCGCAGCAGGTGTTGCTGTTGCATTTGGAGCTCCCATTGGCGGTACCCTGTTTAGCTTGGAAGAAGTTTCTTATTTCTTCCCGCCGAAGGTAATATTCCTCCATTTGTGTTTGTCAATCTCTAAACCCTGTTGAATATTTCAAGGTTATGTGGAGAAGGTAGCCACCAGACATTCCACGATTCCTTCATGTTGAATTTAATTTGTTAGCTTTTTCTGCGCGATGATAGCGGCCATAACTCTTCGGTTCCTTAATCCTTTTGGAACTGGCAAACTTGTATTGTTCCAGGTTACTTATGACAAGGTTTGGCTCGCAGCATTTGACTGATCGCTCGCTTACCGTATGTGAAAGGACTGGCATGCATATGAACTGATATTTTTCCTCCTACTCGGCGTTCTGGGAGTGCGTGTCTCATTTCTCTTGGAGGACAGTCTATTAAACAGGGATACAGGGAGTATATGGCGCGTACTTTTCCAAGCTGAACTACCGTTGGAGTCGTTACGTTCGTGGCGGAACATGGCTCAAGGCGCATCCAGTAGCAGAAGTCGTTCTTGTAAGCATCAGCTTGTTCATTCGAGTATTCAACCTTCTCAGTGATGTAGGTTACCCTTGCAACCGCTGTCTTGTGCTTTTTAAATCCTTATGCACGCATGGGGGGCACAGAACTTGTTTACAATCTCTTTTCAGAATGTCGCACGGGCAACCAAAACATTCATTTTGATTTGTGCGTCCTGGATCCAAGCAGTTTCGACCGTGTCTGGCCCATCGTGCGAGCGATCCTTGTTGCTATGATAGTCAAGGGTTTCCTGACCATAATAACATTTGGCATCAAACTGCCAGCTGGGATTTTTATACCCACCCTCGGAGTAGGTGCATGCGCTGGACGGATTGTTGGCATCGGTGTGCAATGGCTTCAGTACCATCACCCGAATAGTGCCGTCTTCGCTGTGTGCGAAGGTGATATGGACTGTGTCGTGCCTGGCCTGTATGCAATGGTGGGAGCTGCAGCGGCCTTGTCTGGCGTCACGGTAAGCTTGCGGCACGAGGTCCTCGCTGCTACGAAGTTAACTTTAGATCTCCAGAGAACGACGGTGTCATTAGCGGTCATCATGTTCGAGCTTACCGATACCCTCACGTATGCTGTTCCTGTGATGCTGTCTGTTCTGGTTGCCAAGACTGTAGCCGATGCTCTAGAACCCAAAGGGATTTATGACTTGGTTATCGAGTGAGAATCTATATTGGAATTCCAATCATTCCCCTGACAGTTTTCACAGGCTATCTCAACTTCCATACCTAGATGCTAAACATGAATACTTGTGGTCGAATCTGTCCATCAAGGAAGTGGTAAGGGCATTGTACCTGTTGTCAAGAGCTTGCTTAGCATCACTTTTAGGCCGATCGAGATGTGGATGTTATCAGGGTCGATCGCCACAATACCGTCGAAAGTCTTCGGGACCAATTGCAATCACTTCTGAATGCAGAGCATGATGACAGTGGTTTCCCCATTCTCAGGCCAAATCGTGACGGAGATGGGATGCGCATGATTGGTTATATTGGTGCTAGCGAACTCGAGCACGCTCTCGGTAGATCCTCTCGTTTTCGCACACAAATATCATCTGAACACATCATCTAGCCGTCGTAGCGGAGGAAGCAACCGAAGAAGTTCGTTTCCACACTACGTATACGCACGAGGAATATCTGGCTACTTCATATTCGTCCTGGGCGGAAGAGGTGAGGCAGGGTGGAGACGATCCATTCGACTTCAGTGTATATATGGATCAGGTATACTTCTTTCGTTTGATTTCTGGTGTACAGGCCCTCAAACGGACATAATAGGCGCCGTTGGCGATTCAGTCCAATTCGCCTTTGCAGCTCCTTCACCAATTCTTCGTCAAGCTTGGCGCTCGTTATGTTATCGTGACGGACACTGACGGCGACTGTACGAATTTTCATTCACTTCGGTTTGTACATCGCTGAAGTTGCGCTTTTCAGATGAGGGCGTAATCGCCAAGAAGACATGGCTAGCATTTCTCAGCCAATTGGAGGAGAAATCATGAACTCACGACCTGCTGCTGCAACCGCCAGTTCGCTCTTGGTGGACATGGTCAATATATATCACACACCATGTATGGATTATCTATTCTCTGGATACTGGTTGCATACCCAAAGGATTTGTCGTATACAATTTGTATACAATACTGACATACTACTGACAGAACCCGGGTGTAGCATGTCTAACATTATTGACTATGCATTGTTTCCTTCGAACTATCAGCAGCACTATTTTTACTACACAATACTATACTCGAGACTTCCAGTACCGGATGTGTCCGACAGCACAGACTTTACTTACCTCGTTCACGGTGTAGCAATGAACGACATTTCAATTGAGTTGGCGAATACATATGCAAGCGAAACGCTCCATCTGCATCGAATATCATGTACGCTTAATTACGAAATTCGAATACCTAAATGGATGGATGGATGAATTGACAATGAGCATCAACCTGCGATGGGTTAAAGGCTCACCATCCATTGATATCCATTATGTCAGTTATCAATCTGCAGACGTGTGCGAATCACGTGGTACAAATAAATCATTCCCTTTGGGAGCGAAAGTAACCGTATGCCAACCGCTGCAGTGGGATCGCGTTGTAGTACGCGCTGATCGACACCATCCATGTCTTCGCGCGTCTTCCAAGCAGCTGGACAATCTCCCGACCCTTATGAGTTGGAAAGGTTAGCAGAAGAGCTCGTCGCGCGTGAGCAAGCGGGGTCGAGTCGTGCTCCCCGAACCACTACCTCAATGGAGCTGCCAATTCATATCCCACTATCGCACGACAATCCTCACCTAACTGCAGAAGTGTTTAATGTCGAAGAGTTTTTACTCTCGCGATCTCACACGTCTCTACAAGACTTGCGCTCAGAACTTAGAGACTACCTTACCTCGTTGAAGGAGGAGCTGGTGTTACTTATTAATGACGACTACGAGGCATTCATCAGTCTGAGTACGGACCTGAGAGGCGAAGGTTCGAGATTGGAGAAGCTGAAACTCCCACTTGATGATTTGCGGAAACGTATCTCGGTGAGCATTACCCCGTGTGTTATGTCATCCCGCTGATACCCTATGCAAGGAGTCACGAGCTGGCCTCCAGGCTACGCAAGACACCATTCAAGAGACACTTGATGCCCGCACCAAGTTACGCGAAGAGAAGGTTCATACTCGATTTCTGGGTCCAAATTTCAACTGAAGCTTCCGTCTTCAGGCACTTCTACATCTCTTGCTCAAGATATCAGAGTCGGTAACCAGACTTGAAAGTCTTCTTCTGATTTCTCAGGCTCATCAAGTTACTCCGTCATCCCTTGAAAGTCAAAATAGCAATTATATATCTCACCCTCCAGCCCCTGCCGGACGACCTATCGATGTCAAGTATGTCTCCATACTTCTCCTCGGGGTCGAAGATCTAATGGAGTTCCAGGAGCCAAGGCAACCGCGCAAAGCACCTTTCAAGAGTCACTGCTGAGTACACTCAACTTCTGTATCACATCGAGAAGGCAAGAGAAGAAAATTGCGCTTTTGTGGATGAAATACGATGGGTTTGTTATGACCGTTCTTTCGTAGTGCCCTTCTGACAGAAGTGTTTCTTTGATTGACCCGGTTAGCGCATTGACCGCATACAATCAACTCTCACGTCTGACCTTGACCATCTTTTCTCTGCGATCCTGGGCTCCCTGACGGACATCAAGGCAGGAAAAGTTTCAGACCTCGAACGAGCCAAACTATATGTTGATTTGACTGAGTGCCTAAGGATTTACGACTCACTGCGCCTTTGGAGAGTTGCTGAAGAGATCATGCGGAGAGACGTAATGCAAAGCTTCATCAAGAAAGTATGGTATACGTCTTAGCCTCCTCAGAAGAAGAAAGTTGCTCAATTTTGCATCTAGACTATCTTTCCTGATGCACTGGCTACCCCACTCTCACCAATGTTACCACACACCCCTCTTCCCGCACTCTCTACCCGAACGGAGTCTTCTGGAAGCGGGTTGTTGCCCCGTACACCATATACGCCATTCACTGCATTTGCCACCAAACAAAATCCCTTTGAGGCTTCGCATGTATCTGGACCGGTACACTTACTGGACGAATCTAACGATGCGCTTGCAAAATTGTACAATCAGATCCTTCGCTTCATTGAGCGAGATTTTGGGCGCATCATGGAGGTTGCGGAACGAGTTTCCCTTAAGGCGGATTCGACCAAATCGCATTCAAGTATATCACTGGGGGACTATCATCTGGGAGACACACAACAGGCGTCTGCGGATGGCTTCGAGATTATGACCAATGTAGTGTGGGCAGAAATCGGTAGGGCAATAATGGATGAACTTGGTACTGTTGTATTTGCGCCGGGAAACCCAAACGAATTTCGCAAGGTAAATTCTATAGGAACTCGTTCTGTGATTTCTTTAACATCGAACCTCGGTTATAGCATCATTCTACAACCCAGGCTTTCATTCGATCTCTCGAGTTCTTGGCTCCTTCCACGCATTCTGTGCAAAACATGCGTTCCCACCCAGTTTTCACTACTTTTCAACGACGTTGGCAGCTCTCTGTATATTTCCAACTGCGGTGGAAAGAAGTTGTCATGAAGCTCGAAGAAACTTTGTCCTCAAGAATTCTGGATCCTGAAGCACCAAACTTTACTCCCGGTGAGTTATCATTGACTTGATTTCAGTATATGTCATTGGCTCACCTTTCTCAAGGGCGTGATGTATTTGTAACGGCACAGGCCGCTGACGTTTTCATTGCAATTGCTTCGTGCTGGAGTGCCGAAGGCTACATTCCCGACCTTGCGCATCGCTTTTGGAAATTTACTCTTCAGGTACTTCCTCTGTCATTGGTTGTCAGGCGTCGAGGTGAACGCTTTTCTAGCTCCTAAGCAGGTATCGGGAATGGCTGGAAAGCTCATTGCCGCCTGCGGGAGGGTCTCCAGTGAAACTTGCCGCTAACATTACGAATGAAAAGGTATGTGTTTTGATGGAAGTCAAAGCATTCGTTCACCTTTTCATAGATTTCAGCAATTGTCAACCATCCGAGATCTTCAACACCCGGGCCTACTCCAGAAGCGACCACTATTGAAAACACGGCTGCAGATGAGATCTTACTAAGACAGTTTGCAACTGCTCTCGTTGATATTCGGGCGATGATAAACCAAGTCTTGCATTTGTGGAGAGAAGAGATTAGCATGATGCTTCCCGACACGTCAACGGAAGACAATGCGGAGGAGGTGCTCGAAGGTTAGCTTAAATGACCTCCGTCTTCAAGCTGCTCAAATCATCATCTGCAGTCGCTCTGAGGACCCAGCTCGGGCAGCTCAGCGCTCTTTCTACATCATTGTGCAGCCAGGCTACAACCATATTATCCAGGCGGTGTTGCGATTCTCTGTTGCCCGTTCGGTCTATTCCTTCGCAGTTCAGAGCAATGTCCAACAAACGTTTGCCCTCCGAAGCAAGTTACTTCGTACCCACCATCCTTCGTCCGGTAAAGAGCTTCTTCGGAATCAGCACTGGCGGCGGTCCTGGGGGACGCCTCAAGGAGGAAATGTTGAGGGATGTCTCGACTGATGTAGTGGAAAGTGTCTGCCAGCGGTCCGTGTGTTCTTCCAACGTGATGAACATGATTTTGACTTGGGTGTTTAAGGTACATACAGTACTTGACTGCGATGAAGAAGACCGAGGAATCCCTACGACGGCTGAAGAAAGGGAAAAAGTCGACATTATCTATCTTCGGATCCACTGCTGGAAAAGATGACGGAAAGGATGAGGAACGCATCCGTGCGCAGATGATACTCGACGTCGAAGCGTTCAAGACAGAAGGCGAGGCCCTAGGAGTTGATTTGCAATCCATGGACAGTTTCATAGTCCTGGATCAGATGGTCCGAGCCGAGCTGGCTGATGGTGATCTCTAACCCTTTATGTTGTCGAGGCGGTAATTTCAACTATTATTAAGTAAGTACGAAACGTGCCATTAGGATTCCGAAGTTAAGCATTTGAGATGGTATATAGTCCCTGTCCGTGAAAGTCTAACCTGAACGCTCTCGACGTCTGCCTGGGAAGGAAGTAGAGTCCGACCGCAGGATGAACATACACCGCAAGACGAGGTCCAGCCACGCATTTTCTCCTTTGCATATAGCTCTACGGAATCGAATACATCCCGGTCAATGAGATGTTTTGAGATGATTAACATGTCTCCATCGGTTCGGTACGATTCCAACATGCCAGTCAAAATTGCACGGAACTCCGTATATGGGGTGCCCGTAGTGCCGGAGTGCACAGTAGGATCTACCAAGCGCTTGAACAGTCGAGGGAAGGAAACCGCCTGGGTCGAGCTCACAGAAACCAAAGACGCAAACGTCTCTTGGACGATAGCCCGCAAAGTCGACAGCACCTCACTCTCAAGCCCTGCGTCACTACCTTGACCAGTGGAACAGCAGGTCGAGAGGGTTTGCACAGTATGAATCTGGCTGCTCAGAAGCTGATACCAAATGTCCTCGAGAGGAACTTCTGCAGGAGAAGACAAGCTAGAATGCTCCATGCATACTGATATCCCGCGCCGTCCGATGGTTTGCAGATCGTTCAAGCATTTGTAAACGGAATCCGTGGAACCAGGAGCTGGCGAGGCCAGCGTGCGTGCGAGATCTAGCGTGAGCTGCTTCTCAAACACATCCGCTTTTGAGAGGGCTTCCCGTGGCTGTCCCCTGTAATTCACGGCCCATATGACAGCATCATACGCTCCTGCCTCCTCGCATATACTCAACGCCGTCGACCAGTCAATGCCGTCCTGCAAGCGTTTAAGGACATCAATGACAGCAGAGGGCGCAAAACCACACTGCAAGCGGATAAAGCGGTGGCGAAGTCGGCTGTTGAGATGACTCGGGGAACTGGGAGTGGAAGAATACTGGTCATATTCACTGTCGAAGACCAGGTGGTTGAGGTAGATGAACTGGTCACGATCGTTCGACAACGGCGGGCTCTCAAGGGCAGTCTCGTGAAGCTGAGGAACATGCTTGTCTAGAAGAGCCGCAGTTGCAAGAATATCGGCTTGTAACAGTTCATCGAGTGAGGTGGTAAGAATATCAATGACATTGCTAGGGACCTGCTTTTTGTTATCTCTTGCCGAGCTGGTAATGACTTCCTGGAAACCGCTGAATATTTCTGAAGGGCGGAGTTCGGGATCGTGAAGGAACGCAGTGAGGAGGGGACCCCAGTGCCGCTCGTGGCGGTACCAACTACGTAAGATGCGATAAAATCCGGCATCCTCAAAGAGCCGAAGAAGTCGGTCTCCGTCGTGGGGGGTGTAAACTGACAGGAGATACTCTGCCGCGAGCTGACGGTCCTCTCGCGTTTCCACTTCAGGTTGAGTGGCAAGCGCAGTAAGGATGTTATGAAGGACACTGGGTGCGACTTGAATGAACTGGGGATATTTCGGGACGTTCCGTGCAATGAAGATGTTGATAAACGTGACATCGGATGGTGAGAGATCTTCACTGGACATGATATCCAGTAGAATCTTGACTATCATCAACCGACTCATGTCATGAGAGGATTCGTTGAGATATGAATCCTCAAAAGCTATGTCCAAGCAATGCAGGAACGATTCAGCATCAAAGCGGAGCAAGAGTCGAGTATAAGGATATGTTGGCTCCACACCGCTTTCTTCTTGGGACGTCAAAACCAGACTTCCTCCTTCAACGGGCCAGACAGTGGAATGTCCGCAAAAGACGAACGAGTATGCATCTCTTTTAGCGAGCAAAGCTTCAGCTGCCTCCAGAGGCTCCTGACTGGGGTAGATTTGCCCGCACAGCACGGTCGCCAAGTAAGAGTAGATCTTATAGGCGTTCTTGATGACGGTGTCCGTAGGCGTTGGGTTCTGTTGTAGGCTGCGGATGATGCCAAGAAATTCGACTATGGGAGAGACATAATCTCGCAGGGCACGAGTGTACACATAAACCAACGCATCCCATAGCTGATGTGTTCGGCAGAGATTGATGGCTTGATTGATGTCCAAGCAGGATGGCTCAATGTGCCAGATAATTCTTTCCGCAAGATCTGGACGTCCGTTTTCATCATGTAGCGCCACGAGTCGCTGTGTGATGCGAGGAGGCACTAAGGGAATGCTGCCATCCAATACAAAGGGTTCAAGTTGGTGGAGGAACATCCGGTAGATGCCAGCGTTTTCGTACTGCTGGAACAACTCCTCAAATAAGAAGTCGAAGTCATTCAGAGCAATACAAGCACGGGCACATGTTGCTACCAGATCTTCAAAGAGCGAGGTGCGATCGACGCCCCGTCCATCAAGTGACGCATGCGTGCCATCTGTCATACGGTCTTCAGAAAACGCATAGCGGGAGGATGCCACCATGAGGTCGTGAATTTTATCAGCGATTACGATCTGCCGTTCTTCTGGGTCCTCAGGAAGACCATTGCGATTGCCAGGAGCTTCGCCCGTATAGTACGTGCGGGTAAGTTCAATGGCACTGAGAAAATTGCCCTGCTCGACAAAGGACAGGATCCTGTCAGCCCAGCTAAGTAAGGTACCAACAAATAGTTCCTGTCGACCCTGAAAAGGGTCAGTTCTTGCTTGGCTTCCATATGCGAAAGTCTCACCAGAAGAAAAAGTTTTCCTTTGTAGGTCCGGATACTGTGTGCGATGTCTCTCACAGACTCGGAGTATGACATCGAACCATTACCCGTGTAGCCCAGCGAGGGAGATACCAGAGAGGAAGAGTCAAATTGGACTGCTTCAACCATCTTTACGCCATGTACATCATAAACACTCAAGGCGCTCGCCGTAAAGACGGCCAATTGCTGTCGAAAAAGCATATAAGGACTGATACACAACTCCATTGGGACGAACTCACATTAACATTGAGCCATTGGATGGCAAGAACAATATCATCCATCGTCCACTGTCCTGCCTCTTCGAACACTAACGTGCCAACTTCCACTTCGCTTGTTTTCCCTGTGCGGCTGTTTGACACGGTCTGTTTGGTCTTTTGTTCATATACGCGTAGTAGATATACATGACTCCCCCACGAGTACGAGAGCACAGGATGAGTTGGCGGGCGTCCGGGTTGTTTCCCACTCCTTGGGTTCTTCGTGTTCACTGTTTTGTCCGATTTCTCCGTAGAACTATCTTGGACGCTGGGGAACCACGCAAGACACCCTCTCCTTCGATACCCGGGGGACGAGAGTTGCCCCTCATCTCGCATAAGCTTCAGCCACGTCTTCGGATTAGGCTTCAGGCCAACAATGACGAGTTTTGTGGGTGTCAGCAAGGCAACGATCTGATATGCATCGGTGGGATGTGGAAGAGGACCCAGGGGAAGAGTGCTCATTGCAAGGACTGTGTTGCGGGGTCGTCTTCTGCGGCGAAAGGAAGGGCGACTGAGTGCGTTCTGTTGGGATGATGGGTCGGCAGGATGACCAGAGATACTAACTTCGGGAGCATCTTCTCCATGATAATTCCCGAAAATGCGAATTGTGTCTGATGCCTCCACAAACAGGACTTTACCAAGACTATGGTAAAAAGATAGACCGTACTCATCAGCAGAGACCACAGCTGTATGACGGCCAGCCACGAAGGAGACGTTGATGATACGGGAGTTGGGAATATGTCCTTCCTGTCGACCGGATGTGACAGCAGCAAGAGTGGCAGGTGTCACAGTCCGAGCTGCGACCTCAGGGTTCTTCAAGTCAAAAAGTTGAATGTAGCCAGTAGTATGCCCAGATGCGACAAACGTATGGTCGTTCGATAGAGCGATCGCAGAGATGGGCCCAACTGTTGATGCTGCATGGGGTTGGTCAAATGATGAATGAAAGTTGAACAGGTTTAAAGCTACCAGACGAGTCGTTGCCACATATGCACTTCAATGTTTGCTTAAAGTCAAAAACGAATATGCGGCCCTTATCTGTCCCAACACAGATAAACCCGTTAGCAGTGAGGACCATGGGAGCTCCCGTGAGAGGAGCACCGAGGACAGTTGATGCTTTTGAAGGTTTCTGGTCGTAGAAATGAGACCCTGCGCTCCCGAGTGACGACCACCGAAACACTTCTCTCTCATGGCCTATCAGAAGTCCTTTATGACCCGCAGATGGAGACGATGCCCGCGAGATTTCAGAAAAATGAGATGGAGATGGAGAGAAGCTATTTATAGGTTGCGCATGAGGTGAACCAGCGCTGAGAGCAGGGGAGCCTCTTGGCGTAAACGAGCGAAGTCGGGAGACATTTGGATGTAGGAATGGCTTGGGGAATAGTGCGAAGGGCCCGTTCGGCACAGGTGATCCTACTCTGCTAGGTGGCAAAGAACACATAACTAAGGCAGCAGATGCTGAAGCGCTGACGTCCAGCTGGATATCGACATGCTGTACACGTGCGTGAGTACATGTTTATGCCATGAGGTGTGCCAAAACTTACTGGCACATCGCGAGGCGGCTCATTGGAAACGCTATTGCTTTCCTGCAAAAGAGCCCGTACCACTTCCTGTTCCTCGGATTCATCATATGAGTCCTCGGGCCCGAGAACGTCTCGCAGCTGGTCTCGATAGTTGTCGCCTGTGACTTGGTCGGCGTCTACACCGTCGTAGACGAACCCGCCATCATTTTCGTCTGCCTCTGTATCACCATGTTCATCCTCATCGCTGAGTAACTCCTCCATTCGCGTGGAGTAGTCTCCTCCCTGGTCATCTTCTGCTTCCTCTTCATTGCCGGAAAATGTCGGCGACTGTTCAATGTCGAGGGCATGCGGAGAAAAGTCCTCATCGCTGACCGAATGAGAGGCTGATGACATCGACACCTAATGTTTGATGGTTGCGGACGTGCGCAGTAGTGCGTGCAAGCAGCAATATACTGTTCTCCGTTCCGAATCAGGTAATTCACTAAATTGGCATCACGTGCACGTGTATGGTAAAATCTTTGTTTTCACAAGTTTAATCGGACA